GGCTCCGTGTTGTGTTGTCTCGTGCCTCTATAAATGATGCACATTCGCACTGTGTCGTCTGACAGATCCCACTCACCGCTGTCACATTGGCCGGGCTAACGGCCCCGGGACACGGCAGCCGGCTAGGCGTCACGCGCCGCTCGCCGCCCTCTCACGCACCGGCCAATCATCGACCAGGCCCGACACGCACCCGGCAGTACGGTGGGAGGGGAGCGGGTGCGACCACAGACCACAATAGGAAGGACCAGCCGCGCCCGTACCGGCTGCGGCCATCGCCGAGACGCCGGCGGCGCCGTCCTGCAGAGGGTGTATTCGTGGCACGTTCCGATGTGCGGCCGCTGCTACGGCGGTTACTACTGAGCGGGCGCCGACGGCCGTTACCATCTGTTGCTGTCGCCGGCGACGGGCGCCGCACGGAGAGGGTGGGGTGCGGCCCGGCTCCCGGCGGCGGGAGACGGCCGCGCGACGACAGATGGTGGAGCACGCACCCGGCCGCCCCCGCCGGAACCGGAGCGGCGCGGGATTGAACAAGGGAGCTCTGGTATTAGCTACGGCTCTGTGGAGTGAGCGGAGGCCGGAAGTGCGAAATATAGGAAGGTAATATGATCCGCATTTAACAAGATCTCTTGGAAAAAAAATGTTGGTTTTGGAACTCCAAACGATACGGCCAAGCAGCTAATGTTCTTTCTTCAATGCACATTCGTTCATTCATCATTCGTGTCCGTTGTAATTCCCCAAATTGCAGCAGGGGGAGGTTGCAAGCAACATTGCATTGCTTCTCACCATGCAATAAACATGGTCCTTCTGCAATGGATCATGTTTATCTGCAATGGATCATGTTTATCCGCAATGGAACATGTTTATCTGCAATGGATCATGCGTATCTCTCTGCAATGGATCATGTTTATATATCTGCAATGGATCATGGTGTTCACATGGTCACTATGCTTGGCTACCAGAGGAATCCCAGTTGCATTTCCGTCCGCAGGATGGAACTGGGGAGTGGTGCGGTGAGGACAGGACGGTCAGTGTGGTGACCGCCGGGTCAGTAGGGGAGGAAGTAGGACGGAGCGGACAGTGGGGTCACCGACCGATCCCCGCTCATCAGTCCCATCCGGTGGTCGCCAGCGGCCGTGACGCCCCTCCGTGTCGGTGAGCTCACTAATGCGGGGGTGGTGGTGTAGGCACAAGTTTTGGCCGCGTGACCAATGTAAGCCTTTGAACCTCAAACGGAACGACTGCGTGTCCTTGTGACTCACTCAGGGTCTGAATGGCACGCCACTCTGGTTTTTCACAAGTGCCTGAATCCTGCACGTAAAATGGCCATACTGGCCAGATTTGAAGCAGTTCTTCAATTGCACTTCAGGTATTGTAATTCTGCAAAGCTCTGATCGATTAGAGAAGCAAGCTTATTTGACCACTCTTCAGTCCGCTCAATTTTACAGTTGCCGACACGAGGCGAATCGATGCAGCCCCTCAGCTACATATTTCGCGAGAAGGAGTATTTGCAGAACTGCTGGAAGGAGCGGACTGTTTCTGAGCACAGCATCCCTTGCCAAACTCGGAAACTTTATGTTCCCGTCACGTAGGCTGACTAGGTTATGAATCGTTACTACGCCATGGCCTGGTCATTTATCTCGCACATGACGTACGGCGACGTAAAGCCGAATTCGGTTGAAACGATGTAACGCGTACAAACTGCATTTCAGCTCTCCAGCGAATTTTCGTTGAAAGTCTAAAACATGACTGATATTTGATGGCACTGAGCATCGGGTCGAACCCTAATGTGCCGTCGATAGCAGTGCTGAGGACGGGTGAGTTATACACATGTGGCATTATTTGTCGATGCAAAGGGCAGCCCAAGTGATAAACCAAAGCCGAGAATAGAATCCGTTTTAATTGTCCCGTGGGATCGCAGCGGCTTTAATCTAATGAAACCACAGCTAGAGAAATGGCAAATCACGGGTCTCATGGGCTTTAGAGTAACTCACTGAGCCACTGCGACCAGCCTAGGAGACTGCTGGACCCTGTGATACACCGGTCTGACAATTCCCAGGGGGCCAGCCGCGACAGACCTCGCCTTTCAGCGGGCCTGTCGCTCGCCGGCAGTCCCGGTGATCCGTGCCAGCAGCCACCCCTCCCCACCGCGCCGGTGGCTGCCCCAAACTGTTGCGGAAGTGGCACGTTATACACACGGGTTGGTAGCAGTGGCCTGCTGGCTGCTACTGAGTAAGGTAGCTGCAGTGTTAAAAGCGAGCTGGGCCGCCCCGACCACCCACACACTACCCAACCCGCTAGCGGCGGCACAGTTTGTTTGGAATGGACTGGAGAGCGGTCGTAAAGGGGTGAAACAACCCGCCGAGGCCACACGCGCAGCTCAGATTGTGACGGAGCAGATACATCGGTATTCAGTAGCTGCAAGCCTACAGTGGAGCTCACTGGAGATACAATGGCAATCCGCAGCTCGGCGGCGGCTGAATGAGGCTAGATGAACAACAGCCATTTATCAACACGACAATGACCGAGGCTAACCAGCCACTGCCGGTACACAAACGGCCGTGCAGCGCAGCCAGTCCAGCGCGGCAGCCAGGCTGGGTCTCAGATGCGCCGCAGCACGGCCAACAACTGTCCGTTAAAGCGAACTTACTTGCCGGACCCGTTGGTATCCACGTTGAGGCGGGCCACCACGCTGCCGCCCCCCTCCAGCATCGGCGTGACGGCGCGGTTGGAGAGGCAGAGCGCCGGCTCGGCGGGCGGCCGCTGCTCGGTGTCATGGCCCCCGCCCGTGTCACCGGCCACGGCCAGCGCCGCGTCCACGCCGTCCACAAAGTCCGCCTCACTGTCTATCGAGTCCACCGTGGCCAGCGGCACACTGGCCGAGTCCATGGCTGCTGGCCGCGCGCGCGCCCGTGCCCCGCCAGCGGCCGACTGGCGCGCGGAACGCCCACCACAACAAAGGAGCGCCAGCGGCCGGCGCGCCGGCTCCACTATCGACCGGCGCCCGGCACGCGCAGCCTTTCCAGCCGGATCGGCGGCGCGGCGCACCGTCGGCGCCTGCGAATCGATACAGTGAGCACTGAGCACTGCGCGGCGCGCGGCGGCCGCCCGGCTGGCCCGGCGTTCGTTCGCTCACCGCTGCGTGCCGCCAGCAGCGCCGCCAATAAACACTGCTCCCGCGCCGGCCGAGAGGACCCGCCGAGCGGCGCAGTCGGTCCCAAAGGGTCTGCAGGGACCCGCCAGTTGGAGCCGGGCGGCGCGCAGGTCCCCGGCAGCCTCATTTCACTGGGCAATTTCCCAGAGTTAATGATCGGCGCTGGCGGCGGCCTGCTACCGGCCGGTAATGACATCGGCTGCACCCGGTGATTTTACGGCAGACCAGACAGCCGCCTACTTCATGAGACGGAACTGCAGATCGAGACCGATTTAGATGGTTCTCCGGATGTATGCCGATGAGCAAGTATTAATGTTGATTGTTGAAGGAAAAATACTTTTCGCATAAGGACCTGTTGGTGATGATAATTATGACGCCCTAAAATACCAAGTGAATTTTAGGACTTTTATGCACTCTGCAAAGTCTGTATTATTCATCACTAGCGTGCTGCTTAAAAACGGCTCCTTTGCATGCTACGATTATATAAGGATATAATAATGGTAAAATAGAAGTTTGAGCCATACGCACTATAACCGTAAAGTTTCACGGGTGGCGGACGGTCGACTGCAGAGCCGAGGAAGGCCGTTTGGCGTGCTGCGGCCGTACCATCGATCGAAGGCAGCTCGGCGCGACCCGCCACCAGCGGCTGCCGTGCGTCCGGTCGGCCTCAGTATTGTAACTCAGCCGACCACGCTGGCGTCGACAGGCAGTCTGGCCAATTGACTCGGACAGTTGGACGCCCCCGCCCCGCTCCCGATTGCAGGGGGGCGCCCGACGCGCTCCCAACAATGACCGCCCTCAATCTCGGCTGACGGGGCGGCATCGCTTCAGTTCGCGGACCGGTGGCAGGGAGAAGGGTATCTTGATGTGTGGTTTTCATAGCAGCGTCGAACCTTCTTTATCGGACACACTGACACTCACCTACAGAAATAAAATTTGCCGACTTTTTATAGGTCAATAGTTTTCACTTTTCAGAATTACATGAATTATTCCGGACCCTGAATATAATTTTAGCCCGACATTTGGGGCGGGGAGAGAGAGAGAGAGAGAGAGAGAGAGAGAGAGAGAGAGAGAGAGAGAGAGAGAGAGAGAGAGAGAGAGAGAGAGAGAGAGAGAGAGAGAGAGAGAGAGAGAGAGAGAGAGAGAGAGAGAGAGAGAGAGAGAGAGAGAGAGAGAGAGAGAGAGAGAGAGAGAGAGAGAGAGAGAGAGAGAGAGAGAGAGAGAGAGAGAGAGAGAGAGAGAGAGAGAGAGAGAGAGAGAGAGAGAGAGAGAGAGAGAGAGAGAGAGAGAGAGAGAGAGAGAGAGAGAGAGAGAGAGAGAGAGAGAGAGAGAGAGAGAGAGAGAGAGAGAGAGAGAGAGAGAGAGAGAGAGAGAGAGAGAGAGAGAGAGAGAGAGAGAGAGAGAGAGAGAGAGAGAGAGAGAGAGAGAGAGAGAGAGAGAGAGAGAGAGAGAGAGAGAGAGAGAGAGAGAGAGAGAGAGAGAGAGAGAGAGAGAGAGAGAGAGAGAGAGAGAGAGAGAGAGAGAGAGAGAGAGAGAGAGAGAGAGAGAGAGAGAGAGAGAGAGAGAGAGAGAGAGAGAGAGAGAGAGAGAGAGAGAGAGAGAGAGAGAGAGAGAGAGAGAGAGAGAGAGAGAGAGAGAGAGAGAGAGAGAGAGAGAGAGAGAGAGAGAGAGAGAGAGAGAGAGAGAGAGAGAGAGAGAGAGAGAGAGAGAGAGAGAGAGAGAGAGAGAGAGAGAGAGAGAGAGAGAGAGAGAGAGAGAGAGAGAGAGAGAGAGAGAGAGAGAGAGAGAGAGAGAGAGAGAGAGAGAGAGAGAGAGAGAGAGAGAGAGAGAGAGAGAGAGAGATCCTTACGATGGGGTGAGTGGCGGCGCAGGACGTTCCACTGGACTGGACACACAGCGATCCGGTGTCACCTGCAACAGACGCAGAATAAAAAATCACCTCCTTTTCCAGGTCTGACCAACACAACTGTGGAAAACCCATTCCTAGATTCCTTCGAGGCATAGCAAGTGAATCTTTTTCCACTTCTGGCTATTGTCGATAACAAACAGAATCGGTAAACGTGCGAAAACGGATGGTTCATTTTCAGTGTCGTCTAATTCTAGGCTCAATATAGTTTTATCTCCCAAAATAACCCCAAAACGTTTAAAGCATTTCTAATGCAACTAGTGACTAGTCGCCAACTACATATAACTAGATTTAACAAGTCGCCCAAGATTACTAGTTTAAAGTTTGCAATGCATTTATTAACCCTCGCCCTGGCAGGGGGGGGGGTCGATGCGACCCCTCCTAAGGTTTTTCGAAGATAGCGTAAAAACGGCGGCGCGCAGCGCCGCCAAATTTGGCACAGCCTATGAGGCAAACTTTTTACATATGACCTGAAAATTTCAGGTCCGGGTGACCTTGGGTCAGGTCACCAGGTCAGAAAAACCGGTACAAGGTCATGGTCAAATTTCAATTTTCTTTTTGCACCTGTCCAACTCACAGTTTTCGACTGATTTCCTTCAAACTTTCAGGATGTGCTAAGTTCACCGAGTTGTATAACATATAGTTCGGGTTTTTTGAGGTCACTGACCTGAGGTCAGTTAGAGGTCATTACGTCGTAATGTTAAGCCTATGGGAAAATACTAAATTCCGAAAATACTGGAGATATCTACTTCTTTCTATCACTTTTGTGCTTTGAATCAATAGTAATTAACAGCAGGTCACTTGGTGCTTCGTTGTTTGGTGTACTTATCCATGGGTCAGGTCAAATGAGGTCAACTGAGGTCAAATGACGTTTTTGCCAATAACTTGGCACATAATGACGCTAGAGCTTAAAAAATGGTATCATTGTGTTCCTGGTGATCAGCCGAATCGAATGATATGCGATATGATGTAATTTGGTTAATTTGAACTTAATGTATAATTTTAAGTTTACTTAAGATTTAAGAAAAAACTTTAAGTACACTTAAGCAAGCTAAAAAGTATATCATTCGATGCGCCTTGACGTGCTGAGTTCACTGGTGCTTTTCTTTTTGCTTTATCTTAATTAGATCAAAAGTTATAAGCGAAAATCTTTTGACCTGTTTTTAGCGAAATTTTTACATTTATACCCCCCCCCCAAAACCCCCCTAAATATTGACCTAGAGCAACCAAATTTGCACAGGGGCGAGAACTCCAGGGGGGCCACCTACCTACCAAATTTGGTGTTTCTAGGTGCCATAGGAGCCAATCGCGAGGGGGGGGGGTCGCATCGACCCCCCTGGCCCCTGCCAGGCCGTGTTATGAAAAATTCCCTGCCAGGGCGAGGGTTAATATTATAGTTTTGCTGCAGATATAGATCTGAGTATCTTCTCGAATCATTAGGACCTCATTGTTTCGCCATTCACATGACATCATCACACAAAATGTGGCAGTGTGTTAACTAAACCACAAAAGCAAGGGATATGCAGCAGGACTTCATCCTCCATATCCATGTCATAACTTATTCCTGAATGGGCGTTAAGGTCGGGAAAATGTTTCTAGCGGGTAGCGAACATTGAGGCCTCAGACCATCCGACCTGCGCGCCGCCTACCGGCCAGACATTGTGACCAATAGTTAGAGGCGGTGGCCGCCAGGTGGCTGACGAGTTGGCCCAGACCTTCGTTGTTCGTAACGTTTAGGAGACCGCCGCCTGTGCTGGCACCGCGTCCGCCCTAGCTCAGCAGCTGACCGCCCGGGGACCGGGATGACGCTGCTCAGGTCGGGCTGGGTCCGCGTGGCCGCGAGCCAGAGCCGGTCCCTGTCCCACGGCCGCGCCCAGCCTCCACCGCCCACCAGCCGCGGCACGTGTTTACACAGAATTGTTATTTTTGGTGGGCTTATCGATACATCATAGGGTCTCCTGATTCAACTCGTACCAACATAAACGGCCAAAGGGCGAGTAAATCAAACAAACGAAGACCTAGGATTCACAACCAGGTACGCTACTTTGTTAAAATGTAATGAGCAGTCCCGGATATGCAAGACGATGCACTGTACCTAACTAATTGAATTTATTAATCCACGCATCCACGCACTCATCTTGGCTATCATTTTTAGACGGAGCGAAAGTAGTCATTCATTCGTCTAAAGTCTTGCCGTTTTACGAGTATACGGACCCTGCGTTTACTTGCATTCCTAGTCAAGGGTGATTGGGAGGCGATCACCGTATTATCGCCATCTGAACTCATGAGTCATGAGGTCAAGCTGTTTCCTGCGTCTCGCGCTCAATGGCAGTTGGACCACCATGGATTTCCTGTCTAAGACGGAGCGACCCGAGTCAGCTCCTGCTAACCCCGCTATCGAGGCGCCGGAGTATCAGATGATCTGATCATCTGTCAGATTTTAGTGCGTCTCGCCACCGAAGAGGCTGGCTTCTGTCAGCGATTGTCGCCGGTTCCATTATGTTGAAATATCTATCACCAATAACCCTGAGATTCCCGAGATCATCAATATCGCTGACATAAGGGAATGAAACCACCAGACAAGGCGTCGATAAAGCCGAGGGTTTTATCGTCTTACCTTTATGATTGACACTGGCGTCTCTCCCAGCTCGACAGTCTCGGTAGTGGTGTCTTCCATCTCGGCCTTGGGTGACGAGTTGAGTAGCTTATCCTTCATTTCCTGCAGGTACGGGTACCTCGGCATCGTCCGGTAGTAGACCGCCTGCGCTGGCCGAGAGGGGGTCGTCACTCGTCAGTCACTGAACGACACTGTCGGCAGCTAGTGACACTGGCCTTCAGTCGTTGTCATCGTTGTCATCGGCACAGTCAGTCATAGCTATCGGTGTTTTCACCCACCCGCACCAATTACTCACAGAGTCACTGACAGTCAGTCAGCAGCTTCCCACTGGCGATGCAGCAGGAGCATGGGATCATGGTCTCCTCGGAAGATAGATATATCGGTTATTTATATAGGGGTCGAGAGGAGGGCACTGCTTCGCTACCCTTTCCCGAAATTGAGCTCGAGATGCACGGAAAAGGACAAATCGTGCACAATTTAAAATCGCACGCAAAAACCACGAAAATCATACCAACTTTAAGATATAACAACAAAAAAAAAAAACAAAAAAAAACGGTGACCTCTGCGGTCAAATCAGCGACTCAATGGTCAAACTACACATTTTGATAACACTTCGGCAAAATGACCGTAGACGTCACGTCTGTCGTGGTCAATCATATTCTGTTATATTTTTTGTTTGGGAAAGATGAACAGCCACAGGTCATAGTCGGTCATAGTCGGTAACGTCAAGGCAGGTCAAGTTGCACATCATTCGACTTAAATGGCTTCAGGTGGCCTTTCCGATTCGCACGAGCTATTGACGACAAATTCCAATGACCTCAAATGACCTCAGTGGCGTAATGTATGTAGATACGCAATTACGCAATATCAGTTTCCATATTTTATCGGCGAGTTTTAATGTAGAGTCACGTCAGATTGGTCTGACCTCAGGTGACCTGAACACAAATATGAGGTAGGAACAAGGGCGCGGGAACTAACTACTTTCAGACTGGAGGGCACACCATGATAGAGATCAACCTAGGGTACCCCCAAATCTAGTTTTCTCGACGGTTTTAGGCCACTTATTTTTCATCCCTTGGCTTTTTCAACAGAAAAAAGAAAACGTTTGCAAAAAAAGTAGTCGGGTATTCTGTCTCAAAAGTTGTGGAGGCATCGCCCACACGGCCCTAGAGTTGGGGGAGGGGGAAAGCTGCCCTAACTGCCCCCCACCCCTCCCTTCCGGTTCCCGGGCCTATGGATAGGAATGTTGTTAAGACATAGGAATTTACTTTTCGAGATTAACTTCCAGCAACAGATTCCCTTGTAGTGAGAAAGTTACTCAGTCGCGACCTTTTTGAACCGTGCAGAGGTTTACCTGAGGTCATAGATTCATATGTCAGTGGCCTGACCTAAAATACGGTCCGTGCCAAAAGATGCGGGTTAATCAAAGGTCAGCTATGTGAAAATGGATACACATTGCACACTCCAACATCAGCTGGTCCCAGTTTCGGCGGCAGCTCCCCTCCCCTCCTTATCCCCCGGCTGGGGCCGCCAGTGCAGTTGCCGGTCTTCACTGACCGTTAGCAGTCACCGACGACAGTTACAGAAGACGGCAGTCGCCAGCCATCGATCACAGACAACAGCGAACACGGAGCTGACAGCCAATGAGCACCGACGATATTAGTCGTGGTGTCAATGATCATCAACCATTGGCAACATCCATAGCTGGGCTTGCCATGTTCACAAGTGCGTTATCGACCTTGACTTTCTGGTAACGGTGATACGTCACTGATACCGGCGACACTGCCTTCGGAAAGAAAGATATACGGTACCTACTGATGTCTCGTGACCTATCCAGCTTTGCTGTGCTCTCAGCTCCTCTGCCGTTCACAGGTTCACTGTACCCATCCCATGTGTGCGCTCTGAGGAGCGTATTGATTGTTGGGCATAATGACGATACTTACTTGCATATTGTTAGGCCTATATGCAACATTGTGCAAGTCTCGCTGAAAATAGTACGGACGTATAAATAAACATTTATTTATTTATATAAACGTAAACGTTTACTTATACGTCCGTGGAAAATAGTAACCGGTGGACACTGTCACACTGGCACATGGTAGATGGCAAGTTTGAATGAATTATTGACTTAATAACGCTTGAGTGAAAAATGTTTTTATCGGCAGTGACTATATAGGCACAACGCTTTAATTAATGAAATTGGCTTTATCGGTATCGTGTTTCTCTCGTTGAGATGCGGACAATAAATTATAATTTGGCTTAAAAAGGTTCACCAAAAAATTTGAGCCAAACTTAACTATCGCCGGACCTATCGGTTTTCTATATATTCCACACCTCATCCGAATGTACAAAACGGTTGGTGGAGTGAACTTCCCCTCACCGTTTCGCCCCTAAGTGAGCTCGAGCATCGCGGAAAACAACAGCGTTGCGAAACAGCGACTGGTATAAGTATCAGATTTTCAGGTCTCAGGTCAAACGGTGACCTTTGAGGTCATGTCAAGTCCCCCAAGGTAGGGACTCTGTTTTTGGCGAATAACTTCGCTAAACATGGTTGCAGAGCCACGATAGCATGACACCGTTGCCTTCGTCATGATCAGACGCATCCAATAATATACTTTTTTTTAGTATAGGTCAGCTTAGTATGTCGACCACAGGCCAAGATTAGCTCACAGTCTGTTGGGTCCCGAAGCTATTAACAGGAGGTTGTATCGCATAAAAAATCGATTCCGTGGGGCTCCTTGAGTCCATTGGTGGTTTCCCAACTCGCTGGTTCAGTTTGATCGAGATCGGCGAAATGCTCCGATAACTTTAGTGAAAAATAAAGTATCGGACCTTGCAAGGTGTGCAGGAAAGCACCATTCTCTGTGCTTATGGTAGCCTGCAGCTATCTGCGATTTATTTCGGCGCCAAAATAAAAGCTTCCATAATTCGCACCTTGACTTACCCCTCGCACTTACAGGAGTTCGGATGGACCCCTCCTCTGTTTTACGCAAAGAACGCGCGTAAAAAGTGACTCGATCGCAACGAAAACTCCAGCACCTCGAGTTTATCACTTGCATACATCCCCTAAAAATTTAATGATCCTAAGCCCGATGACCTTTGACCTGTCACCTATTCCTCGAGACCATGTAGAATTCGCGATTCGGCGTATGTTAGCGCACATTATTCATGCGTTTCCACACTTCTTTGTGACTATAGGTACACTTGCCAAGCCAACATGCGAAATTATGGTTGTCCCATGCACTACGGTGGGCGTCAAGGTCACTTGAAGGTCAGGTCAATGTCATTGACCCTTGGTGACCTTTCGAATTTAACCACGTTTTAGGGAAGTTTTCGTAGCCGGTTTCGAATAAAGCAACCGTTCGAACAATTGAGAAGTATATTTTGGTGCCTATGAAACATGGTGCGAAGCTGCCAGTGGTGGTCGACACCTACTATATGTAGATAGTCGTCGGTACGCCTACTGATTGACCTGACCTGACTTGGCCTGACCCGACCTGACCTGACCCGACCTGACCCAAATGCATGAATACATGAAGACGTTGAGAAGTTGCGTCATTTTAGGACCGTGCATAGTTTCACTTATGCCAGCATAGGTCAGTAGGTAACCTGATCTGACCTGACCTGAAAATGCGGTTGCCGGTTGGTGTCACGAGACCTGGGTCGTATCACTGGTCAGGTAGGTATGTAAACTCTCAACTCTCGATGGCGAGCATGCTCCGAGCAATCGACGGAAAAATCGTCTGAGGGGGGGGGGGCACCTGCCCCCTTACGGCCGGCGAAGGTTCAGAATCAGGTCAAGGTCAATGTTACCTGACCTGTATGAGAAAATGGGTAGGTACCTATGTCAGGCGATCGGTATTGATGAACTGAACATATAACTAGTGTTTTCATTCTCCTGAAATGCGTTGTCAAAAATACTGTTGAAAACTGCTGAACTGCTAATGATTATTTATGGCCTAGGATGACCTGATGGTTATAAAAGGGGTCACAAGTACAATTTTCCAACTCAATATTCACCAGGTGACTGAATTGAAACATGAAGTTAACCTGACATCAAGGTGTCGAAATAATCGAATATATCTGAGATGATATACGTTTACGCCACGGTTTAGGTTTAGGCAATGCATTCGATGACCATTCAACCCAATCGATCGCTAAGATGCAAAGCAATCGGTAAATTGGTAAATTGAGGTGCAAAGGTCGAGCATTTACTTAATGCTTGAGATGAGGTCACTATAGACGTGGCCTACATCCTGGTTGCCTGAATTTGAGTCGCTTGAGTCAGAAACTTTCACATAAGCGGAAACACGCATCACGGTCGACGCCGTTTTTGTGCGTAGGTAATGCGTGGATATTTGTGAAAGCCTTTAGGGGCATTAATCCGCTCCCGTTCGGCGTTAATCGCTCGCCTCCAACTCTTTACCGTCCACGTTGTCTCTATCGCGAAGCTACGAGTACCTATAGGTACCCGTGGCTGTATCGTCAGCCGTTTGGTCAGTCGTAGCGTTGCAGAAGCTGTGTAAGCAAACAAAAGACCAGGGGTCGAGCACTATTCCGGGTAAAACGACTGCAGTCACTCGACAGGCTCGAACCGTATTCCAGGCAGAATCAAATAGCCATTAGGTATGGCAGAGGCTGCACGTTTTGATTTATAATTTAAACAAAGTGAATCGCACATTTACAAACACAGGGCAAGCCATGGCGACAAGCGACACATTCGGAATAGGATATAATCATTCTAAGTCCACTGCTTACACCCTACCAACTTACATTGTCCTCCTCATTCTCAGCTTCGACGTCGGCCGAGTTCACGGGCTCCATCGTTCTCCCAGTTCACGAACCGTCGCCATCGTGCAATAGAGACCAACTCTACAGCAATCACACTCTAGGCACGTCCACTGACCACCGGCTCGATCCCCGGACCCAGCGGCCTATGGCGCCGGGCGCCCACTGTCCGCCAGTCGGCCGCTGGCGGTCCGCCGTCGTCGATCGGCCAGACCCCGGTCCCGCGCCAGCCGCCGCCGCCGCCGCCGCGCAGAAGCGTTACCATGACAACATCTGAAGGTCGTCGCGAGCTCGGAGGGGAGCGGGAACTGGGGTTCAGACCGGCTCAGGGGACGACAATGGTCGGTGGACGACCGACACAAAATGGCACCATTTGCAATGACATTTTGGCATACCCCAAATGCCGATTTGAAAGTTTTTACTGTCTATTTTGCGTCAGTTTCCGACCGGGGCATGGTAGTTGACCGAAAAGATAATTTCGATTTTCGTGCAAATGAAATTGCAGGCTGCAGCATCCGGGTTAAAAAAGCATATAACCCCATCTGTATATCCATGCAATCTAATTGAGTCAAATTCGCCACCTCAAAATCTCTACCACACAAGTGTTTTACTGCGCATATATATTGTCATCGACTTTTTCGGTGAAATATTTTAAACAGCTAAGCCATGCCTCAGCGCGCATCCATCGCCCCTGCACGGTCAGCTGCAGCCCAAAGATGCTGAGCCAGCTATGACAACACTCGAGTCGAACAGTCCTCGACTCTGAACCTGACATCTACGGCCGGGTGAAGTCCAGACTGCTCGTATCACGGGCGCCTAACAATAGCGGCCCTGTCTCGCTGAGGAGTCGAATTTAACCCCATCCATCGCTGCTGACGTAAAACAATCCTGGACATGGCATCACTTCCGACGAGCATTTCGTAATTCGAGACGGTTGAAGTGGAACAACGGTTGAGTTAAATGTTTATTTTCCTGGTTGGCCCGCTCGTTTGGGCGGCCGGCTCAACTCAGTTCGATGGACCGGCGGAGTCGGAGACGGCACGGTATCGGCCTCCGTCAACAAGGTTTGGCGCAATAATTCCAAATCGAACCCCAGTTATCTTCCGTTAACATCTAGCACTGCAGTAGCAAAAACTTCGGGCTGCATTTCTTGAATTTCGAGAGTATCTATGTAGTTGCTAAACAGCAAAAAGACCGATAAGTTTATCGGCTCGCCTGTCCATATATGTAGCAAACGACTTTCTAAATACTGCCACGACACTATCATATGACGGAGCCGTTTAAAACTCCACTTACGAAGCAAATAGGACACATAAGTTGAGAAAAATTGCGGTGCTTTATTCGAGGCTTATTTTGTGAAGAATGACGTTTAAACTCAATGCATTCGACCCAAATGTTTTAACGGAAAAGTGAACAGAAACTCAAAAGTTTTAAAGCCAGTTTATAAGCGCCTTTTTTGCTTTCATATATGATATTCTAGCGCAAAGTTAACGTGACGATTAAAACCAATGACCTCAATCATACCTATCATTTTTTTTAATTGATGCGAGCTTTTTCAATAGGCATCCCGTCCTGGCCTTCCATAGATCCCAACTGGTTAAAGGCCAGCGCGTGTCACCGATCGTCACGCACGTCACACACTCAACATCTCTCGACCGACGGTCCCGTCGCCACCGACGACACCCTCCCCTCCCCCGCACACACTGTCGGCTCGACAGTCCGCCATTCGGCGCACCCCGGGAGCCGACACATTCGGTCTGTTTGTGCGTGTTTGTAGGTCACGTAAAGCACAGCACACAGCCCGAGGCCATGAGTGCCTGTTAGACACGCCTGCGGCGGCTCCACCCGGCCAGGTGGAGGCAGCCGTCGAGCTGGCGACGAGGCTCAGCCGGCGCGGAGCAGCGGCCGGCTGAGCCCTGCACGGTGCCGAGTGACGGACTGTCAGCGGTAGCACCGTCTGTCAGCGGACTAGCCATAATCTGCGCGATGTTTTGTGTCAGTTATGTGTTCAGAGCGAACTATTTTTGATGATGTTACCGATTGATATCGCACGCTGAACATTTATATTTACGTTGTTTTTTTTTCAGGGGAGGGGGGGGGGGCGCTTATGAGCCAGCAGCCCAAGACAACTTGACCATTCATGCCCCCATATATGTCCAACTGCTATTTAATAACGACGCCCGACGGCATGCGAGCAGACAGTGCAATCTGTCGCCCCATACACCTGTAAACCAGCCTGCCCTGCGTCGGTTCGTCTGGCCAAGATTCGTCTGGTCGTCGGGCCATTATCCCTCGCATGAGGCAGCGCTGGCGGCGTGCACTCGTCTGGAGCCCGGGATTTGATCCGTAGCTCCTCCGGCCCCGTGAACCCGATGCGGCCACTTGGTACAGACTGTGTGACCGCTGACGCCCAGGTATGTGGCGGTAAACGTTATGGGACCCTCGGAAACCGATATGACGTCGACGTGGGCACTTTGCCCGGATTGGTATGCCACCCGCATGTTACATGCTATATGCGCACGGAAGTAGAAAACGGGTGGAGGAGGAACTGCATGGATAATCATTTATGCGGGGGAATAAAGTTTCTCTAAGGGTCGATCGTGCTATTTTCAGGTGAATTAGAATGCTAGCAACGCTTCATCAGCTCTACGACTCAGCAACTATATCTAATCGGAATTTTAGGTACATAAATGCAGCTATACCGAAGGCGAGTGAATATTTCCTAGGGCTCAACCTTATTCTTCGAACGTATAGGTACTAAGCGAAGTGCTCACTCAGGCCGTCGATCGAAACCAGGAAGCCCAAAACAGCCACCAGTAGCCATTATCTAGCCGTATTTGTGAATTTAATTACCCCGATGCCCCTAGTAAACTTCTGATATGACGTAAATCACGTTCGGGAGCCGAGGCTCCGACAGCTACTGGCTTAGGCACGAGGTAGCGTCCAATTGAACCGCGGGGCATAATGCGCTATGCCAATCATGCGAATCCTGAACTGATTAGTTAGGTCTATGTAATTGTATACAACGCATCAACATTCAACAGGGCTTGTTAGTGCGCAGGGATCATCGGCTGGGAGCAGGTTTTAAATCAGTCAGGCCGTCGCGACCGTCAGAGGGCTGCGGCATTGTTGGTCATTGTCTAGTCACCGTCTGCTCTCGGCAAAACGTAAAAAAAGCATAGTGTCGCTGTCACCCACAGTCGGCCACTGTCGTTTACCTACTTTGCTGCTGTCGGTCATTATCAGTTGGTCTCCGTTATTTCGCAATTGTCGGTCTCAACTCTCAAGGTCACTGATGCACTCACTCTTGGTCGCTGTCGATCGCGGATGTCGCAGGCCGTCCAATGTCGCATGGCCATGTCGGCCACGTCTGTCCTGTCTAGCTATCAATTGCCAATGGCTAAGCTTACCACGGTGACTATAAATAAGCTATAAGGAAGCTTACGCTTCCTTTTATCTGTAGCCCGCAGGTAATCAACTTCCCATCCAAACCAATGATCGTTTCTGCCGGCTCGTTCGGCGTTCCATCAACATCGAGCCTTTGCATCACGTACCGCACTGTGTTCCTTCTATCCAATATACACATCTCAGCCACGCCCCCTGCATGACGCCGGTCACACCAGGCGACCTCCGATGGGCGGACACAGAAGTGCAGGGTGACAGCGCGGTCGAGAAGATACAGCCCCGCCGACTGGGCGAGTTTATTCAGCGCCGCATCGACTGCTCAACATCCGGCCGAGACGGGCGCCACACCGGGGCACCGCGCCAGCCCCGCTACACGGCAGACAGCCAGACGGACCATGCAGGCGCCTGGGGCAACCGGGCCGGATAACTGACAGCCACACTAATACACGTGCTGACGAGTGTATGGCTGCCAGGTCGGCAACAGGTGAGTCACTGAGGCGGTGTTAGCGAGAAACACGGTAGTTCAAACACAACTCGGATTGTCAGTGGGCGTAACAGCGAGGAATCAGAAGCAGATGGGATAGGTAGAAAGGCCAGGTTAACCGGGCGGAAAGGTGGGGTCCTTGGAAAGCACACATGCCCTTCAGGCAAACTGCTGTTTGAACTCACCGGCAGTTTGCCATCGCGCCAGTCGTGCCACCACTGGTCGACCACTCGGCGCCGCTCCTCCCTGTCAGGAGTCTCGAGGAGTCGCACTCTCACCCTCAGCGGCGGCGACACTCGCGCACCGTTCCTCTCCGCCGGCTCCGAGTGACCGGGCGCCTCCTCAACGACCAACCCTGGCTCCTCGGCGACAAAATGCACCGCTTTACTCATGTTCCGGCGGCGGCCGAGTCCACATGTCGCCGCTCGCTGCAGTTCGGACGGACGGCGGAGTGGCACGGGGTTCAGACACCTGCGGCAACACCTGACCGCTGCCGCACTCCGACTCTGTCAACACAGTGAGTCAGAGTCAACTCACAGAGAACGGATGGCGAGCGGCTCACAGCTGCGTGGCGAATAGAGTGTGTGGGGGTGACTGTCGACCGTCAACAGCGCGGCTAGATGTTTATGATCCGCCACAATCATGAAACGGTTGCATTTAACCTCCACCGGACCGTTTACTTTGGAGAGTGAACGTTTACTCAGCGCAGAGCAAAACAAGACTGAAGGCTCTATGTTTTAGTCAGAAAAGTAGCAACTAGCAATAGCTGGAATTTAATTGTTAAACGTTTTATTCATATAGCATAATGTGCGTAACACTCGACGACGTCGTGGTATCACTATCACATGTCAGTATATACATAATGCATACGATGTCTAGAGCAAACATCGATCGTTTTCAGCAGTACGCCTTATCCATGGGTTGGCTCAGCAACCCTCATGTGTTCACCTATCTCACCGGCACTACCTATAAGCTGTGCTTATGTGTCCCAGGATCTCAGAAATCGGTCGAACTTTTGTTTCTTTGCAGCCCTGCTCACCTTGTCTCATTTGCCGTGTTCACCTGTCTTGTCAGCCGTGCTCCCATGCCTCAGCTATCACGGTCATGAGCGACTAACCCAAGTCACACTGCTCACCTGACTGATTCGCTAGCCACTCTCATTGGCATCGCATGACGTTCTTACCTGTCACAGCCGTTCTAATCTGTACCAATACTGCCTTGCTCACACGTCTTATAACTTGCAAGCCATGCCGATACATATTATATACGTTCAGCAGTCGTTCCCAGATCGATCTCAGCTATCCCGCTCACCTGTTTCAGAATCCCCGCTCACCCGGCTCACCAGCGGTGCTCACCTGGCTCAGCGGCCGGGTCGGTCTCGTCGGCTGCGGCGCGGCCGTGCGCCCACCACTGGCTCTCGGGTCCGCCGCTGTTCCGTCCGCGCCCTGCTCCGGCTCCGGCTCCGCCGACGGGACGTGGCCGACCGCCCAGCCGGACCGGCTCCGGCTAATTTTGACCTGATATTAAACTTGGCGCGGGCACCGCCACGGCACCAACAGCGCCGGTCGGCACGCGGAACCACCGGCAGATGACGGCACTACAGGCACCCTCAGCTCCGTCCGGCCCGGTCATGGCTTCGGGAGCGGAGCAGAAACTGGCTGCTCACCAGTCACTTTGGGTGCTGTCATATTACCTACCCGTGTTTTTATCCTCAGGACCACCCCATGTTATCATCTTTTTAAAAGTGCATTTTCTCTCTTCCGGGTCAACGAATGTCAGGTCACACCACCCCAGCCTAACCGGGTTATGGCCTGTGACCTAATTCAAAACATGGCCGTATAAGAGGTTCCAAACAAAAGGAGCTCACCCTTACCCTATAAGGTAGGCCTATCGTGCAGTTGGATGTCCATTCGGCCGGAAGACGCCATGCTCAGCCGTAAGGTGACCAAACAGCCGAATCCGACGGTGGGCGAATCGGCCCGATGTTTCTCGATCCGCTTGCATGTTTGCTTCCTACGAGCAACGACCGGGGATGTGTCTAAATTGTAAATCAGTGGTCTAATTGGATCAAAACACTAGTGTCGCGTGTAGGTCAGGTAGGGTCTGGGGTCATTCTCTGAAAATGATTGTATCATGCAAAACCACGGACCGATAGAACCTGTCTTTTGTCTAAGTTATAGGTATATCCAATTCAAAGCCATGAATATCGTAATGCGTGACTAAGCCAATATAACGCTGTTGGGATTGGTAGAGTTTGTGTTGTGTTTTCGATCGGGAAAAAGTAATGAATCGTCATCAGTTATTTTTAACCGAGCCTTGACTGTTGCTGAGGTGGCGCTCAAGGCGATAAGTGGCGCTGTACCGTAGGACAGCTGTGGAATTTTATTGTTAATTTATTTTAGGGTATTTTTTAAGTGGAATCTAGTGTAGAAACCCTCAAAATGGCAGACAATGTACCACACAAGGGTGATATAATGGCAATATTCAAAAGATTACGTGCTATTCCTACCAACAAGGTGAGGCGACATAGGTACCACCTTATCTCATCTGACATTTTGCATCAGCATTGTTCTATGTTTTATTTCGTGTTATGAATCATAAACAGCGTTTTGCTCTACTGTCATTTTTGGTGTTCATTATTAGGTACATGCTTAATAAATTGAGATATGTTATATTGGGTAAATAGCACTAAATGTCTATGATACCGTAAAACAGTAGGCGGAACTATGGTCAAGCGTACCCATTTTCGGGAACGCATTATCGTTCCCATGTTTGGGAACGATAAACCCAAATATGGGAACGCCATGTAGGCATTATTTAAAACAAGAAAAAGAACCGTTAAATGACGTCCAAAAAATATAAAACGATCGTGAACCGCCTGATATTTGTCTCAATATTGTTGGGAAAGAGTTTGATATTGTAAGGCCCATCGTAGTTTCAAATCGTTCCCCCATTTCTAAAGCAGTCCATCATCCGGGCCGCGAGCCCAAATTTGGGAACGCTCTCGTACACTGGCGTTGCAAGCGTTCCTTATTATGGGAACGGCGTACCCAAAATTGGGAACGATTTCACCGACGCCTTTCAGGGGCTCTTTTCATTAACAAGCATCACGTCCAACGCCGCAAATTATTGTTAACGCAACAATCATCAGATGACCTTTCCGGCAAGACCGTCGCATGTTTCGCCCGGTCTTCTGCGCTTTTATTCCCGTAGATCTCGCAGCGGGCACGCCCCCCTCTGCAGGATTACGTAATTCACAACGCTCAGCGATGTTCAACAAGGTCTTCCATACCTATATCCACCGTCCGCGCCGAGGGTGGAGACATGTCAAGCACCTGTCTGTTTATCACCGATAGTTGACGAGCGCAAGGAAGTATCCAAAAATGGGAACGCTGAATATGTTACACCCTCAAAACACCTAGTCCCAATGAAAATCTAGTTTTTTCCTTTCTTGATGAGTGTAAGTGGCAAAAGGCCTGGTAGGATGGGCATGAGGAATGATCGAAATCAGCATAAAAATTATAAATAAGCCACACAGAGCGACCTATATAAGAGAAATTCCCCCAAAACGATCAAGCTTAGAAACACGGAAGACAAAAACCACGCTCATTACGCTCCTTATAAACAACTCTAAACAGCTAGCATCCAAATAAAATATGTCTTTCTGGGATGATAAAATACAGCTGAATAATTTTAAACCACTGAAACTGAGTTTACAACAGTAGTTCGGTAAAATCACTGACGTTCCATGCGGTCGTGCGCCCCGACACCAAATGTCACCAATATTACCCCCGGACTGTCCGCGTGTTCGCTTGCATATGTCAGCATCTGGTGTCGCTAGTATGAAACTTCATAACCAGGCGAAAATTATTATACTTGACCTCAAAATGTAAAAAACGCTTCATTTTCCTTAAAATTGCAAGTTAAATGTAGTATAACCCATGTTTTCACCATTCCGTCATTTCAAAAAATCATTAAAAATATCATTCGACGGTCAATTTCCTTGTGCAACGGTCAGATCAAAGATAATTTTATAGAGACTTAGTAGATACTTAAATTAGCGTGCACTTTTTTGAAACGTGATGCACTAATGAGTTTTAGTGGGCGAACGGCCGAAAAATTACCTTCCGTTCCCATAAATGGGAACGCCCGTTCCCATATTTGGGAACTCCGTTCCCAAAAATGGGAACGTTCCTATATTTGGGTACTCATGACCATAGTTCCACCTACTGAAAACGGTGTTAAGTGATGGTTTTGAGTTGTTTTGTTTTATAACTCAAGAATGGTTTGAGATAAAAGCATCAAATCACCAGCATTTTATGTGGAATTTGGTATTTTACATGCCCGCTACATTTAAATTTTGAAAATATATACCTGCATATGATTTTTTATTATTTTTCTTCACTGTCCCTTAGCACCCCAATGTGGGGTGTGAAGGGACACCTATGACATATAGTATTTCAAGAAATGGCCATCAAATGCTCACAATTGGGGTTTGAAAGGGCATACTTTATTTAATGAAATGTTTTGCATATTCTGTCACAAAACAAGGCACGCTCATCATGGGTGGAGAACCTGCCCCGGCCACCCCGGCCGTGGCCGGGGTAACTTTCAGCCTACCCCGGCGCGGCCGGGGTAACTTTTCTACTCTTGTAAATCTTAAAAGCTGTCTCCATACGAGAAAAGAAAACTCACGCTCTTTGAATGTTGACTTCCATGGGCGTAATATTGCAAATCAGGTAGGTATTTACCATTTACTTAACTTGCCATAGTCTCCAACCCTAAGACCCGCGTGTGGTGGCCAATGCCAAGATTGCTCTCAAATCCTGTTCAGTTTCGAAACTTTTACGCGCCTTCGGCGCACTTTTTCAAAGCCACTGCTTGACCTCATTGCCTTCGACTGGCCTGCCACCAACCGCAACCACACCCGTTTATGAGCGTACCCGTCAGGGTGCTCATAAACACCGAGCGGCCATCATGCTTCGAACTCGGACTGTTGTAACCGGGACGCGTGCTCTCGCCACGCGGAGTCCAACGCTCTAGCGACTGAGCTACGTGACCGGGACAGGTCGATATTTCTGGATCGACTCCCTTTTTGTCTTATAAGAGCCGCCCAACATTGAAAAAGGCTGGGTCCGTGGATGTCAGTGACCTATTTTAGTGCTTTGTTTGGTTCGATCTGTCAGTTTCTCTGTAAAGCTTCTACTAGGTGAGTTGTCTTTTTGTAGCTATTTTGAGACACAATAAAAAGCTGAAAACGCAACATTTAGGTACTCAAAATGGCATATGGTTTGGTTTGGGTTTGGTGTGAAATTGCAAGTTAAAGTAAAAAGAAATAATAACTTAAAAGGAAATTGCCTTTTTGATCATTCCAAAAATGTTATGAATAATACGGTGTCGGATACAACGCTCATCCTTGAGCAAACACAGCATCCTATTCCATGCGTCAGAATAGGGGTTTGATGATGACCGTTGAGAACATCGTGCGTATATCGTCTTCCCGCGACTATCGGTCGCCGGCCGGGGTAACTTTTTCAAACATTCTCCACCCATGACGCTCATTCACTACTAATGGCCTTTTCAGCCAATCGTGTAATGAACCAAAAAGTACCCTTCTGTCAGCAACAAAAACCCACTTTGAAGCTAGTCATTTGTCCTAATGTTACCCTCTTTGTTGTCATCTTTTTATGATTACAGGGGCCGTATTCACGTCGATCATTTTCGTAAGAATTTTCTTAAGTTTGACCTACTTCTTAAGTAATTTTTTTTAATCACGTGAACTCCGTCGATAAAAACTTACGAAGTGTCAACGTGAATACCAAATTATACTTACGAAAGAAAATCGACTTACGAAGTCGACGTGAATACAGGTCACATTTATCTACAGGCTACATCAGTCTTCATTGACCCATCATTGTAAAACAGAGTGTTAACAGAGTTTTGAGATGTTTTGTTTTATAACTTGAGATGTATTAGAGATAAAAGCATGAACTTGCCAGCATTTTATGTAGAATTTGGTGTTTTCCATGCCTACCGAAAGAAAACTTTATGAAATTCTATTTAGATATTATTTTTTATTTTGTCTTCCCTGTCCCTTAGGGCCCTGTTTCACCGGTGATAGCAGCACGCTGCTTTTACACGTGTCAAATTGGGTTTCCATGGAAACATCAACAGGCCCATTGCTCCAACACTACCGCAAGTGTGACGTCAGCTCGCGCAATTTGATAGCAGCGTGGTAGCAGCGTCCCGTGAAACACCGCCTAGGTAGCACCCCACCCCACAAAATATGCATGTGTCTGGAAAAGAGGAAGAGGATGATGAATGAATGGGTGGGTTTGTAATTTTTTTTTGCAAGAGACATGTGCAATACATGTGACAATACACCTATGCATTCATTTTCCCTGTACACCTCCTAGTTTCTCTGATGCACACATGGCACAGGGTTTTGGAGATGTTTCAATTTTGTGAAAATGTATCATGATTTTCAAAACCATTTTTCTCAACTAAATCACTTGCATGAAAAACCTTGTCCATGTCAATCATGTCCTTTTCTCCTGTAGTCAAGAACAATTTAACAAAACTGAACAGTGTCAACTAACACACTCAATTTTTTATTTAACCTTCTCAAATTGGGAACACATGACTCAAAGTTTTTCCCACGCAACCATCCCTTAGCACACCTCTGTTCCTTAACACCTCATTTTGCGGTAGGTATAATAGGTATTGGCTGGTCCCATAGCTCAGTCAGTACTCAGTAGAGCGTTGGACTCCGCGTGGTGAAAGCATGCGTTCCCGGTTACAACAGTCCGGGTTCGAAGCGCGATGGGCGCTTGACGTTTATGGGCCTCCTGACAGTTGTGGCTGCCGTTGGTGGCAGACCGTAGCCAGGTGAACTCAGTGAGGGGACCGGTCGAAGTCAGTGGGGGGATCGTTCGTGCGCGGACATGTACGTACGTTAAACTTTGGACTCCAAATTCTATCATATGTAGAACCGGAATTGCGCAATCTGAGGGTAGAGTGCAGGGTCAACGCAATAAGCATCGCTTAGCAGAGGCTCTATCCTTGTGAATCCTTCCATTCAAAAGGTTCGGATTAATTTTTTTTTAATGATGTGGCCGATGTCAGTGGCAAATCGAGTGAGGGCTCGAGGGGAGCATTCTGCATTTGCCTCTGCACCAGGTTCTAATTTTCAGGAAGTTTAGTAGTTTCTCTCTCTGAAAAGTGATAACTAAGCAATTTTTTAAAAAAGCATGCCCTTACCAACATTCTACTTGAAATATCACGGAAAGACTGCAAAGGACTGCAAAGTATGGAATGTCTGCCTCTTTCACTGTCATCAGTTGACATTGACTGTTGGTAAGAGGTTATTAATTTTGAAGGTTAACATCTGCTTCTAGCGTGAAGGACTGTTCAGTGTTCATCCCTTATTCGACATTTCATAAGGTAAGTAACAGTTCCAGTGTTTGTTATTTCAAGACTTGCTTCTGTGTTTTTCAGGTCTGCTTTGACTGCAGCTGCAAAAACCCAACCTGGGCCAGTGTCACATATGGTGTTTTCCTCTGCATAGACTGTTCAGCTGTGCACAGGTGAGGATGTGGCATAGAAGATGCATATGCACATCGTGAGCAGCTATATGCCATGAGCCGTGGAGAGTGACACAGTGCTCAGTGCTGTGCTGCATTGGTAACAACCTACTGTGCTGAAACCTTTTTCCCATGGTTTATCCAGGTGTTATATGTCCCATGCAATACCTACTGCTAGCTTTTGATTAGTGGTCCAACCCACTGGACTGTCCCAGCCAGCCAATCACTGCAGTGCCACACCGACGGGCGCCGGGACCACCAATGAAACCCATCGAAACAGGATGTGTCCGTGGGTTTAGTTGGCGGCTCGCTGTTTTGGTGTGTGGCTTGCTATCTCAGCGTTCTCAGGGGGGGTGGGGGGGGGGGGAAGGGAGGTCTAGTTGACGTCTTTCTTGGCCTCAGGAATCTGTAAAATCCATACGATTTCTTTGAATTCGATGGCTGCCGGTCGTAAAGAAATAATGAACCAAGTTACTTGTGTTACATTTTCATGCAGAGGAACAGAGGAAGGAGTAATGAAAGTCACATTCTGTAGGAATGATGAACTTTGAAGCATAACGAAGAGTGATAAAGTTACCATTTTGTAGAACTGTGCAGTGTGCCCACGTCCTATACAAGACTGCAAAAGTATACTATATTGTGCTCTATTTCTCACATTTTTTCTTCATTGCATCATATTTCATTGTTATATGCCAGTCAGTTATCAACAATATTTGTCTCTCGGAAGGTGTACTATTCCCACCGTCTGTCTGACTGTCTGTGTGTGTGTGCGGCCGGCAGGGGTCTGGGGGTGCACGTGACGTTCGTCCGCTCCACGCAGCTCGACACCAACTGGACCTGGCTGCAGCTGCGTAACATGCAGCTCGGCGGCAACGCAAACGCCGTTAGTGACAACTATTTTCTCTCGATCTTTTGTGCAATAGTTATGTCAATGATTTCATCAGGCGGTACGGCGTCGCATTGTTATCGTTACTTCCTGAAAACGATGTTCTTTTCCTTGAATTGCCTCGATGTGCAGGCTTTTTTCTTTTTTCATATATTACCGTTTTCTGTCGGGTATGGCAATAAAACCATGCATTTTGCTTCCTCAATAAATGTAGTTTTAATAGCATCTTTGATTCTGTGCTATCACGGCATGTCTTTTGAAATGCCGACTTTAACGTGGTAAACTGCTTTTTGTTGTTATCTCTGTCGTATTTCGCGATCATAACAAGTTTTAATGCCAGTTATGATATCATAGCCGTCCTCAATTGGCTGACAAATCCTATCCGCCGGCAGCGCAAGTTTTTCCACCAGCACAATTGCTCGACGACGGACGCGCAGCAAAAGTACCATTCGCGGGCGGCACAGCTGTATCGCGACAAGCTGCATGGCATGGCGGTGCAGGCCATGAAGCTGTACGGCACGCAGGTACGGTAGCGGTGCGTCCGTGTAAGCAGTGCACGACGAACTGAATTTTGACTGCCTCAACAATACATTGACAGGACACATGTTATATGACAGGAGACAGATGTTATTGCCGCGCCACTGCACTGTGTTGTGAAAATGCCCCTGTAGTTGGCATCGTGATGGTACACTCAGTGTTGCTGTCTGTTCATGTGTGTTTGTCACAGGTTCACATCGAGTCAGAACACCACGACGGCGGCGGAGAGAAGGCGCAGCCCGATGTGGACTTTTTCGACGAACACTCGTCGGCTCAGTTCGAGCAGCCGCCGGCCCAGGACAACAAGTACTCGGCCGCCGCACAGCTGTCAGCTCACGAGGTGAGCTGTGCTCACAGCTGCTGGCCGATATTATACGTGACATATCAACTCTCGTGTCTCGATCTGAAGCATCTGAGTCTTTTTGTCTATGGTTAACCCAACGGCCTCTGTCTAGTTACGGAGCGAGCGAAGCGAGCGTAGTCTTTCCTTAGATTAGCGGAAATTTCTGAATATGAGCGACCGGCCGGCCGGCCGGCCGTGGTCACGATTCTGCGACGCTTATATCTCAGCAACCACTTGACCGATTTACACACGGTAATTTTTGTAGGACAGCTTCATTCCTTCTACCAAGTATTGGACTATTGCCGATGCATGTGGGTGACCCCTTATGCACGTGCCACGTGCAAAACGAAGAGGTGTCACTTTTGTAATTGTTGCAATATCTCGGTAACTACTTGGCCGATTGCGCTGAAAGTTGGCATGTAGGTAGGCACCCACTAGGCAATGCATATCCATGTGCCAGAATCGGGGTGCTGCTGCACGTGCGCACGTGCAGGGGTCGATTCCAGATCTCGAGAACGGCTGGACCGATGGCGCTCAAATTTGGCACATGGTTAGGGACCGGTTAGTAGGGTGCCGTGCAAAACTCAGTTGGGACCCATTTTGCACGTGCGCACGTGCAGGGTGCCGCTTCCAGATCTCGAGAACGGCTGGGCCGATTGTGCTCAAATTTGGCACAGCGCTAGAGACCGGTTAGTAGGGTGCCGTGCACAAGTCAGCTGGAGGTACCTCGTCGAAATTTCGCACGTGCAAGGCTCACCCTCTCGCTCGCTCCGTTAGTCGCCCCAAAAGGCGTTATACTGGTTACTATCCTTTATTTTTCGGCCACCTTTCGGATATCCGTGGAGGTAGTCTTTCTGCCGGCACTCGGTCCGCTTGACATGTCTTTTTTTGTAATGTATATTTAGCATATATCTCTGTCTCTTCTTGCCATATTTGACACCCTTTTTATCCTTGTCCAGCCGGAGCCGGAGCCGCAGTCGGGCGCGCCGGCCTCAAACGGTGCCGTGCAGGTACCGGGTGCCGGACCGCGTGTGGAGCACGTGCTCGGTACCAGCCCCCAGGCGGCGCCGCAGCAGATCAGGAAGTCGACCATCGGACAGCGGCGACCGGCAGGCGGCAAGGTGAGCGGTAATGGCGGTTTTGGGGTGGAGACGTAGCAGTGACGCAACAACAGTGCCACGGGCATACTGTTGGACGAGTGAAATACGTACCTATCTTGACTCTTGACTGAGCAATGAGTTTCTGGATTTATGTTGTTATGATGCGACAAGGATTACAATATTAGTTGACTTCTGTTCAATGATTGGTTAAATGTAACGTGATGCTCGTGTTTCCAATATTGCGAAGCTGATTTGTTGACTGTTAGGTGAGCCGGAGCGTCGCGTGACGGCTAGTAGCCGGCTGCCGTGATACCGTCATAAATATATCGTCGAAGCTGCCTTATCGTTACCGTCACGGCCGCCTCAGTTCCGCCCTACCACACCTTATCAGTGACAGATCCTATAACTGACTGCGCTCCTTTTCCGACAGCTGGGGGCCCGCAAACTGGGAGGAGGACTGGGCGCTCAGAAGGTGAAGAAGGACTTCTCGGAGATTGAGCGTCAGGCCGAGCAGGCTGACATGATGAAAGTACAGGCTGCTGAGGCCAAGGTAGGCGGGGTGACCAAAGGAAGACCGGGTGGGGCTAACCGTGACACCACGCTGTCGGCCTAATGATGTGTGGGTGGATCTTTGAGGGAGGGGCGGAGAACGTATCTATCGTCAATTCCTCAGCAACAGCGGTTGTTGGAAGCTATGGCACGCAGTGCTAGTTAGTTGTTTTGTTTCCGTCCAGAACTGTAGGACGCTTTTTGAAATACAATGATAATTATCAGACGTCTGACTGTGTAGATGCCGCCGAAGACTCGATTAATTTTGAGTTACTGGGCGATTCTTCGCCTGTGTTTTGTATGCTTCCTTTTCCGGTGTGTAATCTGGCTGCCAGGCTGCATTCTGTTCATCTACATCAACATTTAGCTATCTCGCTATGTCGAAACCTCTCGTTGTATAATGCCTCTGAATCACACTCGCCCCTTGTCACCTGCACAGAAGGAGGAAGCCCGTCAGACGGCCGAGGAGCAGGAGCGTCAGCTGGCCTCGGTGCGGCTCGCCTACCAGGACCTCAGCCTGGAGCAGCGGAAGCAGACCGACAGGGTGAAGAACATGGACCCCAAGAAGGCCGAGCAGCTGGAGCGACTCGGCATGGGCTTCGGCGGCGGCAACTCCGGGTATGGAGATACGACGGGAATGGGTGGTCGGTCCCCCGTGGAGATAGGCGGTCCCTTGGAAGGGTGGCTGTTCCCTGGGACAGGGGTAGGACAGGAGGGCTTGCGCGTTTTTTTTCGACGTAGGGATGTAGGACTGGCTCGGACTGATAGAACGACTACCTAATGCATCTCTTTTGTATTATTGCTTACCGTGCTATTTTTTTCCTCGTTTTCACGTCCCCATGTACTAGGTAAAGCGAGACAGTCTGGCAAAACGGACCCCTGACTCGATACTGACGCTCCCACCCGTTCCGCCCACAGTGCCGTCAGCCACTCTGCGTTCAGCGACATGGAAACGATCGAGCAGAGCGCGCCGGCCTCTGCCGAGCCGCTGGGACGCCGCGGCGCCGACGCGTTCTCACGCCGGGACGACATGGACGAGTTCGAACTGGGCTTCTCCTCCAAGGCCAAGTGAGTGGGCCGTGGACTTGTGCTCCGGAAGTCAGGGAAAATGTTTGTCTGGTCCGTGAGACGGAAAAGATTAATTTTAAAGTCTGCTTTAGAAGACTGGCGGATATTGTGTCTGCTGCGGGAGACAGGAGAGATGAGTTGTACCTATCGTGGCGAAATTGAACTCACTGCGACGTCATTCTGTGTGCTCTATCCAGCCGCAAGGTGGGGCGAATTCTGAACTATTCCATCCCGCCTCGTGGTTTCAGATCACAGAGCGACGATGACGACTTCTTTGGCGGCTTTTCGTCTGGTACCGGTTTGGGCGGTTTGGGTAGCAGCAGCGGCGGCGGCTGGGGCAAATCCAGCAGCTCGGCTTCCAGCTGGGAAAAGGCGCCCACTTCCTCGTGGGAAAAGGCGCCCACATCCTCCTGGGAAAAGGCGCCCACGTCCTCCTGGGACAAGACGCCCTCGTCGGCGCCCCGGCGCCCGCCGCCCACCGATACTAGCAAAACGTCATGTGGAGATGACGCCCAGAAGAAATTCGGCAACGCCAAGGCGATCTCGTCGGCGGCGTACTTCGGTGACGAGCGACCATCTGTGAGTGTCAGATTCCATCACATGCTATTTTATGCCCACGGAGCCTAAACTGACCTGAAACCTAAACTGCGTACGTACCTAACCTATATTGACGCATCATTTCAGGGTGTTAGCGCTTACATCATGCCTAATCCGCGTACACTCTCCTCTGATCCCATTGTTATGACCTCTGATCTGACTTCTGATGGGGATATTACCTCGATGTTTCAGTTCGAGTCGCAGCAGAACATGAACCGGTTCCAGGGTGCCCGAGGTATCTCCTCTGCCGACTATTTCGGCGAGCCGCAGACGAACCGCGGTGGCGGCGGAGGACCTATGATGCAGGTCAGTATGGCGTGGGGCCGGCCGGTCGGTATAAACTCATTGTGTACTTACTCGTTAGTGGACTGTGTGGCTGTAGGCTGGGTGGGTTTTGTGTCTTCTTCCTGTCAGTTTAATTGTACCATGTAAGTGATCCGCTCTGCTTGATCACACCTGAACTTTGCCTGAACTGACGCTCTCTTGCCCTCTGTCGTCTTGCTCTGCTTACGCAGACTCCTGATCTGGAGGATGTGAAGGAGAGTGTACGTCAGGGCGTTACCAAGGTGGCCGGCAAGCTGGGCACCCTGGCCAACGGCGTCATGTCCTCCCTGCAGGTGAGTCCAGCGTCACCTGCTGGTGCGTCCCTCCCGATCCCACCGCCCGACGGGCCCCACTGCCCTTCCTTACTTATCTGACTCTGACTACATAGCAGCCAATACCCAATGACAGGCTGTCTCTTTATTGTCTTGATTCGGTACCGTATGTTGGTACTGGATTCGCTCAGGGACGAACGTGTGGTTAATCCGTGGGTTAGATGCGCAATGGGGAACGGGTCAGTACGGAGTAGACGCATGTCACGTAGAAATGGTTTGCTGGTTGAACCATTAGTGGATAGCGTGGTGTTAGACGTTATACTCTACCAGACTGGGTAATGAGTGACTAACGAGCCTTAGAGAACCGGAAACCGGGATTAAAGCCCCGGCGGCAGTCGGCGCCTGGAATCCCTTACCCTACTAACAGAGTTGTGGTCCGCGCACAGCGCAAATCGTAGCGCAGCCAGCCAGCAGAACGGAGTGTGACTGCCTGTAGTCGGTGAGCGTGTGCTGTGTGCTGTGTGTGACGGGAGTTGTGTGCTGTGTGACGTGGGTTATATGCTGTGTAACGTTTGAGTGATGCGTGATGTGACGTGTGTGTTGTGTGTATGATGTGCGCTGTGATGTGTGCTGTGCGTTTAATACCTTTTCCACGGTGGGAAGTAAATGTATGCTTGCGAATGAATGATGTGGGTTTGCTGTGCGTTTGATATAAGATTTGCGATACATTTTGCTGTAATTGTAGAGCTCTTGTGTCTTTGATATCCGGTGCCTTTGCCGTGCATTTCATCCCTGGTGTGTTTTCTATGCGTGCGAGTGCCGTGGTTTTCCGTGTGATCTCTGGTTTGCCGTGCCCGGGAGCGCCGCTCTGTGGACGGGTCGAGCCCTGCTGACCCGACGCGCTGCTGTTTGCAGTAACGGCTCGTCTCCGTCGGCCCCAGCTCCGCTAAGGCTGTACGAACGGTGGGTGGGCGCTCTGGCCGCTGCTGCTCGCTATATGTTCCGCATGTGGTGTGGGCGATACCCGTCCGGCCGCCGCCGTGGCTGGTTGTGGTGGTGGGGAGTGAGACATTCTGACTGTGGCCTGCCACTGGACCTCTGTCTGTCCTACGCTGCGGCTGGGGTGGTGCTAGTGGTGCATGTCAGGCTTGATGTTTAAGGTCTCCATGAGCTATCCGGCTCGAATGAATTCCACTGACCCGGCACCCACTTTTCCATATATGCATATCATCCGCTGTGGCTTGGTTTCTTCCCTCTTAAAAGACAACACCAAGCGGGAGTAACGTCGCTGATATTGATCACCCGAGAGCCTAGCCCTTTACTGGCATCGGTGCCTTCCGCCTCCCCTTTGTGACATACCGTGTGCTACCGTGTCATACACAGCTTGGTGTGTGCACCATAACCTCAATTGCTTCTTCGGGTATGTCGCGTTTTTCTTTGTGCCTTTTAAACAAAATATGGCATATAAATGCATTATGCTTCACTTGAATTATATAAAGGCTCATGCGTTCATAATTATCATTTATCAGTATCTACATATAATGTTTTATTCAATTTTAAGCAAGTTCATGTTCCGTGAGTTATTAGTCTGCCGATTGGTTCAGGTGAGCCTACTCCTTAGACTTTTATCGATGTTATTTCATATCTGTACGGTGTACGAACCAACCCAATCACTGCCCTCCTTTACTGACCTTAATTTTCTACCCCGACGCCCTGAACAAATAAGTCTATGCTAATGCCTGTCCCTACTGCACGTCATGCACTATTTCTCTGATAGTGATGATTAAATCAGTTCATTTAAGGTTATGAGTGTTAACTGTTATGTTCATTTTTAGCCACATTGCTTTGGTCTTGTTCTTTATCCTAATGCATTGTATGCTATCTGTTTTCCGACTTCATGACATCAGTAATAGGTATTTTACGATGCAATGTATGGACCCCTTCAACATTTTGTTTTGTGCGATGATGGTATGTTATGGTTTATTCAGTGAATCCTTTGCACGTCTTATTTACTGCATGATCGTGACACTCGCACCGTTCACTGTTGGCTCTAGCACTGACACTACCGCTCTTCACTGACACCGACGTGGACACCTCTGATTCTAATTCTGGCACTGCCTTCTGCTAACCTCGACGCCGACACCGCTTTAATCTAACCTTAACACTGACACCGCTCTCCCTCTGACACTGACGATATCCCCACTTCTATCCGCTGACGGCGCTCCCCTCTCCAGGACCGCTCGTGGAACTGACAGACGCCCAGCGGCGACTGCCCGGCCGGCGGAGCAGCCGACTAGGGCGGACAGACAAATAGATAGGCGGACAGCCACCAGCGGCTGGCCGTCTGCCGCAGCGCCGCGCTGACAGAGGCCAACCTCACCTGCCGGAGGCCTGATAAGTGCCCGCGGCGCGACACTGATGGGCCATACCGCGCTGGCCGGATGTCCGGATGACTGGTGTTCGCGTGTACGCATGTGTGTCTGTGTGGGTGTGGGTGTGGAAAGATTTATCTAGCTTAGCGCGCAAGAGTGTGACGCGAATGACGCATTCCGTGCTGCGTGAAGCCTCTGGTTAGAGCGATGTGACGCCTCTGGCTGGAGCGATGCAGTGGTGTGACTGCTCGAAGCTGCATTCAGTCGCACTGAGATGCGTGAAGTCTTGCGAACCCAAACAGAACTTCTAGGAGTATGCCGAAGTTGTATGCCTGCTCGGAAGTGTACGGAGCAGAGTTGCGCGCTATTGAGAAGCCTTGCGTTGCTATCAGCTCATGGCTCCCACGGTGGAGGGCTGACGGTGGGGGGAGTCTGGTCCGGAGCGTTTGACACCGGGCTCCATCCCTCTCCGGACCTGAAGCTCCGCTCCCCGGGCGCCAATGTAGCCTCATATAACATGATCGGCGGTGAGAGGCATGTCGGTGTTGTCCGTTGGGTTCAATCTGATTTGTCTATATATTCGGGCGTGTGAGTCGGCCCCCGTCGGCCGTCCTGCTGTGCTCTCCCGCCGCGGTTGAATGCGAGGGAGTAACTGTCTCTTCTGTCTGCATTCAGGGCGATCCACGAGACGCCCAAGACATAGTGTATGCGGTGGGGGTTTGAACGTTGCAGTGATTGTACGGTTTGGTTTAAAGAGTCGTAGCTATAGATATCACGAGCTCGCGAGCCATTTTATGACGTTTCGGGATTCGAAAATAAAGGTGCTTCGGCTTATTGTTTTAAATTTTCCCATGTTATCTGAATAAAGTGCCTCTTGTATGATGTGTATTGGTGAGCGTTGGCCGTTGAGTTATTTAGTTACGAACCCAAGCTGGATGTCGTAGAATGGAAGCCACACTGGACGACGAGTTATTCAACACACATTTATTCACAATAAATAGCATCGCAAAGCACACCGATGTTATAACATGGAAGGTTACTCTCGATAGCAGGCTGCCAATTCAGGCTTCAGGCCAGCCCACGCACGCCCTCAGCCTGCTCAGGGCGGTGCTCAATTCTCAGCATTATTGAGCTTGCGCGTATTATCGGCACTCGGTCCTGGCTCAGATGGACGGCATAATTATGGGGATGGTAACGGAGCAGCGAACATTACATACATCCCGCTACAGGAAGGACGAGTAACAAAAAAAAAAAAAATGAAAACTAATGGATACACCATCCACAAGATTACTTTGGCTGAGCTGGCACCGTCAGCCGAAGCGGGTGCCATCTGCCCACACTTTGATCATCTTCTGCCACATCGTACATAACCTCTTTCAAACAAGCCTTACTTGTACACACATTGAGACTCATAGAAAATATACAGCTACACACTTTGTCATATGTAAAATTGTGCTAAGCACTGTCCTCACTGACCACTGTATTCTCAGCCCAGCGGCGGCTGTTGATATATGATGACATCAGAGGAACTCTCTGCGTATGACGCCTCCTTTAGAAGCCGGCAAACAGCGATTGTAGCGGCAACAGTGGCGCGTCAGTGGCCATTGTGATGGACGGGTGCTCTGTGGGCGCCTCGGTGGCTGCCACCTGCTCCACAATCATGTCGAGGCCGACCTCTGGCGCTGTGCTGTCGAATGGAATGAACTCTGGCTGCCCCGTGGTGACAGCCTCGACCGAGACTGTGGTATCCGCCGTCTGCTCCGCCGCTGTGGTCTCAGGGACCGTCTGGGCGGTGGTCCATACGGTAGTCTCCGGGACCGTCTCGGCGGTGGTCCTCGCCGTGGTCTCTGGGACCGGCTCCGGCGTGGTCTCGGCCGTGGTCTGGGCTGTGGTCCGTTCAGTCTGTGTAGGCGCAGCAGTGGTCTCGGCTGGCTCGCTGGTCGTGCGGTCATGCTCCTCGACGGCACCCAGAGGCCGGGTGGCTGCCGGTGCCGGGTTCTCCGTCTCCGCTAGCACCGGTGTGAGTGTGGTGCGCGTGAACTGAGGAGCCGTTGACTGGCGCTGGACCAGCGACCCGAGCAGGGTCCGCTTGGGCGGCTGGCCGCGACTCTCCATGTTGGATCCCTCCAGGTTGACCGCTGCCAGTGACTCGGCGGCGGTCGGCGGCTGGCTGGTGGTCGCTGGACTCGGCGTGGTGGTCGGACCGCCGGTCTCCACCAGAAGACTGGCCAGTGTGGACACCCGACCTCCGGTCCTTGGGGGAAGACGGAGACGCTGACGCTGTCGGACGCGGTCCGTGCGGAACCGGCGCCGCCCTGGCCGTCTCCGTTCCTCCTGCTGTTCATCTTCTTCCTCCGGCTGTTCAGTGGGCTGTTCGGTCGGCTGTTCCGTCGGGCGCTCGGTCGGCTGTTCCTTTGCCTCGACCTGAGGCGATGCCTGATCCCCTTCGGACTCTGGGCGCTCAGTAGGCGTCTGCGCCACCTGAACGGTGATCTCAGCATCGGTGGGTCGGTTGACGCGTAGCCGCAGTCGCTGCTGCGTCAGGCGCCGGCTGCCAATCCGCCGCTCCCGAGAGTCCCTTGAGGAGGCGACTTCGGTGTCTTCCTGTTCCTCTGCAGAGGCCTCGTCATCCTGCGCGGCCGGCCTACGTCTGAAGGACGGCCGTTGACGGCGGAGTTGGAGCCTGTTCTGTCGCCGCCTCTCGTACAGCTCCTGCAGCCGCTGCTGGGTCGTCTTTGCAGCCGATTCGTCGTCGTCATCTTCCACCTCTGCTGCCTCTGTCGTGTCTTCAGTGGTCTCCTGCGTGAGACGTTGACTGTCCCTGTCGGTGATCCCCTCTTCTCCCGGCTCTTCAGTCTCCTGCTGCACAGGCGCTTCGGCCTCCTCGACATCTTCTTTGGGCGCCTCAGTGGCGGGAGCCTCGGTGGTTCTCACCCTGTTGCGCCTACGGAACGGCCTCCGGGAGGCACCGTCTGGTCGTCGCCGACGGCTCGGTCGCTGAGCCACCTGCTTCTCCTCCTCAGCTGCCTGCTGACTCGCGCCAGTCTCCTGGGTAGCTGAGTCGCTGGCAGTCTCCGATTCGTCGGCCTCGCTTTCACTCTCGGTGCTCTCATCTTCCTGCTGCTGGAGGCGGGTCCTCAGCCTTTGCCGGGCACGAGGCCGGGAACGGAAGCCGCTGCTACCAACCGGCCGACGTCGGCGGAACTTCCTCGCCGGAGCTACTGGCGCGGCCTCCTCTGTGGTCTCGGTGTCAGTCTCGCTAGGCTCGGTCGCTTCGTCGATGACCGGCGCTGCCGTGGTGGTGGTTCGTCGACGACCGGACAGACGCCTTCGCGACGGCGGACGACGTCTCCTCTGGCTGGTGATGCCCTCGTTTTGAGTCGGCGAAGCAAGATCTCTGGTTGAGTCTTTCTCTAGTCCTTCGTCCTCGGGCTCCACGTCGTTGGTAACCTCCGGAGCAGAGGTGGGACGGAAGCGACGGCGACCTCCCGGCCTTCGGGTCCTGAAGCGGCGCCGTCCCTGGGTTGGACGCGGCTCCTCGGTGGTGGATGGAGACGTTGGCTCGGTGACACCAGCCAGTGCGGAGAGAACACCCGGGGGCAGCGGGCTGGAGATGTGCGGAGCAGGCGCGGTGGTCTCCAAAGGTGGCGGGTCGTCGAGCGAAGGCCGGCCAGTCGGCGGACCGAAGAACTCATCATCGATGGGCTGGAGATTCACCACGTCCGGAACGGGTCTGAAGAAATCGCTTTCATCTCCACCGAAGCTACTGTCGTCATCTTCAGCCAGGGCGGGGAATACGGTGGGATCCCGGGTTTCGAATGAAGAAAGGGGTGCTTCCGAGCCGGCGGGAGGCGGAATGACACTAGGCGCTGCAGTCTGAGGTCTCGCGGTGGTCGCTGGGCTTGGCTGTGAACTGAAGGAGAACGGTGCAAGAGTGGGCGCAAACACTTGACCCGGCGCTCGTGTTGTGGGCAAGAACCGAGATGGACCACTGAGCGGCGCCGAGTCGCCGGGACGGACCGGGTTCGGAGGCGGTGGCAGGCGCTGGAACGCCGCTGCGAACTGCGGAGCCACAAACGTGTTGAAGCCGAGCGCGTTGGGCGCCGGCAAGAGTCCGGAACCGAACTGCTGCTGTGACTGTGGCGGCTGCGACTGGAAGCCAGAGGGCAGTGGGCCGGCTGGCCTGCCGAACTGGAAGGAACCAGGCCGCTGGAATTGGGCGCCACCCGACGGCTGAGGACCACTGTCGTCAGGTCCCAGCGGGGCACCGTTCGGCTGGCGGTCGAAGCCCCCCTCGTCTTCGTCGGCAGAACCAGCAGGGCCGTTCGATGTCGAGATGGAGCTCACGCTAATTCCAGAGCCAGGCCTGGGCCTGAAAGGGGAGCTGCCAGCTTGGAATGAGGTGGGTAGGTTTCCCACCACGGATGGAGACTGGGGCCTGCCAAATCGTTGACTATCCTGGAACGCTGGCTGTCCAAAGCTCTGCTGCTGCGGGAAGCCAGGCGGGGGCTGGGGGAATCGTTGCTGGGGCCTTGCAAAGTCTTGCAGAGGTCGTGTGAAGCTCTGCTCGGCTGGCTGAGAGCCGATCGCTCGGAAGCTGGGTGGTCTCGCTGCAGAGGCGCTGCCCGATGAGATAGGACCACCGAATGCCGGCTGGGACGGCAATCGCGCAGGCTGCAGCACGAACGTGTTCGCAGGCTGGAAACGTTGAGCTCCTCCAAAGTCCGACTGGCGGTCCGTGATGTCGTCATCGCTGTCGCTCTCCTGCCTGTTGTTCGGCGGCGTTGGTCGAGGACCGACGTTCACAAATTGGGTGTTGACGAACGGCTGGCCTGGCTGCGGCGCCGGAAACCTAACTGGCTGGGCGAAAGACTGCCGCTGAAGCTCCCGTAGCTGGTCGACGCCCTCGTTTCGTCGCGGTATGAACGGGAACTGCTGACGACGGGTGCGGCTCCGAGCGAGCACCGGCGATGACGCAGCCACCTCGGATTCGGCGAGCTTGGCCGTTTCCGACGCAGACAGAATCGAATCCGACTTGGGTGTGCCGTATTCAGAAGCGTCGAAGAGCTCAGTAGTGGCGGCGGAATCTAGGTCGTCTTGGGATTCGGTGGCAGTCTCTGTAGATAACGAGCTCCCTGAGTCGCTCTCTGAAGACCTGTCCTGCGCTCCGGCAGTCTGCCGTTCGGTCGAGCGTCCACGCTTGTATCCGAAATCGTGTTGCACCGCCTCGCGAGTCTGTCCGGTCCAGACAGAACTGCTATCTGAAACCCGCCCGAGGCGAGCTGTTTGACTCCTTCTCCGGCCAGCTGGAGCCTCTTCCACGGCGATCTCATTCCTCACTGGAGCGGGCCACGGCGCGCCGAAATTATCCCCGTCCATTTCTCTAAAGAACTCTGCGTCGAAGTCGCGTTCCGTTCGCAGGAGGTCGTCGTCAGAGCGCCGTTGGGCGAAAGGCGAGCCACTACCGGGGAAGAACCTGCCAACCTTGGTGTCAACGATATCTCTGAGCGCCAGCAGGCCGGGCTCCTCCCAGTCCACTGATCGGCGGTGACGCACGCTCGGTCGGCGCAGCGGCGTCGGGCCATACGAGTCTCGTCGTCTGCTCGCCCGTGACGTCAGTCGCCTTTTGGGGATGTGCAGTCGCGGCGGCGGAGCGGGACTCTCCTTGACACCCTCATCGTGTCTGCGCTGTGCCGGTGTCAGCAGCGGCAGCACGGGCAACTGGGGTACCTCCGTCTCGCGGATCGTCTGGTGGATGTCGTTGAGGACAGCCCGGTATCCGTCCTCGGGAGGCCGGCGGTCACTGCGCTCGATCGTCGGCCCCGCTGTGTGGTAACGGTCCAGCGGCCGGCCGCGGCTGAACCCCAGAGGTTCCAGTCGCTGGCGCCCGGGTCCGCTCCTCTCACTGGACACAGGCGCGGTGTCGTGCCGACGGCGCGCCTCCAGTGCCGGTCGCCGCACGATCGGTCGGCTCTCCGGCTGGTACCGCTCGGGCTGAACGGGAGCGGAAGTGCTGGAGGCGGTGACTCCCATCTTCATGATCTCGCCGGCCGGGAAGAGGTGCTCGGTGGAGAGCGTATCAGAGTGTGCCGGCAACTCCTCCAGTGTGCCGTCACCGCCGCAGCGCAGCTTGTGATCGAAGTCGCAGATCAACGTTTTCTGAAACACAAATGCCTGGCATGAGAACACTGCTGTTACCTAAACTACGAACCAGGATCGAATGCCAAAAACCATCGCAATGTTGATATATTTTGAACGATGCGAATAGCTGTGCGAATGTCATAAAGTTGAGGAAGCAACAGCAAAAGAGCAGAATGTTGTCTCACCTGGTGGAACTTTGATCCCTCTCCGCAGAGGAAGGTGAACCGCGCCCCGGAGGCTGAGCAGTAGTGGAAGACCTCACAGTTGAACTCCGGGTCGGCAAAGTAGCCCTCGGCGCGGCACTGAAACCTGGACACGCAGAGGGATTCTCGGTCAGACAATGCGAGATCCGCTTGGACGACCACAGCCCACAAAGGTGCAGTCTGGTCAGACAACAGCGGTTCCATTGAATCTTTTAAGCTCACATTCGGGGTCACTGTCTGCTCAGGCCGTAATGATATGTCCACTGGAAGACGCTCTAAAAAGTACATATGCTAAAGGGACATGAAATCTTTGAAATCTTCCAGTCGTGTAAGTTCCGTCGCTCCCACGATATCTCAACATGAACTGGAAATACGGTTTGGCCGGTGCCTGTATATCACTCGTATATCGTATATCACTTGGCTGTCTAAGAGAAGCCTTTCGGCTTTCTCTACAAAAAAGCTCCAAATGACCACACCCTTGAAAAAGGGGAAATTTCTATCGCTCTACTCACCTGACCAGCGGCAGGATTTTGTCCAGCCGGCTGGGAGGGTTGGGCTGCGCGTCATCATAATAATCGTAGTCATAGTGCGGGTAGTCGTCGTCGGCCGGCTGAGCGGGCGGCGCCCCCGACGGCACTCTCTCCTGTCGGGGAGACACGGGGTGGTCGTAAGGTTCCCACGGGCTCAGACGGAGTGATGGCGCATGGAGCCGCGTTAGTGTGAGTCGAACTATTACGAGCTGTGGTCAGTAGGTGCCTACTCGTGAACGGCGACTTACAAACACGTTTACAGAACGTATTTAGACAGATGTAAGCCGTGAGGGCCAGCGCGCACGCAATCACACACACACGCACGCATACATACATGCATGCCTACAAACAGTTTCACGCAGTCTTTTGATACAGCCAGATTTTCACAGGTAGACGAGTCACGACGTTCTATAACTTCAAACCATCGGCGCATTGCCTTGTGATGATCGCCGGCGCCTGTCATTCCGTATCTCCCTGACCCCTCCCCTGGCGCCTTCCCTGTCAGTTTGCTGTCACCTCCGACCGATCGGCGTCCCCCTCTGCCTGTTCGGACACCGATCTGTCTGTCAGCCAGCTGCGTGGGATGGACCAATCTTTCTGACACAAGTTCACGTTTGCTAGTTTTAATTTTATCGCCATTAATCGTGTCGTGTTTACGTGTGTGTAATCGAATCGTTGCCAAGCCTATACGTTGGCGTGCGTGTTAAAAATCTAATCTCCAAATCACACGACTCTTATTCTGATTCATTCATGACTAAGGCGTTCTGGACCAATCTCTGTCGGTCCGTGTCATTCCTAACACCTTTGTCATCATGCATCACTGTCATGCGCCTCGCCCTGACCTGCACACCCAGTCTACCAACCGTGACCTGGGGCGCGGCCCTGCATGCCGTGGCTGCTGGTGCGTGCGTCACCTCAAGGTAGACAGCGCGGCGCCGTGTCCGTGGGCCGCCCCCGGCCGTTTCCACACGATGCCTGCCGCCCCCGGCGACAGCACTGCGGTGCGCCGCGCGGCCCCGCCTCGCGCTGCGCGCTCAGTTGTGAAACAGCCCGCGGGGCCTGGGCGAGGACGCTTCGCACGCCGTCGGGGCTCCCAGCTGTTGACCAGTCGCCGCGGCTGACCGCAGAGCGTCGCAACACGCGGTGAGGGGTACGCATTCCAGCACACCATCGATTGCCAAAGATACGTAACCAATTTGGGAGCTGTGGGCATTGTAGGCGCGGCTCAACAGATGTCTGTGTGTCGAGGTCTCAGTTGGGAGCGGGAGGGAGTATTAGGCTCATTTGTGCGCCATGAAAGAAGACTGTGATGTCGTCATGCCGTGTTGATTTAGGGTTTCAGTAAACCGATTGACTGACCACATGGAGTCTTTGGACATGTGTTTGTTCCCATCCGTCCCACGCTTATCCCGCGCCCTGATGGGGGGGGGGGGCATTTTGGCCCCCCTGTGGTTTTTCTTAAATAGCGAGAAAACGGCGGCGCGCAGCGCCGCCAAATTTTGGGTACTTTACCGGACATCAATTTGACACCTTCACACAAAATTTCAAGTCACAGGTCACCTCAGGTCAGGAGTTATTGAGGTCAAACTGAGGTCATGTTCGAGTAAAAATGAGCAAAAAACATGACATTTTGAAACGCTCACCAATTCTACAGTTAACAAGCAATTTTAAAGTTCTTTATGTGGTTGTGTAGACAAAAAACGGCGCTACAAAACTGCTATCTCGGATTTTCGAAATTTTGGAATTTTAACCCCCAAAAATAAAAAAAAATGTTTTTTTTTTAGAAAAACTCAAAAAATTTCCTTTTTTTTGAATTTCGAAAAAAAACCGGGATATATGTGATAGTCCCTGCGCTCTTCGATATACATACCAAATTTTAGATCGATACCTCTTTTTTTTGGCCAAGTTATAGCGAAAAAACTTAAAAATTGATGACGTCAAATTTTTGAACTCAATTTTTAGCAATTCTAGACCTCGTAGCGCAAAACGGAGACCATAATTGAACTCCCCGTGACGAGCTGCATCGAATCGATACCCATTTTATGCAAAAATATCAACTTTGAAATTTGACCTAATTTGACCTGACCTTGACCTGACCTTGACCTGACCTTGACCAAAACGTGACCTAAGCTGGCCCTAAAGTCTGTCTGACCCACATAATCGCATTTGTCATGTAAAATGGACCATAAAACATGTATCACACGACACTTTCATATTGTGACCCCCCAGTGACCTGACCTCTGTGACCTGACCTGGTATCAGTGACCTCAAATAACAAAATATGTGTTTGAAGAACATTTCTCCATCGATGATTTTCAATGAAATGCATTTTACACGATTTTACAACGCATTTCTTGAAATGCCTGTAAACGGTGAAAATTCGACCTTTGACCTGACCTGTGACGTCATCGGTTTGACCGAGGTCAATGAAATTGGGTCACAAGGTAGTTTCCCGTTGGGGCTATCCAACACCGTTAGCGCTTGTCGCTATGTTGCGTGGTTCTCGAGATCTGGGGGGGGGGCAAAATGCCCCCCCCCCCATCAGACCGCGTTGCTCGGCAGACCCCATCTGGGCGCGGGTTAACAGTCGAAGTGGTTCGTGGGAAAACGCTTTACCGTATTTATAAACGAGCTATAGTTCAAAATCTTACACTTTTTTCGTTCCGATTTCGTCGAGTGTGATCCAGTGGTCCAGAACAGACCCTCTCGTCTCCTTCCCGGCGGCGTCAGCTGCGGACAGCGGAGCACTGACCGCTGTTATCTGTCGACCCGAGTGTGAAGCCCTCCTCCTCTGCCGCCTTCGGTAGCCGGCGTGCGAAAGTGACCCGAAAGGCGGTCATGTTCTGCCGTGGCCGGCGATGAAGGGCCGCCGCGGACGGACCCGGTGCCATTTGGGTCAGCGTGGAGAGACGTCTGTCCGTATGGGGGCCGACGGTCACGGCTCACCGGAGCCGTCTCCGGTAGGCCGGTGAACGCCCCCGATGGTGGTCGGCTCGAGAATAGTGACAGTGGATGTCGGACCGACGAGAACCGAGAGCGGGAAATGATTGTCAGACCGGCTGCAGGCTCGAGAGCAGTGACAGTGGCTGTCGGAAGTGGAGTGGTGGACTGGTTATCATACCTTCCAGACTTTAGAGCAGTGACAGTGGCTGTCGGAAGTCATACGACTGCAAATACGGTCCCAGAACTGTCTACCCTTATTAGCAGCCGACAACCATACGGAGACTAGTCTATCCATATCAGCTTTTGATACCGACTGACTGCTGAGAGTTTTCCTACAGCTGCCGACAGCGGGTGGCAATACCGAGTGACTACAGCAGCTATCAATGTCAACGTGAGGGAGAAGTCCTAGCAGCTCAGTGCTGCCGACGTGCAACTCATGTGGAACCAACAGGGAATCCGACGTGGACCTGCGAGAGAAACTACCGCAGCTACCTGTGCTACCCACAGAGGCTCAGTAGTATCCAGCAACCAGTACCACAGCAGCTGCCAACACTGCAGCGCCGGAGCTCTCGGCTAGACCCGAGAGAAGTCGCCGTTTGCCGAAACGGATTCGGATCACTGCACCGCCTACGGCCCCGCGAGCAGAGAGCACGCTCCACGTGATAAGACCCTTGCAACTGGCGCTGCTTCAGTGTGCCATGTGTCGACGGCGCCAACGGCGCCACCATTTGCGCCTCATGCATTATAACGGCATGCTTTGAAAACTCCAGCACTCAGCAGCTCGTGATTTCATGGTGCTGTGCCATGTGCAGTGATCCGTGGAAACTACTGATCCATTAAGTATTGCCTACATAGCACAAACTTGCGCAAATGTGCGCTAACTCAGGAATATGAATTTGGATCGATGATGTATTTTTGCTTCAATGTGTGTGTTAGAAAAGAAGCTGACAACCTCGCAATACAAGATGTGGCTGGTGGAGAGACCAGCCCGCGACTGATAACTGGAAGTAGACTGGCCCACAGCACGCTCCGGTAAACACTACCTAACGGCTATTTATCGATGCTTCATCTGATTTACGAAGAGTTATGAGTGCATATGTAGATGATGATGACCCCCATGATGTGGTGAATGTTCCACTTACCTCGTGGTATGGTAGAATGGGGCGGTCCCGAAACCGATCATCACCTTGCGCCAACACCGACGCGAGCACAGCAATACCTGTGAAGTGATAACCGAGTCACTACACTGCTGAGAATTACACATTTGGTTTATTCACGGCCAAACTTTAAACAATACTAGAATGCCAAACTGGTAATCGTTGCGAGTCACAACGATATCTAAACTCATGTCGTCCCCATCACTGAGGTTGAGCCAATGGCCAAGTCGTTGACGTCTTGGCATACGAGTAACTACACTCTCACCATTTATTACACTTCCGCATTGAACCTGTCCTATTTCGCTGAAACACAAGCTAAAAGGAGGTCTCAACTTTCATTTTTTAATTCAAACAATAGAGTTTTGGCAGTTGGCACACCCACACAGAAATTGGTAATGACTCCGCTAACTCTCAGAGGTCTGAGTCATCTAAATCAGACCGTTTCACGCCAAGAACTGCCTCGTCACGCTTCTCTGTCTTGCGATAATGATGACAAAAGCTTGTGAAAAGATTGTGACACAGATGGTACGGCGACACCCCATGCTTGCGCCAGACGTCTGTGCAGATTTCCGTTCCGCGCTGCGCAGAGGTATACTAGTGCCTGACTGACTCAGATCTGACGCATGTCCCACTACCACTCATTGGAGCAGGGATGGGCAGGAAATGTGCAGGGTCCGTGGAGTGAGTTATTACGAGTAAAGTAGAGGTGGTCGTGTTCGTGGGAAGTTGATCGTTATTTGCGTGACCCTCCGGTGAGTACGCTAAATCTGCAATAGGTGACCGGTGATGTGTATTTGGATGGTGTATGCAGATGGTGTATTTAGCAGTGGAGCTAATTTAGCAGCGCAGTATGTACGAAGGCTGTGCTGCTGTGCAGAATGGGAGACTGGAACAATAGGCTGGTGTATACCACGGGTGATTACAAAAGGTAACACCAGCGGCTACATTACGTAGCAAACGCATTTGACTTGAGATAGTGTAACAGACAGATAATACATGCATACCATGTATTCATAAACTGCACTTGCAGTGCACCCTCAACGTATCTTACGGTGAAGACTTAAGACTGGGGCACAACGAAAAAGTAGCAGGAGACTACAATACCTGGTGAATGCATAATAACAGCGACTACATTTTGCGGGCGTGCTCGTAATAGAGGCGCGAAGTATGGAACGAAGGGGAGAGTTGTTGCGGGACACCAACACATATTCCTATTGAAATCAGCGTCCAGCAGTGACGTAAAGTTGATTTGTCACTTCGAAATCCGATGAGTCATGCTACCGACATATTGCATTAGTCTGTATAAGTCTGGTGTTGTATTAGTCTGGTGTTGTCTGGTATTGTATTGCATTAGTCTGGTGTTATGCTCCAGCCACCTTTTGCAGTCTTTAGTGGTGTATATCAGCCACTTATCGCATTCGCCGGTGTTATGTATGTACCAGTCACCTATTGCAGTACCTATCTGGTGTGTTATTTACCAATTACTCATTGCAGTGCCTGGTGTTACATACTAGCCACCAATGACGATCTCTGGTGTTATTTACCAACTTATCGTTGCAGTCCCTGGTGTTACCTTACAGCAATTTATTGCAGTCTCTGGTGTTGTGTACCAGTCACCTATTGCAGTCTCCGGTGTTATATAGCAATTACTCATTGCAGTTTCAGGTGCTATATACCAACCACCTGCTGCAGTCTCTGGTATTATCTAGCATCCACCTTTTGCAGTCTCTGGTGTTATACACCAATTCATTGCAGTCTAGTGTTTTATACCAGCTACCTATTGCAGTCTCCAGAGCTATACATATACCAACCACTTATGTATTGTTGTCTTTAGTGTGATATACCAACTACATATTGCAGCTCTTAGTGCTATATACCAGCCACCTATTGCAGTCTCTAGAGTTATGTACCATCCAGCTGTTACAGTCGTTGATGTTACATATCAGCCACTTATTGCAGTCTCTGTGACTGTCCTTGGCGCTCAAAGTGACTGCAATAAGTGGCTACTGATAATGCAATGTATCCGCCACCTGTTGCAGTCTTTGATGTTACATACCAGCCACTTATTGCAGTCTCTGGTGCTAGACACCAGTTACTCATTGGAGTCTTAAGTGTTATATACCAGCCACCTAGCCAGTTGGACCCTGTTCCTGCCTCTCTTCTTACAGCGCGTGTGAGCGAACAGCGACAATGCCGTCTCCGTGGCGAGTGGTGGACTGAGTCCGTGTTTTCTCCAACCATCGGCCGGTTACCCAACATGATCAGAAACCCACCAATGAGTGGTTAGGTTATACCACGCCTGACTTGTCACTCCCATGCCCACAGGTATGTCAGATCCAACACTACCCTGCTGGAACCAATGCTCGAATTATCAGACTTTTTAGCATAGTGTCCAATCCTGTCTTTCCTTTCCTTTCAGTCGCGAAGTAGGGGAAGCAGGGGTAACACCGCCACTGTGGGAAACACCGCCACCCCATCTGGCGGCGAAAGTATGAAATGTGAAGTGTAAAAATCCGTTATTTCCTATTGACCGCACGCAGGCAAGCGTCTTCTGATTTGTGTTCCGGTGTTTCAGTGTAATCGAAGCTCAATGTGGGCATTTAAAGAAAAATGCACATTCTCTTATAAAAATTCGATGAGTTGGGAGCACTTTTGAATGTCTTTAAGTAGAGACTCATTTTGATTTACTTGATTACATCGAAAAATAACTGATCGGCTTTGTCCAGTAAGATAAGTTTGCTTGAACCGTGTAGTACATTCTTACCGCTGGCGATTTTTGCTTGTGATCACTTATTGGGGAACACCGCCACCCCGTGGCGGTGTTACCCCAATTGAGGTTGCGGTGTTTCCTGTTTGTAGCGTGATAAGTGATGAAACTCCAAAGACACGCTTTATTTATGTTCGTAGATGTTCCTAAATCGGGAATAAGCAGCTTATTTGATTTTTTACTTTATATTTTTCATGCATCCCGACCAAGCACTTGCCAGCTGTATAAAACTGGCAAACAGCTGATGAACCTATACCTATTTAGGTGTCCATTACCGATTATTTGCGAAAATTACCACTTACCGACAGGAAACTCATCGCACACGATCTCTGAACAATTAAAAGCTTTCGTAGGAATTGGTTGGGTTAACATCAACACCGGTGGCGGGGTTACCCACACAATTTGTAGGCAGCAAACGGCCCCCGGTCAACAGACATGGTAGCCCAAATCTAGTCGGATATGAAAATTATTCTAAATCCATAGACTTTAATGCTAAATTGACTATAATTGAGAAGGTTTTATGAAGATACATGACCAGATACAGAAAAAAGCGAGATGCTATTTTGTAGATTAAATCGTCTACTATCTGCGACTTTTGAAGTGTTTTTCAATCTGAGGTACAGAAATCGTGTTCCCAAGAGACTGAAAGTAGCCATGCTTTACATTAGACCCAATGGCAAAAATTCGGAATCTGACGAAATTGGCCATTTTTACGTCTGATTTATGAAAATTTTGGACAGGATATATAAAAACCCGAGATGCTATCAGGTGGGAAATTTCATTTTCTATTACCGCCTTTTGAAGTGTTTTTCGATCTGAGACCGGCAAATCGTGTTCCCAAGAGACTGAAAGTAACCCTGTTCTACAGCAAGACAATGGCAGAATTCTAATATTTGATGGAAGATATCTAAGGTGATAATAACCTTATTACTAATTGCAATGCTTCATTGGAAAGCTCAACACTGGCACTATCATCGGTCTTTGCATTGCTATTTCACAGAACAACAAGAAATAACGTTTTGAAGCCTTTGCATATTGACTTACTTTTCATCGACGGGCTCGATCCCCACCACCACCAACAATTTTCCGGGAAGTCAGGATTTTGTAGATATTTAAGCAGAATTGCAGAGCTGTGTTAATACTACGGCACTTAAATACACATTTTAAGAAAACTGCTTTCTTTCTTAGCATGAGTTAGTTCTCAGAAACAGCAACATGTCGATATAATGAGAAAAAAACAAGTGCAATGATCACGCAAGAGAGTATCCCGAGTATCCTTAGCTCCCTAGCAACCACCTAGCAACGTAAGACAAAATAGTAAACAACTCCTGTTGATGTGAGGTACTCAGCCTTGGAAGCACACTAGACGGACACCATACTGGGCTTCATACTGAATTTTGCATACCAGAATGGATGTTTCCAACTAAAATTATTTTTTCACGAAATTTATCTTTGTTGCCCTACTATTTTTCGTAAAACCGAGATATACAAACTTCATGATATCAAAAATAATATTGTGATAATGAAAACCGCCATATAAAACAAAATAATTGCTGAGATCATGCCTACTAAACTTGGTCCTACCCCCTAATTCAATATACCCTGGGCAGCAAATATGCAAGGTATTTTTAAAAGTCGTGATACATGAAAACCTTTTAGGAGCATGCAAAATAAGTACCTAAAACACGTGAGAAAATGTTTAAATATTGTAACCAAAATAATAACTACCAAGAGACTTCACACATATTCTCTCATTTTGGCGAAAAGCTTAGGGGGGCGGTGTTACCCCCGCTTCCCCTACAACCCTATCTTTTCAGTCTTGGTTGTCTCTCTGTGTTTCTGGCGAGGTCTTTTTCCTCGCGGTCAGCGGCCAATACACTGTACTCTCCGGCCGAGGACGGTGGTCAGTTTCACCGCGGGGAAGATCACGACACTTTCTGTCGGTAAACAGGCTGTCCGAGCATCCCAGTGCACCGATACCTACCGATGCATAAAAGAATGACAGACAGCCGACAGCGGCACACATTGACCCGCGTGTCTATGACATTATTGTCCCGACGCCATCTGGTTTGCAGAAACATGCGAAAGTACATACATGAATGATGTATGAAACATTAGAAAGAAAGTGCAGAGTCGAGTCGGGAAAAATGTTTCCAAATATTCACATAATTCCGTTCTGTGCACTGTGCAGTATGCACTGCAGTGCGCACCAAGCGAATCGTATGAATACCTATTGTTCACAATGCATGTTTTGCATGTTTTTTTTGTAGTAGTGGACACTATGGAGTCCAGCTATTCGTTTTTTATATGAAGCACTATGTGTGTCTATGTAAACGCTAACAAGTAAAACATTTGTTTAGCCTGTGGGAATGTGAAATTGTCAAAGTTACATCGAATTAAAAAGTGTGAGTGTATCCGCCAGTATGGTGTCGTTCAGGCAGTACATGGGTGCGAAATTGACTTGGATTGCTGACGGTTCTGAGGCCTGTTTCACTAAAACTTGCGATTACAAGTGTTTGAACTTTACAATTCATAAGTATTTTTGCAAACTACCTATGTAAAATCGGATTTCACTAAACTTCATCACCAGCGGCACCTCCGATAAAAAGAGTTTGCAAAAAAACTTGTAAACAGTAAAAACGTTTTTAAAGGGACCCTCCCACCTTAACATTAGTTTTGAGTTGAGATAGCCAAGTTTGCGGCCAGGCTCAGAAACCACCATTACCTGGTCGCAACCCCCGCAGCTTTATGGTGTTCAAGAAATTTCTTCCCTTTACTTGCAGGGTGGGACCAGCGTGGTCCCTATCTCTTAACCATTACGGGAATCTGATGACGTCATCAGGCTTTCGAACGTCAGTTAAATGTTTGACTAAAACGTTTTGTAGCACGCGGTGGTATATGCTGCTTTGAGCGCAACAAATGCCGCACTTTCAAATAAAGTCGCTAGGAACAGCGGAGATCCCAAAAAGTAAACAACAGTAAAAGTCTAATATCTTTAAAACCGGTGAATATTTTTCAATGAAATTTGGTAGATATTCGTTTTTGCTCTTTCTGAACCGAGCGACATCACTTTCATGCCAATTCATTAACTTTTTTGAAGGTGGGAGGGTCCCTTTAATCAAGAACTACAACATGTTACAGATATTGCTTCTTTTTATCAAATTATGTCTAGTATCATGTCAAAAAATGCATGAATAAATTATTAATAATGATGCTGTTTCTAATTGGTATAAATGATAGTTCACAATATCTTATCATTGAAAGAAAATAACAGGCAAAACTTTTGACAGCAGAAGACTGTTGAATGCAATTATGGCGCGCGAATGACAAAACATGACGATATTTATTTATTGCTCGTAGCTGGTTCGTAGGGATTGTGCTAAGTAAAAAGAACATATAATGACTCAGCATATCATATTTGTTTTAAATAATTGATTGCTTTGCATCATTGCACAAAAAGTAATAAAATTCCGAACGTAAGAGCCACTGGAATTTCGGGTTTGTAAGTACAACGTTTTCTTTCAAGTTTTTGGTCTTCGTGAAACAGAAAGTTTGCAATTTCGATGTTTCTTACAAACTTTTTTCTTGTAAAAAGTTGGTAAAATTTAAACTCAAAATTCATGCTCGGAGGTTTCGTGAAATCCAAATTTCAAATGTTGGTAAATATTTCTTTTAAACTCAAGTTTTTTCTTTGTAATTACACACTTATTTGTTAGTGAAACAGGCCTCAGTTCAAACTTTCCAGCTTTATTTCTTGGATGCCCGTCTAGTAATATGTTCTGTGTTCTGTACGTAAGCCTCTCCGTCACCCCTTTTCAAAGATGACACTTCTAGCACTGCGGCTCTGACAATGACAATTTGATTCGATTCAGCATCACGAGACAATGCAGCTTTGAAAATTCGATTCAGCATCACGAGAAATTACGTTAAATTCGCCACTATCGAGAAATGGGAGCCGATTTCCACCATCTCCACGGGCACCAGGTGCGTGGGATTATCCAGTGTGGCGTGTCCATCTCGCGGATCTCCCGACACTCAGATCCGGTCCGTCCGGAGAGGCGTGGCCGGTGGCAGGTGCCCAACGGCGAGACGGCACCGCCGCCGGCGCCGACAGCGACCCAGATGGGTACTGGGCCGAGCAACCGGCGTCCGGCGCGGCGGGGTCACACATGGCGGTCAGGCCGGCCACATGCACCTGGAGAGATCTGTACACCGGAGTGTGAGTTTATCTGATAGTTATTCGCTGCCTGCTTCCAAGATCTTCCGTGAGTTCCGTCTACATAGCCCAATTACCCGAGCATCCGCCATACACTGATTTAACGTCGCCAGCCTTCATGTACTGATTTAACCTTATATAACACGCAATGCAGTGACCAAGCTCAGCATGCTAGTTATGAGTTATATTTTTCTTCTCTGAGTCTTTCCCTGTATTCATTCAGTGTTATTCAAGCGGCGCGCCTTTACAGCTCTCAGTCACGTCAGATGACAGCTCAAACTATTTCCCCTGGGAATAACTTTCCAGTTTCCGCACCGTCACTAGACAGTATGCATGTGCCACGACTTTGTATACAAAATTGCGGCTTAGATCAGTGGAGGGTGACATAGGGCGACCTATTCGCGACTGACACTGACCTTTTACCCGACGCACTCAACTGCGACAAAACCACGACTGACACAAATACGGTGCAGGTCAGGGAGCAAAGGCGATGGTATGCAGCGAGGTATGTGTATGCTCGTATACTACCAGTGCCCTTGGAACAGTACAGCCAGCATCGCTTAACTATAATTCAACTGTGACCGTAATTGAGAGCAACATGGGGACTCGTAATGGCGGGGACCGATCCCCAAGGCCAAATGAGCCAACTGCGCCAATTGTGCTGCGATTTCGCGAGCCGCTGTGAGCGCCGTCCTCAGAGGCTGGCGTCGGTCTCGGGGAGCTGGCGGGCGTTAAAACGGCGCGTGACCGGCCGCGGCCGGCGGCCCGTGACCGCAGTACGCAGTGAGAGCGAAAGTGGCGTCGGTCGGCCTGCTCCCGTTCGCCGTCGGCCGTCGGCCGGTGACCGCGGCACCGCAGGAGACTGACCGCGGCCGGCCGGCGCGGCTGGCGGCGCCGCCAGCTTTCGCCACCGACACCCTCAGTGGAACCGAGACCGACAGAGGAGACGCAGACTGACCACCCGTACAACTGACCACTGGACTGACCACCGCGACCAGACCCAAGCTGCTGCTGGTTAGAACGACCATCGGGCTAGCAGAACAACCATTTGACTAAGTGGCGAAGAAGACAGAGAACTTGGCTGAGAGACTGACCACCTGACCGACAGACTGACCACCAGACGCTGACAAACTGGCCAAGGACCTCTTCATTTTCACACCAAACTAATTCAAATTACAGCATAATCCCCCGGACCAGTATGCTACTCAAGCTGCTTTTACTGTCTTGAACAGCAAACTGCCTAGCTGTGAATACAGAGCTTTTCAAACCACCAACAATGACAGCCACCATGGGTCGACAAGCGCCTCGATTGGTGCATAGTCATCCCCGAGATCCAATTGAAGTACTGCAAGCCACGGCGATGAACAAGTAGGCCATGTATTGACCAGCGGACGGCGAGTGAACCCGGCGATTTCTCAGCCCGATAAATGGGCTGGTGGTGCATTTCCCAGATTGAAAACTTTTCGCGCCTCTCGGTACGAAGTGAGTTCAAACTGATGTAGAGCTACTCAGTCCAAAATATAATTCCGTTTCACATTATTTCCATTTCTGAGCTAGCACATCAGCGAAATGTGGGATCAATTTAAATCGTTGCCTAAAAGTTACAATGCTGACCGTTACGGAGAGGAAGAAGGATATCGACCGACAAATTATACGATTGCCTGCTGTCTTGAGCGTTTTCCCGATGGAAAGGTCAAAGTTGTGACCTTTACCGAGTGCACCAACCTAAACCAAACGTTAGCTAAAGCCTAAAATTAGATGCTTGACAATACGACAGACCAGAACCAAACATTGCTCAATAAACGTTTCCCCAGATACGTATTTAGGAAGCAAATGCCTATTGCAAAGGGCTTTGTATGACAAAGAATAAATTTCGATGACAGATCATATTCAATTCAGTGTCTGATTTATTCGTGATACATTTTAATCTGATCATCTCGGATGATTTAAATGTCCTTAAGCAGCGTGACGAGATGTCCAACGATGCAAAGTCGGAGCCTCTGCGTGCCGCCGGCGCCGCCCTTCACCCGGGACCTGACGCCGGGGGTGGACCAGCTGAGGGTCCGTCGGAACCGGCGCCGGCGGGGCCGGCCGCGCAGCCGGGCCGTGAAATGGCTGGCACGACGAGTCACACTAATCTGACCGTTAACGACTGGGCAAGGCAAGGTCACGCCGAGGGCGGGCCGGCGAAAAACACCATCACGTGCACGGGGGCAGCTACCGTGACCAAATTTTCCGGTATCAAGAAAATGAAACAATGATTCGAGCATGTTCTGGAGAGGCAATGTCGGAAAGATCCGGTCTCCACATATCCAGCCCGACCATGCAGTGTTGGAAAGGTCAGATTCCCACACCTTTGCAGCCCAGCCAGACGGTACAGGAAGGGTCAAATTTCCGAATCTACCCCGTCAAACTAACGGGATACGTGGATTCACGCATCCTGTCAAAGCGTGTCGTGATGGCAGAGTCGAGCCTCCGACTGCCGGCGCTTGTCCTGTTGGAGCCTCTTGTGCCAACTGCTACACAACACAACACGTGGGTATGGGAACCGGGACAGGGCCAGATGGCACAACTGCCCTGCGCACTGGCGTGTGTGGAACGACAACATTTTATGTTTCCTAACAGCGTGTAGTAAACCGTTCGTAGGAGGTGCATTATCTGTTATGAATAGCCCGTTCATCAATACGTTTAGCAGTAACGTTTATTTAATTGAATTTTTAATTATTCCAATTTTCAGTTAATAAGCCAAATTGATCATTGAATATCTAAGAGAGCTTGACCAGTTGCTTGCTTAAAATTAGGTGGTAATTTTGACACCTTCCAAATACTCTGTCATTTGATTCATTTAAGCCGTGAATGCGCACATGGTGACGGGCTATTGGGTTGGTAAATTGGTTAATGTTTTCCTCACACAGTATGCACTATACTCCCAGCGACTGTGTCAAAACTAGAAGCTACACGCACTTGTCATCTTGGTATATCATGCACGCATGCAATATTTATTCATTTTTGCTCAGTACTCACCGATAGCATGGCTCAAAAGCCGCCCTGGGCCTGCCATTATTGGTCCCACCGAACGGAGCCACCTGCAGGGACATCAATGGACTGTCAACAAACAGCGTAAAACCCGAACGCAGGTAAACGGCATGCAACGCATGCTGAGCAATGGCGCCAACACGTACGTGTGCATAATGCATATGTAGGTACCTACAACTGATGGTGTGAAGTATCCGCACGTCGATGTCCATCTGCGTCAGAGAACGCAGTGACCTCGAGGACCTCGAGTTACGGATCGGGGTGAGGCCAGAATTCGTCTAAATACGAAACTAGATTCCTTGAATAGCTCTGCGGCAAAGCCTTTCTGCTCCATTGCTGAGTATGTAGGTCAGTCCTCAATCGAGCCGCCCCTACATCTAGAACGGGCTGGATGACAGAAACATCCATGCGGGCAAACAATGTGCCACGCTCAGCACCATTCGCACCTTCTCTGCCTACGCTTCCTGTAGACCTCAATCGCTCGCATCAGTGCGTTTGGCCATCCGATTCCTATTCTGTGACTGAGCCTGTTTCCAGATCGGTGTGTGACAGTCACCGGTCACAATACCTGCACCGTGTCATTCATGTCATCCGCTCTCGGTCGAGCATGGAGCTGGCCCACTGACCTGTGCCTGATGGGGAGTGAGAAACGGAGAGATAGAGAGAGAGAGAGAGAGAGAGAGAGAGAGAGAGAGAGAGAGAGAGAGGAGAGAGAGGGAGGGAGGGAGAAGGAGAGCGAGGACGGAAGATAGATACCTTAAAGGGACCCTCCCATCTTCAAAAAAGGTAATGAATTGGCATGAAAGTGATGTTGCTCGGTTAAGAAAGAACAAAACGAATATCTACCAAATATCACCGAAAAATATTCACCGGTTTTCAAGATATTAGACTTTTACTTTTGTTTACTTTTTGGGACCTCCGCTGTAACTAGCGACTTCATTTTGGAAGTGCGGCGTTTGCGGTAGATGTTGCGCGCCAATAGCATATACCACCACTGCTTCACAAAGATGTTAGTATTACGTTTTAAAATCGTTAGATCACCGCTGACGTCACAAATTCTAAGGGGGCATTCCAATGCATTCGCCCCTTAGAATCCGAAAACTGCAAGTTTGAAATTCCCGGGCATATCTCCGAATTAAAGCATTTTTCGATGTTGTGAGTGCCCAAACCGGTATTTGCAGGCCATGGCCACCAATTGGCTATCTCAACTCAAAACTAATGTTAAGGTGGGATGGTCACTTTAAGGCCGCTGCTGTCTTATTTGCTGGGATCAATTTTATATAAGAACGTTCATGAGCCCTCTTTTATCACGAGAGATCGAAAAATTTGGCGCGTGGGATGATTTTATGCATTGCATTTTTTAATTAAAGGAAAGTTGGAAGCAAGGCCATATATAGTGTTGGAAGTACTATTAATGAAGCCTTCTCAATACCTTTTCTGAGCCGTCTACCACTTTCCACTAAATTGTTTAGGTTTCGAGATATTCGTTTCAAATTCCTATAACTGTTCAAAGCGTGCAAAGACTTGGCCGTCGTCCGTACGCTAATTTATTACCTCGAGCCCCACTGGGGTCCCGGATTTCCTCCATGTAGTTCTGTTTGAGTGTGTGCAGGAGGGGGGAGGGGAGAGAAGTGCACATTTCCTTATATTGCTCGGCGCCTGGGCTATATATCAAAAAGCGGTACGCTTTGGAATGTTGTAAAAAAATAAAGGAAGGATCACTATCATGTTTTGCAAAGAAGCGTGCTGACGAAAATACAACGAACAACATCGACCAATACGTGCATTAGAATCTGCATTAGAATATCTGCGAATTAATGTGATTGTTTCGGTATCTTGTCACTTACATATACCTCACCTGGCACGGTGCGTGGTCCGATGATCGGTGACCGATGCAGTGATGCTGACGGGTCTCCCGCTGTGTCCGACTGAGCTCCTGCTGACGCTGTATCCGCAGCGAACCTGACCCGCCCGGCTCCCGACACCGACTGCCGTGTCTCTCCCCGCCTCGCTCCCATCGACGGTCAGAGCACGACGGCCGGCGGAGAAAGCTGCACGGCCCCGCCCTGCTGACCGGCCGACACACCAGCTCCTCGGGCTACTCCGAGGACACATGAGCCCTGCTGAAACACACAGCTACTCGCGGGGTCTCCGCTACATGTAACCACTCCGAGGACCAATAGAGCTAGCCCTGCTGAAACACACCAGCCTCTCGGACTCTCCACTGTATGTAACTACTCCGAAGACCGATAGAGCCCTGCTGACCGATCAACACCAGCTCCTCGGGGTCTCCGCTAACTCCGAGGACTATACTCCGTGCTACTGAGCTCCAGGGTCCCGCTGCGACCTCGGACACGCTTCCTTTTCCAAGTCCCCGCTGTCGGACACGCTTCCTTTTCCAAGTCCCCGCTGTCGGACACGCTTCCTTTTCCAAGTCCCCGCTGTCGGACACGCTTCCTTTTCCAAGACCCCGCTGTACTACAGGTCCCGCCGTGGTTTAGGACCCCGCTGTACTACAGGGTCCCGCCGTGGTTTAGGACCCCGCTGTGCTGCGGTCTGCGGGGTCCTGCCGTTTTTCTTTGACGAACAATGCCAATCCACACTGTTTACATCATGTAACGTCACTTTTTCACCCTTCAATACTCGGAGGAGCCGCAGTTTTCTTCTACATACATATAGGTACCGTGAACCGTCATTCGTCCCGCAAACCGGCTGATAGACGCCAGCTTTTTTCTTTAGTCAGTTGTTTCTTAATGTCACCTAAGTGATCTCGGTGTCGGTCACCCTTGAAGGTTGGAGTTTTTGACAATTGCAGTCATCCTTTGACTAAAAAGGGTAGGTACCACCTTGCAACACCACAGTAGGTGCTCCAGTGCCTTCGCTCTCCCTACGAAAATACCGCTTTAATCGCGAATCGCAACGAAAGTAGCCTCATTCGGCTCGCCACATGATATTTCATCGACTGTTTCAAATAAGATGCTGCTGCCTGCTCGCCCCCCTCGTCGGCCAAGGGGGGGGGGGGTCCTACCCACCCTCATTGTTTTTTTCCGCTAGCTCTTGGAACACGCCGGGGACAGAGAGCTGAAACTCGGCATATCTGACCTTTGCTGCAACCGGATCTTGTGACAACACTAACTGCATTTTCAGGTCAAGTCAGGTCAGTGATCTATGACGTTGTGGTGCATGTAACCATAGCTGACCCGTCGAGGGCGCGGCCCGATTGGCCGCGACCGGTCACGTGACCGGCCGGTCACGTGACCGACCGTGCCAGACGCTGGGGTGAGCTCGGCCGGACGGGGAGTGGGGCTGTGACTGTGACACTGTCGCCATCGCCGCTGAATACAGAAGTACGCTGTATGAAGACTCTACACTGGCGACGAGGATTTTTCAGCACGAAGTCACGAAGCAAGGAAACGGGAGAGGACTGAACTCAGCAACATGGTCATCGGTTCGATAAGTACATTCGATCCATCGATCGACCGGTTTGACACTTACCGGGAACTGTTTGACCATTTTTGTGTCAGCAATGAGATATGGGAGATAAAAAGAAGTCTGTGTTTTAACGTGCATTGGTACTGTAGCGTACAGTAAACTGAAGGATTTGATCATCCCAAGAACCGTAGAAGACTGTACATATGATGAGCTCGTAGATCTTTTGAGTGCACATTACAAACCGTCAAACATCGAGATCGCTGAACGATACAAGTTTTTCAAACGTACTCAGGCACCAGGGGAGAGTGTCATGGATTTTGTTGCTGAGCTCAAGAAGATCGCGGTCAATTGTAATTTCGGCCCGTACTTGCAGACTGCTTTACGTGATCAAGTCGTGTGTGGGATGAGCGACAGCAAGTGCCAGAATGAGCTGTTGTGCAAGGATAACCTGACGTTGGATATCGCTTTGCAGCATGCCAGGGCGTCTGAGACGGTCAGACGTGAGTCGCAGCTGATCCACACGGACGGAGCTGCTGCTTTCAGGGTCACCCGCGGACCGCCCGAGGGCCCGCCGCCGTTCGGGTCGGGCCGTGCCGGCGCGAGCTCTGGCGGACGGGCACCGCCCGATGGCGGGCGGCGCGCCTCCGGCCCAGACAGCGGGCAGCGCGCCGCAGCGCCGCGGGGCAGCGGCGGACAGCGCGCTGCGGCGCCGCGGGACGGCGGCCGGCCGTGCTGGCGGTGCGGTTCCAGACACGGCGGTACGTGCCGCTTCAAGGATACCGGTGCCATTCCTGCGGTGCCATCGGTCATCTGTCGCGCTGCTGTACGCGAGGCAGAGACGAGCGCACCAACCGACTGGCTGAAGATGATCCTGCCGCGTCACCGGAAACGCTGCAGCTGGATAATCTCTCCAGCTCTGACCCCGTCTACATGGTAAGACGCACTGGGGTGAGTGTGCCGCCCATCTGGTGTCCCGTCGAGATGCATGGTCAGCGGGTGGATATGGAGTTGGATACGGGCGCGGGGGTCACCATCATTGACGAGCATACTTACCTCAGGTTGAACAGTCGACCCAAGTTGACACGGTGCTCTACTACCTTGAAGGCGTACTCAGGTGATGTCATTCCTGTGTTGGCCGGGTCAGTTCACCACTGATGTATCGTACAACGGTTCTGTGCACAGGGATCTTCCCGTGATCGTGGTCAAGGGCTCTGGTCCGAGCCTCATGGGCCGCAACTGGCTGCACCTGATGAGGATCAACTGGTCTGAAGTACACGCTCTACGCTCTCCAACGTCACAGCCGGCCACGGACATGATCAAACGCAAGTACCCCGATCTGTTCCTTCCACGGTTGGGTGAGCTTAAGGGGGTGCGTGTTCACCTTGATATTGACCAATCTGTGAGGCCCAAGTTTTGCAAGGCCCGTTCGATTCCGTATGCATACAAGGCAAAGGTAGAGGAGCAGTTAGATGCTGATATCGCTAGTGGGGTTTTAGTACCAGTGAAAGACAGTCGCTGGGCAGCCCCTATTGTACCTGTGATTCGGCCTGATGGCAAGATCAGAGTCTGCGCAAATTTCAAGCTAACCGCTAACACTGCTGTGCGCATGGACCGTTACCCTCTGCCCAAGACGGAGGACATGCTGTCTTCCTTGAGTGGGAAAAATATATTTTCCAAACTCGACCTAGCGCAGGCATACAATCAGTTGGTCGTCCATGAAGAGTCACGCGAGATACTCACCATCAACACGTCTCGTGGGCTTCTCAGATATTCCAGGATACCGTTCGGCGTGAACGTGGCCAGTGGCGTCTTCCAGCGCGAGATGGAGAAGCTGTTGGCGGGCATCCCTGGAGTCGTTGTCTTCCTCGATGATGTTCTGCTCAGCAGTGAGACCCGGGAGCAGCACTGGAAGCTGCTCGACGTCGTTTGTCAACGTCTTCAAGACGCCGGTCTCCGTGTCAGGGAGGAGAAGTGTCTGCTCTTCCAGAGTCAGGTCGACTACCTGGGACACCTCATCAGCGCAAGCGGAGTCCGCACGAACGCCTCCAAGGTAAAGGCTATCTTGGCTGTCCCCGAGCCCAAGACAGTATCGGAGCTGAAGACCTTCCTGGGTCTCATATCTTATTACTCGCGATTTGTTCCTGACAGAGCTTCTATTTCGGCACCCCTCTATGACCTCCTAGGGAAGAATGCTGTGTGGCGCTGGGGCTCAAAGGAGAGAGACAGCTTCAACAAGGTCAAGGAAAAGTTGGCAGCAAATACGCTGCTTGTCCACTATGACAACACCAAGCAGCTCGTTTTGACTTGTGACGCTTCTAGCGTTGGTGTGGGCGCTGTGCTGTCTCAGATCGATGACGCAGGGAGAGAGATGCCCATCGCTTTCGCATCTCGACGGCTGTCACTATCTGAGTCTAGATACGCCCAGATAGAGCGCGAAGGACTGGCCATAATCTTTGGAGTCACAAAGTTCCACAATTATTTGTGTGGCGTACCTCGACCGTTCGCTCTGGTTACTGACCACAAGCCCTTAGTGAAGTTGTTCGGTGAACATGAAGGACTGCCAGAGATGACTGCCGCGCGGATTCGCAGGTGGGCGCTTAAACTGTCGTGTTACAACTACACCATACGGTTCCGCCCTACAGGCCAGATGGGTAACGCAGATGCACTGAGTCGCTTACCTGTTCCCACAGAAGTCGGCGCACAGATGGAAGAGCTGGTGCTGCTGGTTGATGATGTGCCTCATGATGCTGAAGAGCTGGTTCTCCTCGCAGGTGCAGACTGGCTGGATTCCAAGGCGATCGCGCTGCAGACCAGTCGAGATCCGGTGCTGTCCAAAGTCCTGAGGTGGGTGCAGTTCGCAGACTGGCCGTCCGAGGCACCAGATGACTTCAAACCGTTTATCAGAAGGAGGGACGAGCTTACTCAGACAGCGGGAGTGCTTCTGTGGGGTCACAGGGTGGTGGTACCCCAGTCAAGTAGGGAGACTGTTCTGCGTGAACTCCACGTGAGTCACCCCGGGATGCGGCGTATGAAGTCGCTAGCCAGATCGATTGTATGGTGGCCTGGTATCGACGCGCAGATCGAGCGGGTTGTGCAAAACTGTTCGCCTTGCCAGCAGAGTCGACCCAAGCCGCCGCACGCCGAGCTGCATCCATGGGCCTGGCCATCTAGACCGTGGTCCCGGATCCACTGCGACTTCGCCGAACCGGTACGCGGCAAGTATGTGTTCTGCATGGTCGACGCCCATTCCAAGTGGGTGGAGGCGGAGATTCTGCCGTCCACCGCCTCTGCTCCCGTTATCGCTTGTCTCCGCCGTGTGTTTGCAAGGTGGGGACTGCCAGATATGTTAGTCTCCGACAATGCTACCACCTTTACGTCTGATGAGTTTCAGCGCTTCTTGGCCGGCAACCGGGTCTCCCACCGCACGATCGAGCCCCGACATAGCCAGGGCAATGGGTTGGCCGAGCGCGTGGTTAAGGAAGTGAAACTCGTGTTGCAGAGAGACGCAGGAGACGGCTGGGAGCTGGCGTTGTCCAAGTGGCTCCTGCGGCAGAGAACGACGCCTCACTCTACAACGACTGTAACGCCTGCCGAGCTGATGCTGGGACGCAAGCTGAAGACACGACTCGATCGTATGTATCCCGATTTGAACAGGTCAGTGGCCGAGGCTCAGTTCGCTCAGAAGAGCCATCATGATCTTTCGGCGAGGCATAGACTCTTCTCTGTAACCGACCGCGTGCTCGCACGGAACTATGGCTCTGGAAGCGTTTGGCTACCTGGTACAATCGTTGGTGCTGACGGACCAGTGTCCTTTGTTGTTCGCCTTGATGACGGCAGGACGTGGCGCAGACATGCGGACCAGCTTCTGAGCTCTGTTCCTTCGGCAGGTCAACCGGCTGGTGCGGCATGCACTACCACACCGGCTGTAACGACGCTGCCCACTGATGTCGAGATCTCCCGTGGCGGCGTCCCTCGACCGACTGCTGGGACCGTCTCTCAAGGCGCCGCGCTGGCCGCCGCCGAGAACGACATGGCCACGCGTCGTTCGACTGCTGTGCCGCCGGTTGAGGAGCTGCAGCCGCCGCCAGTCCCGAGTGCTGCCACGGGTTCGCAGTCGCAGTCGTCGAATCCAAAAACTGTGGTGCGTTCCCTGAGCGGGCGGCGCCCGCCGGTCCGCGCCGGGGGCCGTCGGAGACTGGTGGCGGACCGGACGTTCCGGGTGCGCAAACATCGGCGCCGTCGCCTCGGAGATCCGGTCGTGTGCGGAATTCTCCTGACTTTTTCCAGAGTGTCTGGTTTTGTCGCGTTCCGTGAGGTGTACAGTGAGGTTATAAGCGTGTTTTTTTTTTGGAAGGGAGGTGATGTGGTGCATGTAACCATAGCTGACCCGTCGAGGGCGCGGCCCGATTGGCCGCGACCGGTCACGTGACCGGCCGGTCACGTGACCGACCGTGCCAGACGCTGGGGTGAGCTCGGCCGGACGGGGAGTGGGGCTGTGACTGTGACACTGTCGCCATCGCCGCTGAATACAGAAGTACGCTGTATGAAGACTCTACAGACGTCATAAGTGAACTTCTGCACAGTGCACGGTCCTAAAATGCCGCAACTTCGCAATGCTCTCAATGCCAGACGAGCTGTCACATAGAGATGAAACTTCCAGGACCTAGTATCCTCGAGAGGTCTCACAAGTTCTATATCTCGGATTTTTCCTAAAGGTCACATGCGGTCAGGTCCATCACGGGGAAACATGGAAGCGAAATGGTTACTTTGGCGCTGGGAATTTAAACCTAGCTCAAACACATGAATCGTGGTTTCATGCACTCCTTGCAATGTCCAGCGTTTTACTTTTGCATCAAAAGTGAACTTTTGTAGACCTTGCGTGATGTCATTTATGACGTCTCTAGGGTCACAGGAGTTCTTCAATAACTTCCTATCAAATTGAGCTAGTGAGTCGGGAAAGCCATCAATAGACTCAGGAAGGTCTTCCAAATCGAATGCTACAAAGATGACCTCCTTCGACCAACTTCGTGACCTGAGTGGCTCAAGATTGCTCTGACCTACCTGACCTTGAACTGAGGTCAACACCTTAAGTATAAAGTTGACCTCAACTAAACAAAACGCATACCATTCGACACACCTGAACATGGCGAACACGATGATGCCAAAATCTCGGCTCTGCGACAATTGTTTGCAAAGTTATTCACACTGAACCACTGAACTCTATAATGTGGAATGCGCATCGGCCGCCAGATGGTGTCCAACGGTGCCGCCATGTTGCGCAGACCAGGAAGCGGCCGCCGCCTGTGTTGGGGAATAGGGAATTCGGGACCTCGATTTACGTTTGCGGTCGCTGCATGCGTTACGTTCAAGCTATGTGGACACGGAACCCGGCATCTTACGCAGAATTGAGTGGAGAACAAGATGGAATCCTAAAAAATCCTCAGATACAAGGAACTAATACGTTAAACCCTTATAAGTCAATGGGGAAATATGAAAATTGCTATATTTGCGCCGAGAATGATCTGAAACTATCTCAAGCATATAGAATCATGATTTCATGCACTCATTGCAAGGTTCTATGCTTCATATTTGCATTGTTGCCCTTGCGTGACGTCATTTGTGACGTCACAAGTGTCACAATTTTTCTTCAATAACTCCCGATCAAATTGAGCTAGCGAGTCGGGAAAGCCACCAATGGACTCAGGAAGACCTGCCGAATCGAATGATATGCGACATGACCTCTTTCGACCAACTTCGTGACCTGGGGGTGCTGACCTGACCTTGACCTGAGGTCAACACCCTTAGTTGACCTGACCCGAACAAAAAGTATATCACTCGATGCGCCTGAGCTAGCTGAACACGATGGTGCCAAAATCGCGGCTCTACGGCCATTTTTGGCGAAGTTATTAACCAAAAACCGAACCCGTGCCTTAGATCACTTGACCTGACCTCAGAGGTCACCGGTTGACCTGAGACCTTTACAGCGGGTTCCTACCAGTCATTCTGCATTATACTTTGCCGCATACGACCACTTTACCGCTTAATTATAGTTAAATTAGCGGCGCATTAGCGAGGTGGGTTCAATCAACCCCTTCGGCCGGGGCAAATGTAGGTCGGGCGAGTGAATTTGAGGAATTCTGAAGATACGATCGTGTTCCCCATTCAATTCTGCGTAAGATGCCGGGTTCCGTATCTACGTAACTTGAACGTAACGGATGCGGCGGCCGCAAACGTAAATCGAGGTCCCGAATTCCCTATTCCTCAACACAGGCGGCAGCCGGTTCCTGGTCTGCGCAATATGGCCGCCACCGTTAGACACTACGGCCAATAGGGTTGAAGCGGCATTGCTCCCCTGTGCACTGAACTCTGTAATGGTTGTTCACCAAGCCGGCGCATTATTTGATGCGACCCGTATATTTAGCAGTGAAATAGAGCTCTTCTTTCTTTTATCCTTGATCCTTGCTCTCGTATTGTGACAATTATTGCGTGGCTGCTACAGTTGTTTATGGAAGGGTAAGGTAATTGTTGTTGTATTGAAAATATTTTTAGGCAGTATTTGTTGATATTTTATCAGTTTTAGGTGATTCGAAATCATATTATTGTTCTTAAAAGGTATGTTCAGTAATTGGGGTGGAATGGGTGATATTGAATACCCTTGATTGCTTTTGGGATGCTTTAGATTTAACTGGTGCTGGTGCCGTTCCGTCTTGAGGTGCAAGTCATACCTAGTGCTAGGTACTAAACCGGATATTTTTTTGAAAATGCAGTTTCTGTTTTAATCCTGATTGGTACAGGCTTGCTTGTTTGCATTTTAGGCTTGGAGCTGGTTGGTATGAAATGACAAATGTTGCATATCTGTTAGGTATCCTCTATTGTAAGACTTATCAAATGCAATGATCAGATGTGCTGTTATTTTGAGTGAACCACCAAGTCTAGAGTAGAATAGCAGAAATTGTGGAAGCGTAACAAATGCTAAAGTAACTGACACTGGGTAGTAGGATGCCATGCACAAGTCAGTTGGAAGTTACGGGTGCCTTTGTGATGGGCAGGGCTCATTCTGGCCTGCTTGTTTGATGCCTCAAACGGCATCTTACTGGTTTGATTAATATTTGATGACCAATTGCTATTGTTCTGTAATAAATATTTATATTGCAGCATGCAGGAAACTTAGGTGGTTCACTGAATAATCTTAAATTGTATGATGTATACATATTGCATAGGTACCTACATCCCTATTCCCTAAGTAATTGGGTAAATGTCAAGATTAAGTCCTAAGCAGATTTCATGGATGTTTTGTTTAATATTCTTACATTATTTGACATCCTGAATCCAAAAATGATACTTAAATGTCTCACAACTAAAAGAAAAACATAATCAAACCTGACCTAATCTTACCCATTTACCTATAACCTACCAACCTACTACCTACAAACCTACAACCTAACCTAACCTAACCTAAAACATAAAATTTTTGCTGTTACATATTTGTATCAACAGCATCACAATTGTAGTTAGGACCTAAACTTGACATCATATACCAGTAATTGCACAGTTCAAGTTGGTAAATAGTGAAAAGCATTCATCTTTCATAGGTAGGTATGTTAGTAGAAATTTATAATGTTCGATTTTCCGGTTCTAGGTCATGGTCAGGATTGGGCAAAATTAATCTGAATTGTGTTTGCACTGCACGGGGTGGGACATTTTCACAAAAATGTATCTTTTTTCTTGAATTAGTGATAGGACAGAACAGACTATGAACTAGGTACTTTTAACCTACTTTATGCATTTTTATTGCAAAATATGTCAATGTAAGAATTAAGGTAAATGTTTTTCATGGGACTAGGTATAGTTCATGTTTATCCATTGTGCATCTGAAGTCAGGCAAATATTTCTGGTGATAGGGTTTAAAGTTAAGCCTATTGAATTAAGGATTCATGTCTGCTGCGTGCCTTCCCACAGACCGGCTGGTGCCACAATGGATGAGTTTATCCAGGAGCCGACACTGTTTGACGAGGTGCTGCGCTATGGACTGTATGCCGGCGCAGTGTTCCAGCTGGTGTGCATCGCTGCAGTCATCTTCTCCCCTTCAGACGCCGACCACAAGGTTTGTACACTGTACAGGAACGGGAGGGTGCCACTAAGCCCAGCACAATGACACGAAATGTTCACAGGTTTTATCCCATGTTAAATGAAGGTAGAGTATCAAATGGATGATCCTGCACTTCTTATGCTTAGATAATGAACATGAGCACTAAGCGTTCCGAGATCGAGACAGATAAGCCATCCCTGCCAACTATTTTTCCCAATTTAACTAGGAGGGTATCCGACTGCTAAGCCAGCTGTTGTGTCTTGTGTATTGTGTAATTATTATGAACAATTTCCCTTCTGTGTTGCAGACTTCTGAGAGTAGCGACGACGACACCTCGGACCAGGGTAGCCCGCACTCGTCGGCGGCTCACCGCAGTCAGCACCGTCGCCGGCTCGAGAAGAAGAAACGGCGCTAATTAGCGCTTTCAGATCGCAAAGCTCCGTACGCGCCGGCCATCAGCGCGCTGAAGGCCACTTTTTCTGGCCTCTGGGCGGTATCTGATCTGTGGAGATGCTGTGCTAATCTGTCCGACATGCTGTCCGTCGCAAGAGCTGGAGGCTCAAATATGGTGGGTCGGGCTTGTCATTTTATATAGGTTGTCAAATGATGCGGCAAAGCCCTTTTATTGCTTTATTCCTTTCACTGCCGAGCTCGTTATGGCAGCTTATCAGATCTCACTCATCTTTATTCATTTTTATACTGTTTGACATGCCCTGCCTTCATCTGCAGTAAACGTGCACAAAATAGGACTTTGTGATTTCGACAGGATTAGAATATGCTTTTGCTATTGTGCTTGCTTCATGATGCCGACGACTTTGGAGAACCTGTCGGTTTGGCAACCATGAAGTAGCTAGTTTGGATCATTCTTATTTGCTTTGGAATCCTATGGGCCATCCGTCCAGCTGAAGCCTTAGTTGCCTTAGCCTTAGTTGCTCTCCAAGAGTTGAACATCTTTCTTTTGAACACTTTTACATGATTTTATATTGACCTCCGGTCTAAATCATGACTTTACTGAATAATTATGTCCATATTTGTTTTTGGAATCCGATGTTACACTGTGATGTCATGAAAATATACATGCATTATTTATTCAGACATTGCAGGCACAATATCAACGCGCTATCAGCTGCCCAGTTATTTGTTTTTTCAATGCCTTACATAACCATAAAGTGATTATCAGTGACATATTTACATATAAGCATCACACCAGAGGGTATTCTGGCTTCTGTTTCTAGTTGGCGGGTTTCTGGCAGACAAACCTGTTCTCAGCGAAACAGTCGTCGTGGATCAGAAACTGCTGCTTGGGAATGTAGAGCTCTGTGTTCATAGCCACGCAGTCCTTGCCGGACTGCCAGGGGTCCAAGTACGGCTCCACCAGGTCGATGTCGTCCGTGCTGGAACCATCCTGCCAGACATACGTGGTGTTCTGGTTCTGTAGTCCGGTCCAGAAGGTGTTGTTTCCGACTCGCAGCACCAGAAATGTGATGAGCATGTCGTCGTGAATGGAGAGCAGATCGGCCTCCTCCTGGTGGCAGGCGGACATGGCCTCTGTCCAGTATCCTTGCTGCTCCGAGAACAGGTAGCACGTGTCCTCCGACTGCTCCCAGCCGGCCGGGCACGGCTCGGCGGGCGGTGGCGCTGTGGTGGTTGGCGCCGGCGCTGGGGCCGTGCGACACACGAACGCCGCGCTCTGGTCGGCATCCGCCAGGTGGAACTCGCCGTCATCCGCCGACAGGTACCCCACCGTGCCGTTGCCGGGGACGATGAACTGCTTCAGCTGTTCGTCAAACTCCGAGCCGTCTGACCAGCTGTAGCCGACCACGGGCACGGAGATCAGCCCAGTCCAGACGTTCTGGCCGCCGCCCCGCACTTGGAACGAGAGTGCATAGAAGGTGATCAGGTCGGGCACCGAGGCGAGGCTGGCCTGCTGATTGGCGCACGCCTGCGCGGCGCCGTCCCAGGTGAAGTTGCCGGCGTCCGGGTCGCTGCTGCTCAGATAGTAGCAGCTTCCATCCCCGGTGACCACATCTAGCCAGCCGGGCCCCTGCGGACACGGAAGGGGTTCCTCGGTTGTCGGCTGGGGCGTTGTTTGGGGCTCCTCGGTTGTCGGCTGGGGTGTTGTTCGGGGCTCTTCAGTTGTCGGTTCGGGCGTTGTTTGAGGTTCCTCGGTTGTCGGTTGGGGCGTTGTTTGGGGCTCCTCGGTTGTCGGCTGGAGCGTTGTTTGGGGTTCCTCGGTTGTCGGCTGGAGCGTTGTTTGGGATTCCTCGGTTGTGGGCTGGGGCTTTGGTGGGGGCCCTTCGGTTGTCGGCTGGGGCGTTGTTTGGGGCTCCTCGGTTGTCGGCTGGGGTGTTGTTCGGGGCTCTTCAGTTGTCGGCTGGAGCGTTGTTTGAGGTTCCTCGGTTGTCGGTTGGAGCGTTGTTTGGGGCTCCTCGGTTGTCGGCTGGAGCGTTGTTTGAGGTTCCGCGGTTGTCGGCTGGAGCGTTGTTTGGGGTTCCTCGGTTGTCGGCTGGGGCGTTGTTTGGGGCTCTTCGGTTGTCGGCTGGGGCGTTGTTTGGGGCTCCTCGGTTGTCGGCTGGGGCGTTGTTCGGGGTTCCACGGTTGTCGGTTCGGGCGTTGGTTCTGGTGTAGTCGGATCGGGTTTTGTCGTCGTCGGCTCCGTCGTGGAAGGCTGCACTGTCGTGGGATCCAACGGAGCCTGACAGACCACCCCATACTTATAGTAGTTGGGCTCGGCGTTCATAAGCGCGGCTGATGACCGCTCGTACAGGCCCCTGCTGACCACGGAGGCGGGCAGGTGGGGGTAGCCGCTGTACCAGTGGATGTCGCCGGCGGGCAGTGGGCTGCCGTCCGACCAAGCCCAGCCCTGCGAGCCGTAACTGTGGTCTGCCCAGTACATCTCAGCAGAGCCGAACCCCTTCAGGAACTCGGCGTTCTCAGTGATGGGCCTAGCGAGAAATGCTGTCGGCTTCTGGCTTCTGCAGAAGGCGAGACCCTGATCCCAATAGACGCGGTTGTTGTTGAAGTAGTACTGGTACTGGCCATGGCTCTTCCACTCAGCGACAGCGTATCCTGGAACGGATGAGATCGGGCTTACACAGATGAAGCGGAGAGGGTGGCGCACAACTTACCACTCAGCAGTGACCTTACGCCCTCTCGAGCACCAACTTTTCACATGCGCTCTACGAAATGGAACAGCTTCACTTTTCCCCGATCATAAACCATACCATACTCAAATTTCAAATGCAACAATGAAGGACACATTTAATGCAATGAGGGACACGCGTGAAAGGTTGAGAGAGAGAGAGAGAGAGAGAGAGAGAGAGAGAGAGAGAGAGAGAGAGAGAGGGAGAGGGAGAGGGAGAGGGAGAGGGAGAGGGAGAGGGAGAGGGAGAGGGAGAGGGAGAGGGAGAGAGAGAGAGAGAGAGAGAGAGAGAGAGAGAGAGAGAGAGAGAGAGAGAGAGAGAGAGAGAGAGAGAGAGAGAGAGAGAGAGAGAGAGAGAGCCATTGTATCCCACTCCCAAAAACGTAGAACAATGATTGTATTGTTTAGTGAGCAGAGATTGATTAATAATCGAAATTGGGCCATTGTCAATTGCAATCGAACATAACGCCGGTAGTTGTGTTGATTGTTACTGACAAGATCCCTCTTTCAATGCTCGCTCGATCGAAGCATCAATACGTGCAATCGCTCCGCTATCGTGAGTTTGCCGTTGGTAGCCTATTAGGTAATCACTAATCATCTGTGCTTTTGTGTGCCTGTTGACTAAACATTACCAAGTTCCACAATCCACAATCGCAAACAGTCTCATTATCCTGGGCTATAATTCCGCGATTGGTGATACCAGCATTGATAACTGCGAATTTTTTGTTTGTTAACCCGCGCCCTGGTGGGGTCTGCTCAAAACGTGACCGGGGGGGGGGCATTTTTGCCCCCCCCCCCACGTATCTCCGGAACTAGTGGACGGATCCGCAAAATTCAAACGGCGTTCGAACTTCGAAAGCTCTGTCAAATTTGTAGAGGGTTATCCATGACCTCGGTCACCGATGACGTCACAGGTCAGGTCAAAGATAAATGTTTTGCCATTTACGGGTCTTCTAGGGAATTGCGCTATAACATCGAGTAAAACGCATTTTATGGAAAATCAGCGATAGTGTGTCACTTGCCTAGTACATACATATGTTGCTATTAGAGGTCACTGATAATACCAGGTCAGATCACCAAGGGTCAGCACATGAACCCAATTTTACTAGGGCTGTGCGATGCATGTTTTAAGGCCAATTTTTCATATCCAATTCAATGGTGCTGGTTATACCTAAGACCATCAGGAACGGTTTTGGTCACTTCCTGGTGGTCAGGTCAATGTCAGGTCAAAAAGGCTAAATTTTTCGAAGTTGATATTTTTGGATAAATGGTATTGATTCGATGCAGCTTGTCACGGCGAGTCTAATGGTCTTTTTTTGCGCTACGTGGTCTAGAATGGCTAAAAATTGAGTTTGAAAATTTGACGTCATCAACTTTGAACAGTTTTTTTTTTTCGCTATAACTTGACCAAAAAAGAGCTATCGTTCTAAAATTTGAGTTGGGCGGGTTAATGTCTTTATACTGTTTTAACCCTCGCACGACCAGGCCATTTCTCATAACACGAACGACCAGGGGGGGGTTGTTACGACCCCCCCCTGGCGTTTCGAAACGGAAGGTCGTAGAGCTTAGCGGAAAAAACCAACGGATTGCTCTCAACGAGATCTCGCGATTGGTGGTATATTTTTTGGTCCTAGGTCAACATTTGACCTACTTTTGACCGGTCAAAGGTCAAATTTTCGGAAAAATAGACTTTTTTCAACTTTCAGCGGCGATTGCGGCAAAACGGTGGGAAATATCGACTTGAAACCTTCACTATCGTGTTCCTTGATCAATTCTCTATCGTTTGGTATGTATTTCGTTTCCCTAGCTCTAAAAATGGCGCGTTGGGAGCGCCGGAAGTCGGCAAGGTCACAGTCGGCGGCAGAAATTCGAAAAATCAAAATTTAAATTTTTGAAATCTGATTGTATTTTTGGATTTGGGAGGTCCATTTGCTCCCTATAGAAGCTAATATTGCTGCATATTCCCATTGAGGTGACAAGAATTAGCAAAATAGTGGTTCGGGCGCTTTTCAAAAATAGTACCGGACGCTGTTCCTCTTGTGACGTCATAGCTCCGTGACCTGACCTGACCCGGTCAAATTTCTTATACCATATGATAGCCAATACTTGCCCCAACATGCATGGGAAGTTTCATCACGATCCATCAACCGATGTCCGTACCACCGGCAGGAAACCTCGGGCGTTGGCACTCAGTTTGTGAAAATCCGGCCGGAGGCTGTACCTCTTATGACGTCATAACTCCGTGACCTGACATGACCCGATCAATTTTTTTTCGGCAAAAGATGCGCAAAGGTTGCCCCAGAGGGTATGGAAAATTTCAGCCCGCTACGACAAGCCGTTTAGCGTGCACTTCGAAAAAACCTCAGGGGGGGGGGTTGATACAACCCCCCCCCTAGGCGTTCTAGGGTTAACGTTCAGGGTAACGATTGCATGTCTACATATTCAATTACAAATATGGGTACCTTACCCCTTAGGTTTAGTCCTGCACGGGTACCTACCTATGCAGTCTCAACGGGAAAAAATGAACAAGCATGGCCTGAACCATGCTAATTTTTACCCACTCCACTGAACAAAGTGATCGCGACCACCGTTGAGGGCATCACATCGAAACGAAACAAAATGAGGCTCCAGGCTGCAATGGTCAGGTCGCGGTGATTGTTCCTTGTTATCGCGTTCGGTAGGCTGGTCCTGCATAGCTCACCTGTCAGCAGAAGCAGACCGATCAGCGCCGACGCTCCTCTGTGGACCTTTGACACCATCCCTGACTGTGGCTGTATACTAAGCGTGCGTTGCCAGTGACGGTATAGTAGCTCTCAGCTCCGGTCATCAATCTCGGTGCCCCGCGACGACCGCCGGCTATCGATGGTCACTTCTTACTTATCGGCGCATCGGCTATCAGTCAACGTAATCGATCTCCCGGAATTCGTGGCCTCATAATTTCGTCATGCGACGATCAGCAGAGGCATCCGACGCCTCAAATCGACGAATGTTTACGGTTTTCGACAATAAAACGAAAATTTATATAGTTTTCGTTGCTCATAAGCAACTTTTATTGAACGAGTTTGCTTTAAACTGCACAGCAGTGCGTAAGGAAGCGAAATCCGATGAGATTTTGGAATTTGGATGAACTTTTTTGAGGTATTCGGTATTCCCACCCCGCAACGTCCAAGACCGCCTCTCTGGATCCGCCGTGTACTGTTTCTGAATGGGAGTAGGTATGTACGAGGAGATAATTGTTCCACTACACAGTAGGTAGGTACAGTCTGTCTTAAAAGTACCGCGCAAAGTGACGGTGGATCCATCAAGCCTGACCGAGGAAGGGCCTGCTAAATTTGAGTCACCGAAGCAATTGACATCCTCGTCCATCCCCCAGGTCAATTGGTTCGGTGACTTTCAAATTATAATGGCCCTTCCTCGGTCAGGCTTGATGGATCCACCGTCACTTTGCGCGGTACTTTTAAGACAGACTGTACACAACGGCTGCACTTACAAATCCAAACAGAGGTCTTGGCTGTAAGGGACTTTTTGGACGCCATGGGGCATGGAGGTGAGTAGTACCTATATTAATCTTGGGAGGTGGCATACGTTCAATCCGAAAATGTTCCTAAATTTGCAAACGCTCATCGAACTTAGCTAGTTCCTATGCGTTACTGTGCATATTAATTTTTTTAACTCGAGTTCTTTGCTTTCTAACTTAAGTTCCTTTATTTTTCTTTCCTTCTGCGAGCGAAAAAAGCGACAAAATTACGTTAACCCGCGACCTGGTGGGGGGGGGGGGGGGCTATTGTTTGCCCCCTCTCCAGACTTTTCTATATATCTCCAGAACCGCTGCGCTGATCGTCACCAAACTTTCAGTACCCTCCCGGGCCGGGCTGCGGAGTCGATGGATTTTCGGCGACTCCGACTCCGACTCCGACTCCGGCTTTCAAAAACCAGCTCCGACTCCGACTCCGGGCAGAATTGTCGACTCCGACCGACTCCAACTCCCGACTCCGACTCCGCAGACCTAGCAGGGCTGCGGAGTCGACAGATTTTCGGTGACTCCGACTCCGACTCCGGCTCGGGTTTCTAAAATCGACTCCGACTCCGACTCCGACTCCGGTCACAACTGTCGACTCCGACCGACTCCGACTCCGACTCCGACTCCGACTCCGCAGCCCTGCTCCCGGGCATCAATTTTACACATGGTGACCAAAATTTTTCCAAAGGCCGTGATAAGTTGGCCACAAATGACGTCAGAGTGACGTCATGTTCTGCCGTTTACGACCCCAAAAAAAAGGTTGCGCGAGAAGAGCTGTCAGACCTATAGCGTTGAAGATACAGAAAAACGTTTAAGACATAAAAGGTGTAGAATTATCAGGGCTACAAAATAATTATCTCGAAATTTTGATTTGTTTTTTTAATTTTGAGCCCCAAAATATTTTTTAAATATAATTGCCAAAAATCCAAAACGTTTTTCGACTTTCGAAAAAAAACGGAATATATGTGATAGCTCTTACCAACTTCTATTCAAATACCAAATTTTAGATCGATATCTCTTTTTGGCCAAGTTATAGCGAAAAAAAAAACTTCAAAGTTGATGACGTCAAATTTTTCCAACTCAATCTTAAGCAATTCTAGACCACGTAGCCCAAAACAAAGACCACCATTAGACTCGCCGTGACGAGCTGCATCGAATCAATATCCATTTTATGCAAAAATATCAACTTTGAAATTTGACGTTTTTTACCTGACCTCCACCAGGAACTGACCTAAACCGTTCCTGATAGTCCTATAATCAACACCATTGAGTTTGAAATGAAAAATTGGCCATAAAACATGCATCACAGAGCCCTAGTAAAGTTGGGTTCATGTGCTGACCCTTGGTGACCTGACCTGTGACCTAACCTGGTGTTATCAGTGACCTCTAATAGCAACATAATCACTAGGCAACTGACGCTCTATCGCTGATTTTCGATAAAATGCGTTTTATTCGATGTTATAGCGCATTCACAGAAGACCCGTGACCGGCAAAACATTTTATCTTTGACCTGACCTGTGACGTCATTGGTGACCCCGAGATCAATGAAATTTGATTTCCTTCGACAAATTTGACTGGGCTTTCGAATGCAGTTTGAAATTTTGTGGATCCGTCCTGTAGTTTCGGAGATACGATGGGGGCAAAAATAGCCCCCTCCCACCAGGTCGCGTTATGAACAGACCCCCCCACCGGCGCGGGCTAATTTTCGACGCGGCGGGGGGTGGCTATGGTTCCATAAAGGGTTCAGTCGCTCTGAGTCTGAGAGAGGGCCCTTGTTACACGGTGCAGCAAAGAATTTCTTTCAGACAGGGATGGCCAATGACCATATAACACATCAACTGCGACATCGGTAGGGTACGGGGACCCGCAGTTGCTACTGTACACGAACCCCAAGTCTAACCGTCTGTCCTGTCCAGTAACAACCGATAACATTGATATCGACTGCTGGTCCCTGTACAAGAGCAGCTGAGGTTTCCTGTGAGTACCCTCTGACAGCTTATCGTTGTTCCCTGTGAGGGTGCTGGGACAATTTACTCAGGGTCGCTGTACAGTAGCAACTGCGGGTCCCTGTACGCTAGTGCAGGCGGTTTTTTTGCCCATTTTTGTGTCGTGTCCAGCATCCTGCATCCATTGGTGCTGATGATGTCACCAACATCACGTTTCACGGACATTCCAAGTTACTATCAACGGGATCGGAAGACTCCCCCACTTGAGCTTACTTTACATAGATTATGATTACCTACCTGTGCACGCCGGCGGCGGCCGGCGGATTATGCACGCCCGCCACAAGTCTGTAATATGGGTTTACATAGCCTTGGTAATATGGTACCTATATGCAAAGGTATATCAAGATTACTTTACTACTCAGGTATAGGTATGACTCACGAACTCACGAACCAAGATTCCTTTACTACTCACCAACGATAATACCAAAAATGCCCTACATATGGCAGCTCGAAATGCTACAGATATGACGCTGCCGTGACAACAAGTCATGCTGTAATATCCGTAGTTAGGCGGCGTTCGATGTCTCCTGGACGGCAAAGATTCTTTGTCGTCCGGCCAATCCCGTCCAAGGTCAGCGGGGGCTCGGCTGCGGTTATGAAACGTGATTGGCCGGACGGCGTAGAATCTTCGCCGTCCGAGAGACATCGAACGCGGGGTAAATATTCATTGGGTTTGACCGTGACCACCGTGACTTTAGGGTACTTTTGAGCGTTTATTTAGCATGAACTACTTACTTTGAGCAAGACGATGTCAAGAATTATTGTCAAAAACCTTCCAAAGAAGGTAGGCACTTTTGCGTTTTTGTTAACTTTTAAGCGGTGGGCAGTCTGATAGTTACAAAACATTTCCTGATTTCCTCATCCTAAATGATTTGGAACTTGAACTATACTTCCAATACTTATTTCATTTATTGTATCTTATTCATCACTTATTTCATTTATTGTTGTATGGTCAGGTGTCTTCTAATATGATGTGGAAATATTATTATTATTGATTTATGAAAAATGAAGACTTTGAAAAACTTCTCCCCATACACACAAGATCTGTAAAAGGTTTGAAATTGCAGTGTACCTACCTATCTCAAATAATGAAAGCATAAAGAAGCAAATGCAGCTAGTTTTTATCGGCTAATCTTTTAGTCTAGCCACCACCCGCAGCGTCTCAAACCACTTTTCTGGATCCGCAGTGGACCATTGAGGGCCCTAAGAGACCGTTCCAAGAAGACCATGTTTAGAAGCCCCTTGGAAACCGACCACATATATGGAGACTCCTCCAGAGACCTACATGACTCCCCACTCCCCAGACTGAATGAGCCCTCCGATCAGGGTCGGTCCCTTGAAAGTTGCTGAAAGGTTTCAGAAGGCAGTATAGGCTTGAAAGCCTTTTGAGGGTTCTCAGAAACCGGCATCGGACCCCAAAAAGCCTGTATGGAGGCCCCCCAAAGCCGGGAGTGAGGCCACAGGAGCCGATGTTTAGCCTAAAGAGCCTGTATGGAGGACTGTATAGAGGAAAGGGGTCTCAGTGGGGCCTTCAGGGGCAAGCGTTTGAGCCCCAAAAGTGTATATGGGGTCTTAGAGGCAGGTATACCCCTGGGGTATGCAAGGGTCCCAGGAGCTCACGTGTGAGCCCAAATATCTGGCTGGCTGCTACTAGAACCAGCATGGGGATTCTTAGAAGCTACTTAGACCCACATTTCATGGTTCATGAGTCCCAAGAGTCGATGAAGGGGCCATCAAAGCTGGTGTAGGGCCCGTGGCCCCATAAGTTCAGACATTGAGTGAGACTCTCAGAGGCCGGCGACGGGGCACCAAGAGCAGATAAAGTACCTCAACAAGCCAACATGGGGCCTGAGAACCAGTGTGGAATTCCAGGAGCCTGTGTGAGCTCTTGGAGACCTTCGTATTTTGTAAAGTCCACAAAGGTAGTTGGGTCCTCTGAATCTGAACTCTGCGGGGCCCTCAGAGGCTAGCATGTCTCCTGGCACCTACGTGCGTTGAGTTGAGACCCTCCGAGGCCGTCGTAGGGCTCTTCAGAGGCCAGCGTTGGCCCTTGAAGCCTTCGTTAGGCCCTATAAGCCGTCAAGAGGGCCCTCAGAGGTCAGCATGGCCCCTGGAGCCTGCCTGCGTCGAGGCCCTCGAGAGGCCAGCTTGGGGCCCTCAGACGCCAGCGTGGGCTTTTGGAGCGTTGGGTCTTAGAGACCATCGTGAGGGCCCAGAGAGGTCGTCGTCAGGGCCCTCAGCCCCTCAGGGACCGTCCTGGGGTCCTCAGAAGTTGTTGTGAGGGCCCTTAGAAGCCTTCGGGAGGATCATCAGAGGTCGTCATGAGGGTCCTTGGCCATAGTGAGGGTCTTCATGGGCCCTCAGATACCTTTGCAGGGCTCTCAGAGGCCTTGGTAAGTAAGACCGCTAGATGCCATCATTAGGGCCCTCAATAGACCGTTGCAGGGCTCTCAGATGCCAGCATAGCCCCTGCAGCCTGATTGTGTTGGGGCCCTCAGAGGCCGTCGCTGGGCCGTCTGAAGCCAAATTGGCCCTCAGACTTGAGTTGGGTCTAGGGCCGTCACGAGGGCCCTCAGAGACCGTCATAGAGGCCCTCAGAGGCCAGTGGGACCCCTGGAGTCCTGTGGGACCCTCAGCGGTCGTCATGAGGGCCCTTAGTGGTCGTTATAGGGCCCCAGGGGACAGAGGTCGTCGTGAGAGCCCTCAGAGATCATCGTAAGGGCCCTCAGAGGCCGCCATAGGGGCCCTCAGAGGCCAGCGTGGCCTTAGAGTCACCTTGGGCCCTGGAGTCTCTGTGGGACCCTCAGCGGTCGTCATGAGGGCCCTTAGTGGCCGTTGTAGGGCCCCAGGGGACAGAGGTCGTCGTGGGAGCCCTCAGCGATCGTCATAAAAGGGCCCTCTGAGGCCGTCGTGGGGGCACTCAGATGCCGCATGGAGCACCAAACGCGACTCGGGACACTTCTAGCCGATGTGGGGGCCCCAAAGACTAGCAGGGGGCGCTCCTGACCATAATTGGACATCCCGGATGATTCCACATCAGTGTTTGTTTCCCGATTACTGGTTTTCAGGAGAAAATGTATTGGATGGTGCGACGGGCCCCTTGTACGGATTTTGGGGGTGCAAAAAGATATGTTTGCACCCCCATGTTTTTCGATGGGGGTGCAGCTGCGCTGCTGCACCCCTGCACCCCCTATTCCGCCGCCACTGGGTGTTGTTTGTGTTTAATTGTGCAATTACAGTTCAGTGAAATGTAGTCTTATTGTCTGGTACCTGTTCTGTATGTTTTGACCGTTGATTATTGGTTTATCAGTCAGTACCTAGTACTTACCTACTGTGTGTAATTTGTTTTCCTCAGGTTACAGAGGAGACACTGCGAGAAACATTCAGTGCCAAGGGCTATGTTACCGATGTCCAACTCAAGTATACGCCCGACGGAAAATTCCGTGGATTTGCCTTCATCGGTTTCAAAACAGCTGAGCAAGCTGATGCTGCTATAGACTTTTTTAATGGCACATTTATTGGAGCAACCAAAGCCACTGTGGAAAAATGTGCCTCTCTTGGTATGTTTTCATTCATATGTTTTCCATTCTTTGCGATATAAAAGTGATACAATGTTATTGCTACCAGTCAGTTGAATGTGGTCCATTGTGTTGTGCTCAGCTGTTTGATATATCTTTGAAGACTTTTAGCAGTTGCATAAGTTAAAAGTTATTTGGTTTTCAGTGTGTCCTTTACTAGGCTGAATCAATGCCAAGTTTTGTTGTTTTGCAGGCTCTACCGACAAGCCTCGTGCCTGGAGTAAGTACGCGTCCGGCAGCTCTGCACATGCCCGTCTGCATAGCAAAGATGGCGCCAAGGATGCCACATTCAAAGGGAACAAGAAAAAGTCGCCTGAGGATAAGAAGGCGAACACCAAGAATAAATTTGAGGAGGTGAGATGTCTTTGGTCTAAACTGCTGTTTTCAGATTACTGAGTGTTTTGGTGTTTTGAATGGATTTGGTTGATGTGTTCTGATAGGCATGTGTCATATCCCCAATGATACAACATTGCCGTCTGTTTGCGCTGTGCACTGTGTAGTGTGAGCCCATATACATGTTGACCGCCCATATGACCGCTGGCACATCCTCTGCTGACACCTGCGGCCCCTGCGTGTACCAGGTGGCGAGCGACCCTGCATTCCGCGAGTTTCTGGCGGTGCACCAGAGCGGACCGCGCGCCACATGGACGGACGACGTGGGGCCTGCGGGCGCCACGGAGGACACTCAGCCTCCCGGCGCCGACGCTGGTGACGACAGCGTGGAGGATGGCGGCGACTCTGCCGACGAGCCGGAACAGCAGGAGGAGGAGAACAAGGGAGAAATGTCTGATATGGATGTAAGCAGAGTAGAGTATCTGAGTAAAGTTAAGAGTCCATAGGGCATGAAGGACTGGAACTATTATGTAGTAAGCTAGATCGCTAGCTGAACACTAAAATTCTCTGTTCAGAGCTGGTCCCCGCGCATGTTATGTTGCCAGGGATGTATGCCGCTTTCTTGTGTGTTGCGTGCATTTGACAGTTTAATGTCTGTTACGAGATACTTCTCTCTTCACAGTTCCTGAGATCCAAGATTGTAAAGAAGGCCACCGAAAGTGACGACGACTCGTCAGCTGACAGCGACTCCGGCATCGAATCCAAAAAGTCACCCTCCAAGGATTCCAAACCCAAATCGGCCGCCGTGCGCAAGTTTGACATCAAGTTTACCGCCAAGATCACGGGTCTGGCCGTCAATGCTAAAAAGAAAGACATCCGTCAGTTCCTGGCGCCATTGAAGCCGAAGTCAATCCGACTGCCGCCGCGGACGAAGGGTATCGCCTACATCGGACTCCAAACGGAGAAAGAGCTGAAGCTGGCGCTCAACAAGAGCAGAACGTTCCTCAGTAAGTGTTTTTCGGCCGCAGATTACGCAATCATCCTTGGATTGACGTATGATCGCCGGCAAATCACGGATGACTCGCCAGTGTGTTGACTACTAAATATTGACTGGATGCGTATGCCGTGGACTATGTTACTGGCGACCCCACTGTAAAGTCAAACTCTTCTAACGAACTGTCCTAGGTCACTCACTACTCAGGGTGTTTGTACCCTCTGTTCCCTATTCGCCTTGTCTGTCATGCCAGCCTGAGTCACTTGTAAGTGTTACATTACATATGACCCCGGTTGTGACCAATGACCCGATCCATACGCACAGACGGCCGCCGTCTCGAGGTGAAGAAGCACGAGCAGCGGACGGCGCAGGCCGACCGGGAGGCGCCCTGGCAGGAGCAGCAGCGACAGCTGGCCGACGTCGAGCCGGTGGCCGAGACGGGTCGCATCTACGTCCGCAACCTGGCCTACACCGTCACCGAGCAGGAGCTCGAGGGGCTGTTCGCGCATTACGGTGAGGAACTAAAGCCGTGGGTACATCACTGCCTGGCCTGAGTCACACACGCGCCCACCTGCTGAACGCCACCTGTCTAGAACCATTGAACGCCGGGGTCTTAAACATTGAGCTCTGCCGTCTATCTCATCATGTTGATCTCGGTATACTCATTTCGATCGTCTTCTGACCCCGCTTTGACCTCTCACAGGTCAGCTGACCGAGGTCACCCTACCGGTGGACCGCTACAGCCGGAAGATCAAGGGCTTTGCGTTCGTGACGTTCGTGTTTCCCGAGAAGGCTCAGAGCGCCATGGAGGCCCTGGATGGCAGTGTGTTCCAGGGTCGCATGCTGCATCTGCTGCCGGCGAAGCTTAAACACTCGCTGGACCAGGACGGCGACGAGGGTGAGATAAGGCGCTTAGTTTTGGCAAGAGCTTTCCGTTCGGATGACGTGTTCTTAACGATGGAATGGCATCACTCTTGATCGATGTACCTTGAATGTTAGGTTGGGAAGCCTATTATGGCGCATACAGTCTAATTACCATGAATGACGAGAGGTCCCTGTTTTTATGCAGCCTCCACGGACTTCAAGGCGCGGAAGGAGCGTCAGCTGAAGAAGCAGGCCTCGTCGTCCCACAACTGGAACTCCTTGTTCCTGGGAGCCAACGCGGTGGCCAACCTGATGGCAGAGAAGTACGGCGTCGCAAAGAGTGATGTGAGTTATATCGGTGGTGGGTGGTGGCCCTAGAGTAGGTCGCTAAAACAACACCCCAGTACGCTCTGCCTCATATTCTGCGTCGGGTCAACTACAGTAGGCTGGTCGGTCGCGTGTCGTCTGGAAGTAGAGGACCTTGCCTCGTTGCGCCTGACTGGGCAGGGGAGAGTACGTTTTGTTTTCTCTTATTGCGGCCATAAGCTGTACTGGGCAGTGTATTGCATATGTGCGCTACGTCCGGTTTGACCGCCTGTACTCTCCGCTCCTATCATCCGCTCGACTCTGCCTGTGCCGTGTTCCCTTCGAATGGTCCGTTTTCTTATCCGCCCCGTCCTCTTCAGGTGCTGGACAGCAGAGGTGAGGGTAGCGCCGCCGTCCGACTGGCGCTCGGAGAGACCCAGCTCGTCTCTGAGACGCGCCAGTTCCTCGAGGAGCAGGGAGTGCGCCTGGACGCGTTCAGCGGCCCGGCTGCCGAGCGCAGCAAGACGGTCATCCTGGCCAAGAACCTGCCGGCGCACACGGACCCTGCGCAGCTGCGAGAGATGTTCGGACGGCATGGAGAGCTGGGACGGGTGGTGCTGCCGCCCAGTGGAGTTACAGGTTAGTTAAAGACGCTGAATGAGGTGGCAGGTCAGTTACAGTCACAAACGAAAGCGTCAACAGAAGCACAGCTTTAGTTACAGCTGTCCAGAGTGGTCATAGATGGGTCAAATATAGCAATAACTCCGTCCCTACTCCCTCGAGCCGTCGTCGCTGGTTTATCGTCGAGATAAATAATTATAGCTTGACTTTATTCTCGCTCCCACAGCGGTGATCGAGTTTTTCGAGTCGTCCGAGGCGCGTGCCGCGTTCAGCGCCCTGGCGTACACCCGGTTCAAGAACGGCCCCCTGTACCTGGAGTGGGCGCCTGCCGAGGCGCTCGGCGAGCCCAAGGTCAAGGAGCAGGAGCAAGAGGCTGAGGAGGGCGGCGAGAAGGTTAAGACGGCTGAGGATGAGGAAGACGGCGAGACGGCCGACCTCGGAGAGCCCGAGGATGGCGCCACGCTGTTCGTAAAGAACATCAACTTCGACACGACCGATGACGCTCTCAAAGAGGTGAGCAGGGAACACCCGGGGCTGGGTTTCAGCCACTCATTCTGGAGTGAGCGACGTGGGTGGGACTGGGCGTTAAGGTCAGGGGCCGGTAGTGTTGTTTGTTGTTACATGGGTGTTGTTAAATACACTCGTAGCCCGTGCCTTCTCTTTTGTAATATTTTTATATGTCAACCTACGGGTAACTCCAATCTCTCAATGTGTTACAGTTATGTCGGCCTTGCCTTGTCATCTGCCTCTCTGCCGTAGCTCTCAGTGTTCTCTGTACTGTGTCTCGCTGACACCCTGACCTCCCGTCCGCAGCATTTCGCCGTGTGCGGCCCACTGCACAGCGCGGTCGTCTCGCGGAAGAAGGACTCGCGCCGCCCCGAGGTGTGGCTCTCGCAGGGTTACGGCTTCGTCTCCTACCTGCACAAGAAGCACGCCAAGCGGGCGCTGAAGGAGCTGCAGCAGGTGTCACTGGACGGACACGCCCTCGAACTGAAGGTCTCCAATAGGACCACGGCGTGAGTCTTGTGGGATATAGGTTACAGCGGCAAGGACACACTAGACGTGCAGCGATTCAGTGAGCTTTTTTGATTCGCCCATAGTTACAGATCTATTGATAAAAAAGATGTCTTGCTATGATTCCTGCTTGGTCGCATTTCTCTGGCGTTACTGCTAATGGTGATTTTCATAACATTGCTCAAGTTCCATATTTGATAACTTCTCTTCTTTTTACAGTCCGGACCCGAAAACGCAACGGAAAGCACAAGACGGCGGGAAGCAGAAATCGTCTAAGATTCTTGTTCGGAATATTCCTTTCCAAGCTAACAAGAAGGAAATTATCGAAGTGTTCAAGTGAGTACCGGATTGACACTATGTTATTTGTAGGGTGTTTTTCACAAACTCGTTGCGCTTTGTGATTTTTGTCGGCGACGTGATGCGTTGTCGTGGGATATTAGCCAATGGCTCGACGCTTGTTTATGTATTATCCTCTCCAGTCTCCACTGACTCAACGCGCTCATCTCCAGGACATTCGGTGAGCTGAACGCGGTGCGCCTACCGCAGAAGATGGCCGGTGTCGGCACCGGGCCCCACCGCGGCTTCGCCTTCGTAGAGTTCGCCAGCCGCCAGGATGCCAAGGTGGGTGCTCGATTGGGCGTCTACAATCGCTTTTAGTGTGTCAGGGTGTGCGAAACGTGTGCGGTCTCTGCAACTGCTAGTATTGACGCTAATACACCTTTTTACGGCCAAATATAGAAATAGTGCACACAGTTCAGAAATAGTGCAACCATTTCGACAGTTCGGCATAGTGCACCGCTTCTTAGGCCGAGTGCATGAAATTCAGTAATAGTGCACACGGCTCCGAAACAGTGCAAGCAATTTAAAAGAGAATGCATTCATTTTCAGTAGTTGCGATTTCAGTTTCGCCAGAGTGCATTGCTTCGTCATATGCATTGGTATTCGGCGTACCGCAAAGCAATTTAGCTAACCTTCAAGCGAATTCGGTGCCCCATCTAGAAAATATTTTTGACAACGCTCTTGCTGTTCATCAAGTGTAGCGTGGTGCCGTTCAAACAAGCTGCTAATGAAATTTTACTAAATTATTGAAATTTTAATGCTAATAAAAATTAACGAGATTTTAATGAATGCAATGAAAAGGCCCAATTTAGGCGGCAGTGCACACATTTCAAAAATAGTGCAGGCGATTTCGACAGCACGGCATAGTGCATTGATATATTGAATCGCGGCACGATATTCGCCATATTGCAGCCATTTCGTCATAGTGCAGGTTTAAAGTGACCCAGGTTCAGGCATATTAGACATATCGCACATTGTTCGTCAGATCGTTTCAATTTCGGGGTCCCGCATGTAATTTAGGCACTGTTCAGTAACACGGCATTGCATAAATAAGTAATACCAATTTTTATTTGACATTTCACGCTACCTGAGCCTCCAATGACACTCGTAGTCAGTCAGCAACGCAAAAAAGTCAAGTAGCCAGCTGCACTGCTCTGGATGCAAAAGGTAGAGGGTATTTAATGTTTCATCTGGGTGCCTTAGCTTCAGTCATATAAGACATAGTGCACATAATTCGTCGGGTGCTTATATATTCGGCATGAGCAATATTTTTTCGGCTTTGTTCAATCAAATTCGCCATGATGCTGAAAGGCGATAACAAGAATCCATAGCATTTCTGATCTTTTTGAACCAGCAACGAAGTTATGCACCCGATTCAGAAGCCCTGAATGCCACGTGACCGCCACTCGACCGTGTCACCGAGTTCTTAGAGCGAGACTAATGATAAGTTAATTCCTGAGAGCTGAAACTGCATTTGAGCAGGTTTTTGACAAAGATTCACGCTACTCTTGACAGGCAGATAGGGGCTTTCAAAAATATTTTCCCAATCCAGCAGCGAATTCACTTGAACATCGCCTAAATCGCTTTGCTGGACGCCGACTATCAGGCCACATGACGAAACCGTGCACTATGACGAAATTGAACCTACGGCTCATTGAATTTGAACGCACCATCTTCTAAATTGATTGCCCTTCATTTGAAACGTGTGCACTATTACTGAATATCATGCACTTGGCCGAACTAGAGGTGCACTATGCCGAACTGTCGAAATCGGTTGCACTATTATACTGAACTGTGTGCACTATTTCTATATTTGGCCGTAAAAAGGTGTAGCGCATTTCACGTTCACGTGACATCCCACATTCTTCATTAGCTCCAGAGCTTTGCTGAGGGCTTAAGTTGCGTAGGAAGGTGAGATTTGTTTACATAATCGCTTATTTATACCGTGCTGGATTTATTTGAACGTTGCCGTAAGCACATGCCGTATGTCGAAATTGAATTAACCTGACGAATTATTATTTGCACTAAGTCCAATATGTCTGAACCTGGGCCACTTTTAACTGCACTATGACGGAGTGGGGTGCACAATGACGAATATCGTGCCGCAATTCAATATATGAAGGCACTCTGCCGAACCATCGAAATCACCTGCACTATTAATGAAATGTGTGCACTTCCGCCTAAATTGGGCGTAAAAAGGTGTAGATTAACCGATAGGGACTGGGTTATGTCAGATTACATTTACATCCAGTGACCCCAGGCGTCCGCTCAGCGAAAGTGGAGTCTCAGTCCAAATGCCAACTTCTCGTGATTTCGTCACCGACCGTAGCTGGTAAGGTAAGCACACCCGGCTGGTGTACTGTCCCTATCACATTGTCGTCAGTTCTCAGTTCGTGCATTTCGCTCACTTCTGTGTGCTTGTGTTGCAGCGTGCGTTTAAGGCCCTGTACGCACCCACCTACTTCTGTACGGCTGCCGTCTGTTGCTCCGTCCTGCCTCTGTCGTGTCCCCCAGTCCGCGCCGGTCCACTGACCGGTGTGTATGTGTCTCTGTATCCCACAGAGGGCGTTCAAGGCTCTGAGCGCTTCCACTCATTTGTACGGCCGTCGGCTGTTGCTTTGTTCTGAACCCCAGTCCGCGCCTCTCCATTGACTGTGTATCTGTGTCTCACAGAGGGCGTTCAAGGCCCTGTGTGCCTCCACTCATTTGTACGGCCGTCGCCTGGTGCTCGAGTGGGCCGCGGCGGATGACGATGTCGAAACGCTCCGGCTGAAGACGGCCGCGCACTTCTCCGGAGCCGACGGTAAGTGGGAGGCACAGTCGCAGATAAGTTGGGGAATGTCTTATCATGGCAATAGCGTAGTTATTGCGCCAAGTACATCGGTTCGAGGGACTTCTTAGTGGTTAGATTGTACAAAGCAACGTGAAGGAGGCTACATCGAAAAACCTGCACGACTCGGAAATATTTTAACGATGTCTTTTATATAGTCATTAGTTTCTTATGGAAAGATATAAGTACTTTATATCTACAGCTTCGTTGTTTCCATTCTCTTTACGTGTCACGTCATCACCAATGCTACGGCTTGCTTCTTGTCTGTCTTAATTTTGTTTTTTTGTTTGTTTGTTTGTTTGGTTGGTTGGTTGGTTGGTTGGTTGGTTGATTTTACCTGTACTGATTGAGCCTATACCTTCGTTACTGACGCGGCCCTTTGTCCTCAGCGCCGTCCAAAAAGCGCGTGAAGCTGGACGAAGAGGAGCGGTGATTGCGGTGAGTGGCTGCATTTACGACCTTCGTTCTGAGTGACCAGTCTCTCAGTGGGTGCCCTGATTGATCTGGCTCAGTGTCTCGAAGAGTGGCTGCTGTAACGGTCTGTTCTGAGTGACCAATCTCGGTGGTCGCATTGAGTGAGTGATCTGGCGCAGTGTTTTCGATTCACATTTCGATCTAAGTGTGCGAGATAAGTTTGTGTGTTAGTGTGCTTATGGCGAGTGGTGCACTCATGCATTGGCGCCGGAGAGGCCCGACGATAGACGTCAAAATGAAACCACTTCAGGACGGCCGCATTAATCTGCAACGTCACAATCATCGGCCTTCCGCGGCTGCGCTCTGGGGTCTCTACAAAACATTCTGGAACAGTTGAGCCTCGATCGCGTATAGCCACCAGACAGGTGCTTGGAGCCTTACAACAAGATAGCGTTGTAAGTGTTATTTTACTGCTCGCATATGAGGAGGCGGATAGGGCGCGTTTGAGTTTAGGTATCTTGCGGTGGTTGTTCCCTGCACTGGAGCGAGCCTGAGATAGGACAAGTATGAGTTGTTGGTGGATGGACGTCGACCTCAGCTAGAGAAAGGGAATGAAGGATGGCTCTCTCCGGTCCCGCTCCCCGTCAAATGAAACTGGCATGGCGTAATATTTTTTCACCGTTGTCCGTTTCGATAAGGCGCACTGCCGGGAGCTCGCAGTAAAGGTATGCGTGGATGACAGCTGTGCCATGCAGTTCTGTTTGTGCTTCGGGTTGAGGAGTGTTGTTAGCGGAATAAACTCGGGTCATTTTTGGTATACGCAGAAATGTGTTTTCTTTTACAACTCCCAACGTGGAGAATTCTGCAGCCATACGGTCGCTTGTCAAATGACACGAGTAAATCAATAGGAAATAGCAATCAATAATGTATAATCAGAAACTAAACTGATAATTCCCGATGGCGATCCTGTATAAACTTTTCCGCTGCGTTCGAGACGGTGCCTGTTCGACTGTGGCGCCGCCTAGTAGACTCTCCGTCCCTCCGCCCCGATGTCTGGCGCCACCGCTGCTCGTGCTGCCATCGACAGCGAACCCTTGGCTAATTTTTGGGACCCTTCTGCCCATTCGTGGCCGCGTTGCAGCATGTCCAACCATTTACAAACACCGTTGCTGTGTTAATTACTCCGAGGACTACCTGAATACAACTATATAGGTACGGTGAAAACGAAGTGAATGGGTAGACTTTTGAACCATTTTACATTATTGTCATAAATAGTATACACTGATCAACTTCTATGGCGCATGCATATTAATAAAACACACATACGCCGCTGTATTAGCTGAGTCCTACACAGCGTTTCAGGGGAAATATAACAAAAAGGATGAATGGGACGCAAACAGATCTGAGAACATTATGACGTCGAGTGACGCTACCGGTGACCTCGGGTGTCCCGGTCGTGGGGACCGGCCAGGGGCGGCCCGCACACACTGAGACTCCGGCTAACATCGACTGGAGCACGGCCGGCCGGCGGCGGCGGACAGCCGTGCCTCTGAGTCGGCCGGCCGGCCGGCGGTCCCTCGGCGCGCGCACAACCGCTGCATCCAGCTCACAAACACCAACACTCGCATCACCCGCCCGAGGCGCACTGTGCGCGAGCGGCCACCAGCTATCGTCCTGCCGACCGGCAGAGCTGTCGGCCTCTGTCCTCTACACCACTGCCGGCGCGCGCGCGCCTCCGCTGAGTCCTGTCTCGGCGTCTTTGTCTCGCGCGAGCGCGCTACGGATTCGTTAAAGCGTTATCGCTGCCCAGTTGCACGTGCGCGTTTCCTCCAGTGATGCAGGTCGCTATTTGCACGTGTGCGTGTCTTCCATGGTGATGCAGGTTTTGCAGTGGACCTTGCAGCACCAGACGAACTTGCAGTGGCACCTCTCTGCCCGTCGTACCACCTGCACGGCAGAGGGGCGGGCGGGTCAGTCATCTGACATCTGAACAACAGAGTCGGTCAACAGTTGAACCTGGACACTGAATAGCAGAGGGGCGGGTGGAGGCTGGTCAGCAATGTCACCTGGACAACGGAAGGGGGTCGGTCAAAGTTGTCCTGCGTGTAAGGAACCTGCATAAACGATCAGGGAAGCTTTTGAGCAGAGGAGCGATAAAACTAACGGAAGGAAGCCTCAGTAAACATGATGCGTATCTCTACCTACTGAACCCAAGTCAACAGGACATTTAGTGCGGTACGTATTGCAGCATATTTCCGATACCAATGAGGAAAGACATAAATGGGTATTTCTATTCGCGGGATACCACCCAGAGGTTGACGTGAACCAACTTCGCTCGAAACTCTGCATTTTTGCCAGAGGAAATCTTGTGAATCGTTTAAAGGATAATTAACACTTCCGTTTGGAATTACGCGACTAAAAGTCATCACTTTCCCAGCATTCACACTAAGCATACATTCGTTGTTCTTATCATCATCCTTTTTTCCACATGACGTTCAGGCACAGGTGTTCTAAGATTTACCTCAAAGTTGCATCATCTAGTGTTCGCTGTGAAAAGACCATAGCCTGGTGGACGGATGTAATAATTTGACGGCATAATTTCACGGCTGACCCAGTGCAGTTATTTCCTATTCTGCAATAGACGCATAGATACTGCACTATTTAGAAGTGTCTTCAATGTTTGACGTGGAACTTCTCTTTGGCGAATGTATATTTATTCTTTATCCAGATTCCAAAACAAAGATATCTTTCACCCACTTAACGTTTGTGTCTTACATCGCTCATAGAGAGAATGGCAATGAAATGACATCGGCCGACTGATTTGATTTCAATTGTGGTGCCTGTCCTTTTATAGCCTGTGTGGCTGCCGCACAAGCGTCTGCACAGACAGAAGGCGCCCAAGAGTCCCTGTTAGTGCTCTCACCTCAGTGTTATAGCCGCGGCCGCAGCACAGCAGGTCACAGCTGTCAGGGCCGTTGGAGTTTTTGCTGCACTCGCGGCCTCGCGTGCCCAGGATTCCCATTTTGGGGTTGTGCAGACAATAGTTTGGGCTCTGGTCTAGATAGACGAGCTCTCGGCGCCGGGGGCCGCGCTGGCTGCGACGGTCCCGGTACCGTCGCCGCTTTCTGCGCAGCCGCTGACGCTTGCTGGCCACCTGGAAAGCACAGGGTCAATCAGGGTCAGCGTAGGTCAGGTCAGGTCCTGCATCTAATGATGACAAAGTGTCGTTACAGTTGCGTGGAACTCCGTTGCAGCCCGTTGCTTTGTTCTCGTCTCAGCCATCGGGCAGACGGCAACATAACCAAAACTCTAATCTGCTTGGCGCTTGCGGTTGAACAACAAAACGCTTCAAAGGCCCCTTGCATCCTATTGGTTCCTATATGGGGGCAGTAATCGCGCCTCCTACTCGGGCAGATTGGCGTAGTTGACGCCAACTGGTGAGACAAAGACCACCAGTTTTGGCTGCCTGCGTCGAATTTGTTCCGAGCACCGCTTCCCTTTGAAAGTTGGTAGCAGGAGAGGCCAATAGCTTTCCTCGTTTGTTACCGCCTAGCATGAGATTCATACTGCCGCTCCAATAACATGGAGATTAGTCGGCGGCGGGCTGGGACCGGGCCGGGTCTGGTCGGGGGTCCCCTGCCGCCGTCTGCTGCAGCCGCGGGCCGGCCGGCAGCGCGAGCCGCGGGCCACCGAACCCTTCCCCAGCACTCCCCGCTTCACGAGACGAACATCCAATTGTGAAAATCCGCGTAAAATGAGAGTTCTAAGCGGTTGAAACGCATCAGCCAACCGAGAAATATGGCGCCCACGGACATTAGAAACGGAACCGAGAGCCAAGCAAAAGCCATAATTGGATGCGGTTGACGGCTGCCGCTAGCCTGGCATACGGCGGACAATATGTGACTGTGGAAATGCATTTTTGAACGCTCAACTGGAACACAAAAGCTGCAAATATGAACCGGGGGTAGCCAGTATCGCAGCTTAAAAAGCTGGTGACAACCAAACAATGTTCTTACATATAAAAGCCACCCATGAAAGGTTTCCAGGAGTTTCCATCCCAACGACCCATTAGTGCGGTGCTTGATGTACTTTATCTTATCGAACTTTAGATAAAACACAGTTCCTTCAGTAACGAATGGAAACAAATTATGGACAAATTCAGACCTCGGGAAATGTTGGCGTCCCCATGATACTGCATCGTTGGAGAGCATTCCCAGCTGAATGCAGCGTATTTCACCCCGATAAGAAATGATGCCTCTGCCCGCAGCGTGAAAGAGAACCCTGTAAGTACTATGTATAAACTTCTCGTACATCAGCGCTTTGTTCATTTTTCAGATAAAAAAGCAAACAGGCACACCAGCATCTCCGCTATTACGATAGCTCCGCAGAGTTATGTGGAGTGATATCCTGTACCTGTGTATAGAACCCCTTCAAAGCTGTGCATTGTTTGGGTGGAGCTCTACTTAGATTGGATAATGTATATGCCTCATGAACTGTGCAGAGAAGCCTGCAGAACCTCAATGGATTAAATACATGAATGGTCGGAAAATGTGAGGCATAAATCTTCGCATTTTACGGTAATGGCAGTTATTGTGACATATCTGGCATCGTTGAATATTCATCCGAAGACTAACCCGGGCTATACTCCCTCGCATAGCTCATCATTGCATTGCAACACGCTCAAGTTACACCCTTTAACGGAAACGCGAGGGTTTCACCGGGTCATTTCATAATAATGGGACCACAAATGAGCCAGTTCCGAGGAAAACGCGCCCGTGGGTGTCACCTGCACAATGGGAAGATAAATGTCCAGTGACAGGTTGTGGCACATATCGGGACGATCGGTGTCGGCGGGACAGACGGGCTCGTGGCAGGGCCTGTCAGGGCTGTAGGTCGAATTAGAGGAACTCTTGTCGGGGCTGTTGGTCGAATTAGAGCACCTCGTGTCGGGATGGTAGGTCGAACCTGCGGAACTGGTATCGGGTGTGGATCGAACTGAAGATGCTCGGATCAAGCCTGTCGCTCAGGCTCGTGGCTGAAGCTGCTCGGAGCTGAAGATCATACCTGATGATGATTTGGGCGCATCAGCCGCGAGGCTAAATGTATTACGCCCATTCCAAACCTTACTACCTCAGTACTAAGATCAAACCCAATGAGCTCGGGTCGGTCGGGTTCCAATGTCTCCTCACCTCTACGGAGCGCCTGTAGCGTTTCTTGAGGAAGTCTCCGATGTGGTTGAAGGAGGGCATGGTGCGCCAGCACGTTTTCAGCTCACAGGAGCCGGAGACGCCGTGGCACCGGCACTGCATCTTCATCAGAGCGCGCACCGCCTGCGGGACGGAGTGGAGGGCTGAGTTAGGGAGTTAGTGGGCTGAGTTAGTGAGTTAGGTGGTCGGACATCGCCGTCTTAACGCTTGACAGATACCACTCATGGACGCGTCATAGCAATTCACCTTCCGAAGCAAGCTCCGAGCACGGCTTTTGGCGAAGCGGATATCCCTCCTCACCTCATATGGATATCTAAAGACTACGCTGCTATCTAAGCCTGATCTCTAACGGCTCTGAGCATCACTGTCATTGCGTTCAGCTTGGACCGCTAAGCTCGCGAGTCCCGTCAGTCTACCGGGTGGCCACAGTCAGCGACTCCCGCTCGGCACACAGTGGGCCGATTTTCTGCGGGTCGAGCACAAGGCGCGCACGGCGGGTCGATTTTTCCGACAGGCCCGGCCGAGACCGGAGAGGCCATGGTATATGCCTCAGCGCAACTCAATGTGCTCGCTGGAGGCGGCTGATGGCCGAGCGTGGCCCTCCGAATGGCGGCCGACGCTGCCACTCACTGCACAATTATCATGCTAATGCGGCCAAACCGGCGTGTGTAGCGTACCGAGGGGCCGACATGGCGCGTACTCTGCGGCCGTCCGGGGCCGATCCATACAGAATGTATAAGGGTCTGATCGGACAATACGTAGGATATGGTATAAGAGTCTGATCAGGCAATACAGAGGATATGGGTGCGGAGCCGGCCAGGGCATGCTGGAAGTATACTGTGCGAACCCTTGATCAAACGATGTAGGCATGGAGTAATTTCACAGACGGTGCCTTTTGCACAACTGACTTTCAAATACAACGGTAGAAGAGCTCAGAGCGTAGCATCGATCATCTCTCTCTGTCTATTTTTTTTTTTTTTGCAAGTGGCTAGCTACATTGAATCGGCTTTGTATATGGGCAACATGTTATATGAGATGGCATTCCAAAGCTGCATCACTGAGCGACGTAGGAGTCGTACCAGGCGTCCAGCCTCATTGTTGTGGAGGTTCATCAACTTCCTGGAGTCGTGGTCCTTCTTGGCCCGCTCCGGCGCGTCCACAAACTGGCGGGCGAAGTTGATGCCGAACCGCACGTCATCACTGCCGGCAGGGTCAGGAAGACGGTGAAACTCGAGTCAGTATCAGCAGGCTATGATTAACCAGTCACGATAGCGGGAAGCCAGCATAAGCATACGACAAAATATGATGAATTATGTTAAAAAATGGCAATAGCAAGGGATTGCTCCCCCCTCACAACTTTTATGAAAGGAGAGGTGGACAAAGGTATCGGTAAAAGTCGCCTGTAGTGCAAATGAGTATTCAACTGACCTGCAGCCGCCCCACTTCCATCCCTGCGGCGTGGAGCGTCCCTCGGAGCTGAGGTCGCACGTGCACTCGGTGAGGTTCCCCGAGCTGCACGCCTGTGTCACGGCGTGCACCACCCCAGCAGAGGTCACCGCGTACACGAACGCAGTCTCTTTGCTGCCTGTAACGGAGGAGAGTGACGGGGGTCAGATCTCAGAACGCGGTGGGTAGCTCACGGAGAACTGTCGTTCGGGCTGTCAGGAGACGTCAGGGATGCTGTCAACAGCCGTTTCACGGGCCATGCTGGTAGCCCTTCACGGACCTTGTTTGTGGTCGTGAATCGCGATCATAGGCGATGAATTGTGCCGTGCTGCCGCGAAACTGGCCGGTCGCGTTACTACTCTGTGACGTTTGCAGAAGAGCGAGCTGCGACGACTCGTCAATGGTGAGGCGAATAAAACGCCATCGCCGTCCCCCCGTCCACCCGGGTGTCAGCGCGACGGTACACTTCTTATTGTCCGCCTCGAACGCTGATGTTGATGAAGATTAATGCGAGCATCAACTTCAACGAGCAGGAGATTTAATCCTGACGGCACATTAAACGTGATCCGATTCGAAACAATGCCTCTTGACAATAATTTGAAGGCTATAAAAGTCTAATGAATTTAAGGTCATCGTAAAGCTGGAGTCGCAGAGTCGCTGCCAAATAACCTCGGGGCTGCTCCTTTTGAAGGCGCAGCCCGTAAGCTGTGCAGAGCGCGGCAGTATTTACACAATGACAAAACTGCACGGCGGTCGTGTGCTTTGTCTGCGAAAAGTGACGTAGACTAACAATTGGCTGGTCTGGGTATTGGCACATTGGTACATTGTCAATGGAAAACATTGTCAGAATCGTGCACGCTGCACACTGTAGTGCATAGGCTAAGGAGAAATACCGGCTACATAATAACTACCTAATTGAAGCAGGTCGCTGCAGTCGCTAGAAGTCGTCAATCTTTACAAATAAAATCGATTTTACAGATCAACCAATTAGTAAAAGTAATTTCAAAAACTCAAATCGCTCATTTTTCAGTCATTGGCGTCAGCGGCTGTGACGGCAAGCTGGCGGCTGTTACCGGAAAACAATTAACTGGCGATCAACTGTTTGCTCTCGTGTCTCCATCCCGCGATCCCATGGGTTCCTATCCGTTGGTGGGCGGGTTGGTTTTCGCGCAGGCCGGCGGCGTGGGGCGGCGGCTCTTCTGCCGTCCGCCGTGGGTGTTTTCAGCGCTGAGGACGCGCGAGCGGGCGCTGCCTCCTGGGTGGTCTGCCGCCGCCGGGCCGGCCGCCGGCGGCATCCGACGATCACAGTTCGGCCGCCATTGAGCTGCCCACCAGATTCGCCACGCGCCGGATTTTGTGCGCCGCTTTCGTCACGGTGCTGGCAGGGCGAATGAGAGGTCCGGGCGTCGCGGCTCGCACCCAGGGGACAGCAATGGGGGGTCGGGATAGGGGACAGGGGACAGGGCCTGGAATCTGGACCGCGCCGGGGCCTGTTGCTAGCTTGTCGTGGGAGAAGGCGTCCGGTGCGAACCGATGAGTCCCGGATGTGCCAGTCTGTTGGGCATACAGGGTGTAACGAAATTATCCGGACATCTTTCTTCGCGCTGTAATTAAGAAGCAAGACATTCTGATATTTTCCCTTTTGAATTATTATATAGCCACCTTTCATAAGAGCGCAGGTACACATTTTTGGAGCATTCCAGCCACTGGATTTTCCAGCACAGTGGGTTTCATATAGAGTAGCGCCTTACTAACCTGTGCCCGCAGTTGGGCGGCGCTGGTGGCGGGTGTCCCCTCATTCATCTCCTGATGGACAATAGTCCATAATATATCGATGGAATTGCATGGGAACTATTTCCAAGCCATAGCCCTTTAGCCCAGAAGAACAAAAAGGTCCTCTCGGCATCACTTCTCATTCTGCTAGGGACTTGAAGGTGGTGCGCCGCCCCGTATGAAGACTGCGCGGCTTGAATCAGGCATCAGTACACGCACAGAAACCGAGCCATCCTGTGCCGTGTGGTTGAGTGGCTCCAACCAATCGCTAGCCAGGATGTTGCGCCGGTAATACTCGTCACTGATAGTGGTTTTCTGTGTCGTCATGAACAGCTTGAATATTACACAGCAGCTGAACATGCTCCAGGTCTTAATTTTGGCCGGATGTTTGACGCCGGCGACGGCCGGCACATTCGAGCTGCTGGCAGCCCACACATGGCCGAATTGACGGTTCAACGGGTATCGCAGCTCGAACAGCTTCCCATTCGACCAGGTCACCTCATTCGTGTCTTCCTTCGACCAGTGGACACGCCCTGGCCTAAAGCCAAAGGTGGTGGACTGGTTGTTTTCCCGTCAATTTCATTGTCTTTTCCAGTTTGAAGGGCAGTAAAACCAAGCTAAAGGGCGGGTAACGGTGAATCATGATGTGGGACCTCTTATTATCTGCCTTGGTAAGAATTCGAGTCAGTATGCGGATTAATTGGTGCCGTTTCCTTGTCGCTATCTTGACAACTCTCCTCACCACTTGGCAAAGGGCGCCTTTTGCGATCGAGGCCGGGCTGAGTCTGCCACCAAGTCCCAGCTTATTACGCCTCAGGCAGATGTGCTACTGGCTGCTGCTGATGTCCAGCTGCTGACAGACCAGCTTCTGGCTCATGCCACCATGCCACCAACACGTAGCCTTACTACGAAACGAGAGACTGTACTCCTTTCTCTCCACTGCCTTAAACGAAAACTATCAAATGAACCCGTCGGCGACTCGACTCTTACTCAGAGCAAGAGTCATTTCGCAAGGTCAGGTCACTGCTGAGTTGAGAGCAGATACCAGAGGTATGCATTCATCCAATTTTCCAGCTTCTGACATTAAAAGAGAAACTGTGCGAGCAGATATGGCGAAAAAATAGATGTCCGGATAATTTCGTTACACCCTGTAGTTCCATCCTCTCGGAAGTGTTTTCCTCAGGATAAGACATGAAGCTTTTAAACTCAGAAGTACCCGCTCCCCAGTTCACTGCACCTACTTGGGAGCTCCCTTATAAATATTTGCTTTGTAACGCGCATATAGTTATACGCCTCTGGCCTCTCATCTGGCTACTTTCACTTGACGCTCTCTCTTTATCTTATGAGCGGTTCATTTTGGATTTACTCATCAACGGTAAGTTATTACGGAGCGAGCGAAGCGAGCGTAGTCTTTCCTTAGATTAACGGAAATTTCAGAGTATGAGCGGCCGGCCGGCCGCTCATACTCAGAGTCACGCTTTTGCGAGGCTTATATCTCAGCAACCACTTGACCGATTTACACGCGGTAATTTTTGTAGGGTAGCTTCATTCCTTCTACCAAGTATTGGACTATTCCTGATGCATGTGGGTGACCCCTTATGCACGTGCCACGTGCAAAACGAAGAGGTGTCCGTTTTGTAATTGTTGCAATATCTCGGTAACTACTTGGCCGATTGCGCTGAAAGTTGGCATGTAGGTAGGCATCCACTAGGCACTGCATATCCATGTGCCAGAGTTGGGGCGCTGCTGCACGTGCGCACGTGCAGGGGTCGTTTCCAGATCTCGAGAACGGCTCGACCGATTGCGCTCAAATTTGGTACACAGTTAGGGACCGGTTAGTAGGGTGCCGTGCACAAGTCAGTTGGGACCCATTTTGCACGTGCGGGCACGTGCAGGGTGCCGCTTCCAGATCTCGAGAACGGCTGGGCCGATTGTGCCCAAATTTGGCACATCGCTAGAGACCGGTTAGTAGGGTGCCGTGCACAAGTCAGTTGGAGGTACCCCATCGCAATTTTGCACGTGCAAGGCCCACCCTCTCGCTCGCTCCGTTATAGTCGCCCCAAAAGGCGTTATACTGGTGACACTTCAGCCAAGATCTGATCCAAGGCAACATCACATCTGACCCGTTTGTGCCAGTGCAGGTGTGACTAGCGATGATGAGATACTGGATTTATTTAGTCGGGAAGTGAACGCATACCACCCGGCTCTGTAATGCAGAGCAGATAGATTAGAAGATACAACCACTAAGTCTGGTCCTAACGCCTGCAGGTGTGATACACCTTGCTAAATGGGTTTCTGAATACATTTGATCCCGTAATATCTCCGTAACTACCACTAAAACATGGTAGTATTTATCCGCACTGCATAATTAAAATCCATCACCTGGCGGCGAGTGCAGCCTCCGACACCGGCCGGGGCGGCTCGCTCCAGGAACGGACACCGCGCGCTAACCGGTCCGCCGGCGATAAACATTTCAATCCATTCTTGACACAGACTTTAATCACAAATTACTATGATCATGATTGCGCACTGCACTTGGTGCACACGGTATGTGCAGGGGACCATTGTTAGCGTTAATTTAGCGCCGCCGGCCGGTGCCGTTTCGCTGCGCCGGCCTGCCAGCGTTACATGAACAAGAGCGGTCTGGGGCCGGTCTGAACTGCGCCATAACTCCTCATTACTTGACCGACGGTGGGCCCGACGGCCGGGTGCTACGTCTTGCCGACACCTGAATGGCACGCCACTCGGCGACCGGGTGATCCGGGGGGGGGGGGGCGCATCGGTATAGCTCTCCAAGCTGCAGTGTAGCACGGAAGCTATGCGCTCTGCAGGCTCAGAGGATGGCTCAGGAAGCTCTTAAGCAGATCGGCGAGCGCATGGCTAAGGCGACGATTAAGTTGAGCGGGCAGCTTGATCACTCTTCAGACTGAAAGGCCTGCGTCATGCGTGTGGCGACTGTGCAGACTGTTGGGATGGCTCAGGTGACCGGTGACCCTTCAGACTGAAAGGACGGATCGAAGGCTCTGAAGGCTGAAACGTTAGCTTTAAGCGTTCTTTCAGACTAAAAGAGCGGCTCAGCGGTTCTTCAGACTGAAAGGTTGGCTCGGAGGCTCTGAAGGCTGAGCGGATGGCTCAGTGACTGCTGACTGAGCTGAACAGGTAGCTCAGTGACTGAAGGCTCAGCGAAAGGTTCTTTACTTCAGACCAAGCGGTTGCGTGCAGTGGCTGTGCAAGCTAAGCGGCCCAGCTAATCACACGCCCTGCTCACTGTTCAGTCCGGCCACCCACCGTCCGCCCGCCCGGAAGGCACTGTTCAGCACCACCGGCCAGCAGCCCACTAATTCACTAATGTGCGACTCAGTGCGC